AGAAGTGTTTACCGATAAAATGAAAAAAGTACGTTATATTGGGAATCTAAAATAAATAACGAATTTTACACGTAACGCGAATATAAATGAGTTTTCGTTCATCGTTTCTTCATTATAACAGTTGTCCTTATCGTAATAATACAGAAATTAATTATTCGGACGCCTATGATTTATAATTTTCATATAACAGGCCCAACTCTAATTGTTAATAACAGTTATTACCCAAAGGTAATATAATTAATGATTATTAATTTCAAGAATATCATCGGGAACTTATAGAAGTCCAATATATTTCGCGTAAACATTTAAATTTCACTGTGAATATGTAATATTGTTTTCCTCGTCGAATCGTATATTTTTATATTATTTTAATAGAATATAGGTAATCCATTTTTAATCAAAATTGAAAAAAACAAGTCTTCAAGTCTACTAAAACGGATATTACTGATGTTTTATAGTGAAGGCATCAAATTTCTAACTAAATTTAAAATTAATTTAAATTTGTTTGTCAAAACTAAATATCAAACAAGGCTATCTATAAATAAAATTTCGTCGAAATTTCTATCATTAGATTTAATTAAAAACACACATTAGGAAGATATTTAAACATAAACGTGTTTTACGGAAAACAGAAAATATATATGTATATAAATTTTTTTTTAAATTTAGCCTATTGTATTTTGTACATAATATATTAACTATTATGCACTTTGCTGGCTTCTGGTAAGAAATTTTATTTCAATTAACATAGAAAATTGTTCATATTTAATAAGAATAATCGTTCGACATCTTATGGAAATCTGAACGTCGATTATTTTATAAGCATAATTTGTATTTTTAAATTTACCATATTTTAAGCTTAATATACGAATTCATTTAAAAGAAGAAATTACTAACATCAAAAAAGTACCATTCTAGTCAGATTTCCTTTCAGAAAAAGTGCTACACTTGAAAATCAGAGCAAAATTGCTTGTAAAAAAGTTGTTTACAGATAAAAAAAAAAAAAAAAAGAAAGAATGAAACATTATTATGAAACCAATCGCTCCTCGCTCCACTCAAAATCTAAAAACGTAAATTTCTTAAAATCTATTATATAATTCAAAACAATGTTCACAACCCACCAAAAATTTACCCGAGACTGACCAGTGGATAACGACCCACAGTTTGAGAAACACTGTATTAGCCAAATAAAGAAAGATGCGGGAGCTACTCTGTACAGGGAGCTCAAAAGTATGGCAAATGATAGAGGAAAATAAAAAAAGAATTTATTGTGAACAAAATTTGTTAAAAATCAATCTCCGGAATGAAAAAGAGTTAAAAAAAATACGAGCTACAGTAATTTCGTGAAAAATTATTTAAGCCTTTAAGTTTTTAAAACAAATAAAATACGAGGATGAGGATAACATAATATTATGTTTTTAAAAATTTTACATTTCGCTAACGATTTGTAATACCAATTTTGACTTATAGTCCATACTTGGATGATCAAAGTCACGGGTATCTATTCCAGTATAGTATAATATGCTGGATAAACCTTAAGCTTGTAACATATTTTCCATAAATATATTGAACTGTATAGATTTGAAAACTTAAAAACCGACAGAATCAATTTAAAAAAAAAAAAAATATTTCGATAAAAGATTAAAAATAATACTCGGAAAACATTGTACGCGACTTTAACCGTAAACTCCACCTTAATTGTGTGTTAAAAATTAGTGGACACAAATCGCAACTAAATTTATATAACGATTTATAAAATATGTTTTGAAAAATAAATCGAATTTTATCGAAAGCGAAATACGTAAACGTATTCAAAAATATTAGGTAGACGTCCGCAGGGGATTTAATATAATATACTATTCAGACCCCTACACGGGATAGCAGAGAAAGTGTTTTTAATAAATGGTTATTAAAAAAAAAAAACAATAAAGTAAAAAGCATAGACGTAGTCGTTTGGCCTCGAATTAATAATATTACCTGCCTATACGAAGAGTTCGTATAGCAAAACTAAAAACACATCATAGTTTATAAACCAATACATTCCTTGTTTCGTTCGGAATTTAAAATAAAGAAAAAACAAGTTCCTATGAATAATATCGAACGACATCGCCACGACAAAATATCACCTTTTATACATTATACAAACGAATATTCTACTTATATTCATTAAATATCGGATTTCTCTTAATTTACAAAACCATCATCTATATAAACATAATTAATCGGTATTTTATCTATCTAACTAAAATATACTTATTAAGCTCATTCGCTAATATAATTAAATAATATACTAAAATGTAATATCTGAAATTTTTGACCCAATTTAAATTAAATATCCACAAATAGATCTGATTGTTTATTTGTAATTTTGTTGATTGTAGAAAGTTTAAAAAAAGCATTTAAAAAGTATTTTGAATATTTTTACAAATGTTTATAATTATAAATATAAAATACTAAATACTAAATGCTAAATACTTTTAATAGAATATATTAAAATACACAATTATGAATATAATTTTCACAAGACTTGTATTTAGTAGGTATTCAAAAACGTATTCTGAATATATTTGAAAAGTATATTTTCAACAAGATTGGCTACTATAGTAGTTCAGAAATTTCGATATAGGATATATGGTTATTTAATTTGTATATAGAAAGTTGTCGTGGCCGGACCCCCTGGTCGTATTTGTATCTTAGGGCCCCTCGAGGCCCAAGATTTATAAAATATCGTTATTTAACTACTGATTGTTTTTTGATGTCTTAAGGAACGGCAGCAAGAAAATCGATTCATTTTTTAATTTTTACCGACCGCAAAAGTGTTTTCCGAAATACAAAACACACCATAGTAAAACTATATTTATGCTCTTAGCTACATTTTATATCTATAAAACAATACATTAATAATATGACATTAGTATCGTTTATACGATTTTAATTTTATAATAGTTTTTTTTTTTTTTGCTTGTATTTATTGTAAAAACTTACATAAAATCAACCCGCCGAGTACAGTCGCAAAAAAAGGACGTGTCTCCCTAGATTAAACTGGTAGTCATTTTTTATAATATAAGGATCGAATCCCAAGCCTATGATATGCGAGTATCGTCCAACTAAACCCTATATCATTTTGTCGTAATCAAAAAGATTAACTACTTTCTGATTTATTACCTATCTGGCTGACGGGCAGTAAATTTCACAAACGGTTCCAACTGTCGTTCTCAAAAAAATCTTTTTAATTTTGGTACGCATTTTGAAAGTCAATAGGAATATTGCGCCGCATTAATATTATTTTTGTTTTATATTTTATTTTATGAAATAAGACGAATGGTTTAAAAAAATATATTAATAGATTAATATTAACCATTAATCTATTTATCTGCATTTTTTAATTTTTTTATTTAATGCTCTTGGCAAGAACGGTGAGAAAAATGTAGTCATTCGAAAAACGTGTCAGATTTACCTATAATATATACCTACCATAGCTGACACACGATCTCTATTCCCTTAAAACGGTTATGCTGTTCATTTTTTAAACTGCCACTTAATATTATTTTAGGGAGTGGCTATTCGTGTAAGTAGTTATAATGGGAGGTGACTCGTTTTTTTTAAATACGATAAACTGGCCATGCGAGTAGACGACTGGTTTATTTACAAGAAACGATAAATTCGTATATTTTGGGAGGTGACTACAATAATAGTAGGTATAATGATATGTATTGTAAAAAAAATTGACCTAACTGGCGAACCGGTCGTGACTGATGATGGACTTCGATGTTGAAAATAATTGGGTCTGTGTATATTTAAAGCGCTAAAATAGGTAAGTTGAAAAAGCAAAATATTTAAAATCCCAACAAAAGCGCAACTAACGAAACACTTAAAATTAAAAAAAATCGTTGGAAAAGTAGGATATATAGATTTATTTAATTTATATCTGTGTGCACTAATAAACGATTATTAACGAAAAACGGTTCTGAGCAAAGTTTGGTTGAACACGTTTTGAAAATCTGTGGTTTTTACGATTTTCATAAAAATGTCAACCATAAAAAAAAATGTATATGCACATTCCTCTCAACTTTTTTGACCATCAAGTACAACTTATGACGACCTTTCGTATGAGTTATTTTTATATTTAGCTGTATTTTCCTCTCATCATATTTTCCTATGGTCATGGTATCCTCTGCTCATTTTGGTATAATATGATTATGGTATACATTTTTTCCGTTGTTTTTTTTTTAATTTGGCTCATTATTACCTAGACTAAGAGCTCAGGGAAGAAAGGCTTAAGAAAAATGTATAAAGTTTTTAACGTAAGCAAATTAAATTGGTAAAATTTCTAAAAGTGCATAATGACTTAATGAATTGCTAAATGGCTTAACCTGAATAACCGTTCGAATTATTCTAAATGGCTAAAGTCGTATAATTATATGGCTTATGTACTTTTTTGACCAACGAAAAGTATACCATAGATAATTTTCTGTATAATTTGTGTTAGAACACACAAACACTTATGACACTCAAACACAATGCCACCATTTAGATAAAACAAATTATATAAGACAAAATAATTACAAAAAAAATGATTACAGTCCTTTTCCCCTGGTACTAAAATTCAAAAATATATATGAATAGAATAATGAAGATCGGCTTATTATAGTTTTTTTTTTTTTTCTGAGCTTGGAGAGCGTTTAGTATTTTTGTTTCAATTTGTCTTACTACATAATAAAATCGGATACCTAATATAACAGAAAAAAATTACGTATATTAGTGAATACAAAAAAAAAAAAAATAATAATAATAATAATATTACGACGACAATTGTCAATACCTACCTATATTATTATGTCTTCTGTATGATGATAATGTGTGCGTGTGTGTGTGTGTGTGTGTGTGTGTGTGTGTGCGTGTGTGTATGAGTGCGTTTTTAACTGCGACTGGACCTCCGGCGGGATGGATTTTGCGAGCGACGAACACCCCACGCACGTCGTCGTCAGTCGCGCGTTAGTCGTCCGCGTGCAAGTCGCTCCTCGGGTCTTTCGCGAAAAATAGAACGACGATTATTGTATTCCGGTACGATTTAGTCGACGCGGAATTATCGCCTATATAATATCATAACGGTATAACTGAACATTATTTTAAACAATATCGTATTGTTATAAAAAAAAAAAAAATATTTTTAACATCCCGAAAATTCGATTCGGTATTTCGCACACGGCTTTTCTATAATATATCGTCGAGTAATACGAGACAGTCGGTGTTGTTTTTTTTTTTTTTCGTGTCCGACGCTCTCGACCATTTCCGCGATCGTAACATTTCGCCGCTTAACATTAGGGACCTATCTATAGGTTCTTATATTATAATGAAATTTATCCTCCGGTGTTATTGAATAAATACTACTCCGTGACGTTTTTCGCCACGGCCAGTTCGACGATGCACTATGCAGGCACGGGGTAAGTAATTTGTTCGTCTAAGATGTTCACGTTTGTTTTATAAAACAGTCGCTGACTACCGATACGTCAAATTCGCGATGCTTCTGGGTGTTTGTCTATTATGAGATACACATTAAATATGCCATCGTAATATTGTGAGGTTTTCGAAAATCGAGTGCCTTTCAATCGGTAGCGTTTCGCAGGTCTTGTAAGTGATTAGAGAAAAGGTAAATATTTTGAAAATTACAAGCGTAGTTGATTTTAATGAACGCAAACAGAGATGGGACCTATACGATCATCATAAATATAAAACGACGAGCTATTGCCATTTATTGTTATTTGTTGATTTTAGGCTTCATTTATAAACAATTATTTCCAAAATTAAATAATATTTAGTGTGCGTATAGATGTACACTATTTTATATATTATTCAGAAACCAACACATACTTTATAATACTGATAGTAAATAGTAAAAACTATACAAATGCTGTAACAAGAAAATTGTAAAATATATTGACTGCCTCATCTGGCTAGCTGTCACTAGTTCCAAACGAGTATAACACAATTTCCAAAGCAATAAGAACTATGTTCGTTTAAAAACAAAAAGTGAACATTTTTGATAACAAACGCACTACGTACACCATCGAATGTGTAAGTGTCGAAACTACAATGCAGTACAAAATCTGTTTAAAAAACTGTACACTTTTTTTTAAAACAAACAATGTTAAATCATACACAAAATCTTTCATTATCTTACCATATATCTTCAGCTTCAAAGGTTATAAATGCCTATTGCTGTTCCACATAGCCAGAAGCCTATTCTGATGTAATAATTGTCAATTATTTTAGATTATTAACTCTCAGTCTCTGAATATCTCAATTAAGTCCATCGATTGATTTGTTTTACTTTAATCTGTTCGGTGGTCTTTTTCCTTCGGGTGTCCATTCTGATGTATCTTTTACTAGGTATGTTATTCGACCTCTATACGTGTCTTAGCCAATTCATTATTCTTCCTCAAAGTGTCTGAACTATGTCCTCTTCTTCGAACAGCTAATTTATTTCAGCATTCGGGTTCTTATTTCATATTCACCTGATTACTCATTTATCCTTGGTCCAATTATGCACCGAAGGAATTTTCTTTCCAGAACCGCCTATCTTGTAAGGTTGGTCACAAAAGAATATGAAATATTATTACCTTATCTGAAATAAAGATTTCATAAAATAAAACCTGCATACCAAAGATCAAAACTAGTTTTATTTTTATTGCATTAGATTAAAATACATCAGGTTTCTAATACAATAACTTCGTATGAATAAGTTAGAAAGTTATTGATAATTTAAATTCACTAATCTACATATTAGCAAAAGTTTCTATTTAAATTATTTCTTACATTATTATTAATTAGTAACTAGCTATTGTTGTTATTACTATGTATTATAATATATTTCACGTTATTATGTGAAAATGTCTTACGTCAATGAACATAATATTTACCATCAACAGTTTATCCTTAAATTGTGTGATGTCAAATTGTTTCTGATATCGAATTTTAAAATATGTACAAATATATAAGTTATACTTTTCCTAATGCCTATGCTTTATCAATTTATACCATATATCGTATGTGTAGTATTGTATCTACAAAATAACATAAATAACGATAAAAAATTTTTTATTTTATTTTTTTTATTATCAAAATTAGTTTTAAAAAAGCTGTATGTATGAATAAATGATTCTAAAAATTGTGAATCTAGGTAAAAAAAAAAAATACAAATTCCTATAGCCTAAAATTTGTCCAAATCAATAATATTATAATAATATTGTCATTTTCTTTTTACTGTATAATGAAATTTAAAAAGTCTAATTGACCGTCAATTAAATTTAAAACTATACAGTCAATGATAACATATTATTGCCCTAATTATTTTTTAATTTGTTTTATTGAAAATATTCCAAAAATATGTCGCGTAGATATCAATTCAAAATTTCAACTTCTATATTATAAAAGTTGTGATTAGTACAATAATCGCACTTTATCTAATTTTATCTTATTTTAATCTAATGTGTTATTCGTTATTCTGTTAATGATATTATGTGTCGTTTTTTTTTCCATATCATAGTGAACCGTGAATTAACTATCTTAACTTAAATTCTTTAACATTTTTTTTAAATTTGAAATTTGAAAATGTTAGAATTTCTCCGAAAACAAAAGGGTAATAAATTACTGATATTTGTATATTGAATATACCCAAAGAATGAAAAAAAAAATCATTCGACGTTACACACAGTATAAAAGTAAATATTGTTTGTCAAGATGTTACGTAACCATGGACGACTTTTAAACTTGGTTTCTTTATAATTAGTTACTAGGGCACGGACTTTCATGTAAATATACAATTGTATTACATGCTGAATTTGAGTGTGTTTCATAACACCCTAAGTAAAATAAGACATTCGTTTTTTTATATATTTGCATATTTTGAAGTAAATGTTAAATAATAATCGTATTGTTGCAATTATTAAATTTAGTGAATTAATGTTATGATTTCGGGAGATTTTGTCGAGGATATTTGGACGTGTCATTGGATATTTTGATTATGGACATTTTTTATTTTGGAATAATTTTTTAGAAAACTTTGACAAAACGTAGAAAACGTATTGTTCAACTGAATTGTAATGCATTGTTTACACAAGTATACTACTTTTTTATATGGTTCTTAAAAATCATTTTTAACTGTCATAATCTTCTATACCTAATAGAGACTAATAACTCGTTTTTAACAAATATTTTTACGATGTTCATTACTCACTTACTACGTGACTTATAGACGCGCACATTAGAACCAGTAAACTCTACAAGGAATTATTTGATTCCTCGGAATAAGACATATATAATATTGCTCATAGCGCCCCAGTTGAATTAATTCGTTATATCTACCTACCTATACTCTATTCTGGATAAGATAGAGTCACTCGAACGACGAAAATGTGTCACGTTAGCGCATCCCTGTACTAGACTACCCCACCCCCCGATCATATTCGCTCACTGTAAACACGGTGGCACCAACTAAAGGATCCGGATTTGCTCATTGGTTCAATCTACAAGCATAAAAGTAGTTCAATGTTATCCTAAATAGTGAATGGAGTATAGTTAGTTCCAATTGAACGAACTAGATAACAATATAAATATAGTTAATCTTTTTACTATTGTACGACTAAGTTGGTACTATCAACGATAAACTATTATTTAAACCTACTTCAACTATATGCTTATAATAGCATTATAATATTATGTTATTATTGTCCAAAAGTTCCGTTAATCTCCTGAAAACAGTTCTGGTAATAAAATATTATGAAATATTTCAATAAAAAGTACTAGTTTTATTTAAAAAAAATAACAATATAAACGGTTATATTTTTACAGCTACACCGGTTGGTTGTATTTTTATTATCAAACATTATAGGAAATATAAATGTATTGATTAATATTTATATTATCATTTTTGTTTTAAATGTTTATTTTGATGACTACACTCTTAAAACTGGAGCAATGAACAATAAAACTGAATTTTTAATTTCAAATTCATACATATATGATATTATATGTACCCAATACGGTTTGACGACAACCGAATAAAATAGTTTATTAAATTGTCTTCATTTGTCTTATTAAAAAAAAATTGCCTTACTAAAATTATAGACACCTATCTCAAAAACTGAATAATATTTTATTATATTTTTATAATAACATTTATTTTCAACGATCATTAAAATGTTAAATATTTAAATAGTACACAAACTTATGTAAAAAAATAAAAACAATAATTGTGTTTACTTTTTTTTGACAAACTTAACCCGACCTATATACCATGTTCACATGGTTTTTTTGAAGTCTAGTGACATTGAAGAATGTGCCAAGAAATGATTATGTTGCCAAGCTCTCGAATCAACACATCGGATAAAAGTTGATTGCAATTACTAAATTGTTATTTTTTTCATAATATTCCTTACCCAGGCATTATAATTGTAATCGGTTTTAAATACCTAAACCTTCTAACTATCATAAAAATGACGTTCATACTCTTTTACAATAGATTTATAACTAAATCTACCTATAGTTTAAGTAATGTGCATAATTAATATTTTAGCTTCCGAGCGTAGTGCAAATTAATATCGTAATTTAAATAAATGTGTTCTTTTTCCTCCGAAAACTGGTTTTCGGTAAGTATCCCGGCCAGTGATACTTTATTTGAAACATATATATAAATTTAACCCTAGTTTTGTTTTTTTTTTTGGTTTTTAGATTCTTGTTAATGTCTGGGTTAACTTAGCTACAAGGGAAAAAACATGACTTATAAAGCCTTACCTTATAAGTTTTTTAAATTTTTGGATAACAATAATTTATCGTTACTTTTGGTACATAAACTTAGTTACCCTATATTACATACGCATACCTTCCCATTTCCCAACAAACCGCATAAAACAGTGGCCTACCCGTGGTATGAAATATTTTGATACGTATTACTATAATATTACGTTTCTTAATAGCATTTTTGTTTTATCTGTAAATTAGATTGAGAAAGTAATTTTTCTAGACGTAGTCTAAATAATAGTAATACAATGGTAGATAACATTAAATTTCATAAAAACAATATTGTTGTAGACGTCTCGAAAACAAACATTTCGTTAAAATAATATCAGATATTATATTGTGTAATTGACCGAAATGAAAATCAAACGTCAAGAAATTATTATAAATTAGTTTGTCTGCAAAGTAGCAAACGACTCAACGGGCATAATCATATTTGAAAAATATAAAATCTTTGTTTTCGATATACGTAAGGACGAAATTGATTTTCGCCAACATGTAATGTTCGTAAAATATATATTATATATTTATCGCACTATATCATATTATTTAACTCTAACATAAATATTTATGACAAAAAAAAAAAAACTCAAAATGGTTACTGACTGTGTGGTATAATCAGGTACATCAGAACAATAATTTAATAGTTAGGATTTTACTAATAGATACCAATATCAATAAATTTGCATTTGAAGATATATCGAATTAAATTTTTTGATATTAACAAAAAAGCCGTATTATTTTGATATTAAGACACTTTTTAGAAAACTAAATTAAATCAAAAAAAAGACGTGTTAAACACCGTAAAGACAAAAACAATTTTTATGAAAGAAACTCATCTTAAAAATTGCATCAAGATTTCTAGTAGAAAACAAAAATAATGTATAATAATGAATTCTTTAACGCCGTAAATATTCGTCCATTTTTTCTGGCTTTTCTTAATTATTAGATTTTAATTACTAATTCTTAATTAAAAGAAACCTGTTTTGAAAATCAACAAGTGACCACCATAATGTACCAATTAGATCTAAAATGTTAAATTTTGATTGGGCTTTATTTCTGGTGGAAAAGTTTTTCAAAGGCAGCGAGAAAAATGCTCAAATCGTTGTAAAACCAATATATTCATTATCTGTTCGGAATCTCTGAATCTAAAAAAAAAATACATTATTGTAAAACATTCCTAGCTTCTCTAAGAATCTAGAATTTTAAATTATCGTTATTTTGAATGTTTACGCACTATAGGTGTATATAATATTATTACTTTTTTAATGCAGTTTAATACCATATCCATAACATTGTCTTTTATTTAGATTATATTTCCGTTATTTGTATCGTAAGCCATTTTTTTTTTTTTTTTTTATTTGATTACAATAATAATTTATAGATGAAAATCTCCATACAATAATAAAAATATATATACCGGGCCCATCCATTAACTAAATTTGGGTCATTAATAAACAAATTTCCCGTGCTCTAAATTTGATGACAGTATAGAATAGTACCTACTGCAATTAAATGTCATACGTATGTTCAACGCGCGTGATGACCAATGGCGTAGGTTCGGTGAAACAATCGTATAATGGTCTTTTAAGCGCGTTCATAAAGTACCTAACTTTTAAATGACCGAGTATTACGCGATATATTTTAACCGCGGGTTCCTATCCATATCTATCTTTATATCTCGTAACGACTTAGAACAAGACATACACGAATATTACATTTTTACATCATCACGATGTCCGTTCGTACAGTAGTAATGTCAGGGCAGAAGAAAGGCCAATGAAAGAAAAAAAAAACTGTGCCGAAAGTCCATTACAGAAGCAAAGAAACAGTCAAAACGCAAAAGTTTTCATACGGTTTGCCAGTCTCTTTGACCTAAAATAAATAATAATTTAAAAATACAATTCTATGTTTGATAACAATATGTACTATGGTCCCGTGGCAGTTATTGTTACCGAGACGGTATCTTACACGTACTATTTATAAAACCGAGGTTTGTCAATATTATATTATAAACAAATGAATTGTATTAAAAATCGTTTTTGCACTGCAGTAATTGTTAAACCGAGTAGATTCAAAACCGCGATACATAATAACATATAATATACTATAATAATTAAAGCTGAGTAAATTAACGAACAATATTAACTCAGTTAAATTGATTTAGCGAGTTTACACGTTGAAAGTTAATTTGAAAATTTAATTAATTTAAGTTAAGTTAATTATTATTATTATTATTTTTTTTTTCGAAAATTGGTATTGTTATTGTGAAAATTATTAAACCTAGAGTTTATAAAAACGAAGACGATCAGTGTTTAACACTGCGGGGAGTTCGGTCTGGGAATATCAAACTGTACTTATTTTAAATTCGAAATTATAACACACATTATTAAGTGAAAAAAAAAAATGTTTTTATGATAATATCTATTTAAATATTGTATGTACAGATTGCAAATTGAATATAATATACCGTGTTACGTTTAAAATTAATTGAACACCTTTACGTGGTATAATTTAAAATTAACTAGTTATTTATTAAGTCAGGTAATATTAAAAAGTGTAAATTTTTTAAAAATAATAAAAGAAGTGGTTAAAAACTAAGATAAAACTAATAAAGCGTTTAACTCACTAACATCGAGCCTTAACTATTATAATAATACACAAAACGCGTTAATCAAGAATATTAAAAGATTATTTAATATTTAGTTCAATTATATTAATTAATGATATAAGTATGTAAATAAATTCATAAAGTATTCGAAACTACCTATATTAAAAATACTTCCATACAAATTATTTAATAATTACTATTTTAAATTTGTTTTGATAAGTATTTGAATTGGCTATTTTAATGTCTAATAAGTAATAATGAAACATAAATTAATCTACTTTTAAATTCTATAATAATGTGATTATTAATTATGTGGGATTCATTAAAAATAAGTTTAGTAATTACTTATATTACCTATATATATATATATATATTATAGACCACTTATATTTAAATAATTCTGAGTGGAATTTACTTGAAAAACAGTAGACTATTTTATGATTTGTAATTTCTTTGATTTTCTCAAGATCTATTAAACAATTAAGCAAAATACTTATGACTTTTTAATTTTTTTTTTTCATTATCATTATAATTTATTAAAGTCGTATTTTATTTTATTTCCAATGTATTTTAAATACTTTTTTGTGTTCGTACTCCAATATTTTTAACGAATTAAAAAAGTTCTCGTGTACATTAAAATTGTATTAATATTGTATTAATATTGTACCATCTGTTCTAAATACACTTAAACTTGTTTTCTACACAATATACTTGTATTTGTATTCAAAAATACCTACTTTTAACAAGTGTTTTTAACAAATCTATACGTTAATAGTTTTTTTCTGATTTTTTAATAATAATAAAAAATATTCAACAAAAATAAACTATAATATATAGGTACAACTATTATCAATTGAGAACTACATTCCTGTATCACGTTGTTTTTTACAGTCATGGCCACATATATATTATATAAATAAAACGATAAATCGTTGCGTGACACCAAACATGTGTTTCTATCATTTAAGAATAATGGAAATCTTTATAAGCTTATTTTTTCCTCTAAAAATAAAAAAAAAACATATATATAAAAAAGTGCACCCGTTACAAAAAAAAAAAAAATTATACGTTTGTCGATATTTTAAAATCGACTAAAAGACAACCTGAAATAACTTATTTTTCTCTTAAATTAATAATATTCGTACTTATTTCACTTTAATTTGCATACAATAATTATATGGTGTATATACTTCGCACGAAGGGTGGGCCACTGTTGTAAGTGAGAAGTTCAGAAGGTAGGATATAAAGGGAAATATGTATATCTGTACACAACGATTAATAATTTATTTATTTATTTATAATTAATCATTGCGTAAGTAAATTATTCTGAGTGGGATTCGATGATACGTGTTTTGAATGTTCATTATATAATATTTACTATTTTTGACCGAATTTCATATTAAAATATTTTTATAAATCATTTTTTTTTTTTTTTTTTGGACCATATAGTACGACTTACAAAGAAGTTCATGTTAAATTGTCAAGCTTTTCTGTTTGTTCTTATAATTGTATCCACAAAGTACCAACCGAATTAAAATTACGTAAGAAACTCACATAATTAAAATGTCTATAAATAGCTCAAAAATGGGTAAAATATTATAAAAATTTGACTACGTCTAGAAAAGGCAAATTAAAGTTTTTGTCTAAATTTCGAGTCTCTAGAAATATTTTTAACTGTAACACAACAAAAAAACATAATTAAAAATAATACGTTTCGTAAATTGTCCAGTTTTTCTCACGCGTGTTCTTGGTTTTTCCCAATTATTATGAAAACCATCTAGAAAATCAAAAATTTTACCTTATATTTATCATATCTTTACCTTACATCTTATCTTACTCGTCGTACCACCCAGACACTATTTCGTTCGGGAAAATTTAGTACACTCGAAAATGTTGGAAAAGTTTTTTATAAAAAAAAGTAAACATCATTTTAAAACTATTAGGTACATTTCTCGCTTCCCTCAGAATCTAAAACAACAATAAATCCTATAACTATTTGTTAAATCGGTTTTATGATAAACTTAATATACTCTTGAATATAAATAATCATTACAATATTACCTTGAACTTGTACTAGTCAATTTTACAATAAATTACTTTCCAGAATAATATCTAGATACTGGTATTATTGAACTTTCATAAATGATAATTAAATTTTAGCCACATCGGCGTGCACCGACATCTCCATACAAAAATAAAAATAAATAATACCTACCTAATAAAATTTAAAAAAAACGAATCCGCAATTATCAAACCCGATACTGTTCCAAAGAAGTCAGTTCCAGGTGATGAAAAAAAAAAATGGATAATGTCTTGTGGAGTGGGTTACATTTTAAAGTAGACAATTTACGTATGAGAGAGTGGTGAAATAATAGTATTACCCACCTTTTTTTGTTTAAAAATAGAATGACTTTTTCAATAAGTGGAGCTGTTAAAATGCAAAAAATCTTCTTGGTGGCAAAACATATTGACAAATACATAACTACTTAAATATTATTTAACATAATATTATCGAAACCGCTCGTTTTCCCGCGACAAATTCATTGAAATTATTTCGCCGACGGATTGATTCGTTGACAGGCTCATTTATTAAGGTCGCGTAAACCAAAAAAATATTGCGATTTATATGTTGTGCACACGATTTTGAGATTCTGTTCTACACTATGGACCTAATAATATTTTGTACGCGCAAAACAAATGTATTTTCCAGATAGGTGATTTAGTTCGTTTTATATTGTATATGCAACGATGAATCACTGCGAACGGAAAACAATCTTAAGCGAAGTTTGGTAAAACAAATTTAAATGGAAAATTGTATTGATTCGTAACAATCATTATCCATATTTTCATATTTCGAAACGTGTAAACTTTTTTGATGGTCCGTTATTATTTAGTTACAGATATCACTATTATAATTAATTGGTTTGAATTAAATAATTTTGCCGTTTACTTCTGCAAACGTAACGGTATGGCGGCAAATGTCCGCCAGTGAAAAGGCTAACGGCGAATCAGTCTATGGCATATTGGTGACAGGAAAACGATTTCTGCAAAGCGTACTATAGACCCTATAATTAATTATATTTTTTTATTTAATTTTTTTTTTTTGAAAATACATGGTTTTACAAATGTATAGTTTGTTCATTGGGATTTGTTTTATGTTTTTTCTGATTTTTAAAAATTAGATTTTATTACATGAGAATTTTTTTTCAGGTCGAAATAAAAATATTCTTTGAAAAAAATTAACTTAAATCGTCACACGATATTATAATACTGGGATTTCCGGAAAAACAAAATTATAAGTTTCTTTACCTAACCGTACGTCACGACCGTCCAGATTATTCTAATTGATTTGTATTTTAACTAACATACAAATAATAATATAGACCGCTAAAAAATACATAAACCGTCGAACATCGCCAAGTAAACTGCAAATAATAATACTAACAATGTTACTATAGATTTCATAATATGATAAAAACTACTGAGTCGTTAAAATTAGATACGTACCTATACCCAGAAGGCGGACCATCGATCCCTTTTCCAATCCTTGTAAATCAAATAATTTAGAAACACGAGCGGTCACAACTGATGTTAACACTATAGGTACACACGAAACTATCAATCGAATGAACACGTTTTTAATATTAAAACCTTTGCAGGACGTTTACGGTCCGGCGGGTATAAAAGAAAAACTAAAGAATTAAGGTGAATTTTAAGAGTTATTTCTTTATAGCGTATTTATACGAGTGTTTATATTATGGCGTAAATGAAAAGAATAATAAAAGCAGAAGGCTTATTATAACGTTTTTTTTTCAGAGAAAAAACAACCGCTTAAAGCAATACCGAAGGAAAATAATAAAGCTACGCGATAGGTACTTAATCGGGTTGGAGAATCAGTTCTATTAAATTTAATGGGTTTTGAACTTTTGGTAGCTAGCTGGGTAAAGAGGCATTGAACACTGAACACGTGTTATTAACATACGAGTTATAGTTATTGAAAAAAAAAAAAAACATTAAAATTAAATTTGATGGCATCTCTATTCAACGAAAATTTACTGATATAAATCAAAACAAACGGTGACATTTTATTAATTTTATTTGTAACGTGAACAATTAACATAAAGACCGTCATTGATTTACTTTAGCTGATCGTATATTTTTTTTGTGATTTCAACGATTTAATGCAATATTATATGTTGTTTAAATAACAATAGTGTAGAATGAAAAACATTACAACATTATTTATCGTTATTATGTTTTAATAATGGCAATATTCTATAAAATAAACGCCATGAATTTTCAAAAGACCTTGTAATAAATTTGAACCTTATTTTTAGTAATACTCTACGCCGTAGAGTCTACGGTAATATTTAATAGGTATGGGCGGAGAAACTAAGACGCACTACTACGGAAAAATCTTGGAACAGATTAGAACTCATCAGAGAAAAGACCTTTGAGGAGGCCGGAGATGAAGTTGAAAGACGTATTAAAAAATGGGTGTAGACGATTTAATATTGGAATATTGTAAACAATTTTATAATGTTACCTATCTGTTATTATTATTATTTTTTTTTTTTTTTCATAGAATCTCAATATTGTTTATTACGCGCATTTCATTTATCAAATATAAATGATACCGATAGAGGGAATTAAGTGTTTATACAGGTGAATTGAGATTCAACTATATATTTTTCATTTTTAAAGCTGTTCAAATCAATTGCTTAACTTAAACGATTGAACTTTCGCCATTATTTTGAAAAGTAAATCGGCCGAATAAAAATGTATAAAAGTGAATAACGATTAATATATACGTAGGTACGTTACATTAATTTACAAGTCACACTTTTTCTGACAGTTTTACTAAAGATATTTGTTATTTATACTTATCAAAGAAAGATAACAATACCGAAATATTTTTATATCTGAGCTAAAATTATGTAAATAATATTTTTTATGTTGTATAGTTTTATTATAGTTTTACAATGTGGTTTGAGAATTTTTCTCTGAAAACACTCCACTGGGTAAGAAAAATAATCTAAAAGTTCCATTAAAGTGATCACATTTCGATAATATCCCCCTATAATAGTTTCCATAAGATAAAACTACCAAAAAAAAAAAAAAAAAAACAGGAGAGTTTTAGTCTCTGATTTTAACAAAATCATTGCTAGTTATCTCAATAACTCATCATAACTTGGAAATCTAAAATTACTGCTCTTAATCGTTTTATGTACATATAATGATTTATGTAGTTGTTGTTTTCGATATTTAAAAATAATATTCTACGATATAATAACACTTAAAATCTCTATAAATCTCTTTCAAAACAGTAATCTCCCCTGTATGATACGAACCAAGTCTGTTTTTATAATAATAACGTCTTGTTATTTTAACGTCTAATATTACTTCTACGAGTTACGTATTTATAATTAGTTTTTTTGAAATGTATCGCTTAAATGGCATTTATTGTTTTAAAGCAATCATGTTAGAGTAACATATTATAAAGGCAACGCTGTTATATGATTTGTATTTCAAGTGTTCCTCCTAAATCAGCCACGGTTATTTTTTTTTATATTAGGAAAACCCAAATTTGTCCTAATATAGTGTTATACCTTTTTAAATATAGTCCTAATTTTTTTTTTTTCGGCCAATTTTGAATATACCATTAAGTATTATGTTTAACTAAAGATCCAAAAGTAAAATATTAAATGCAACATCGTAATTTAATACATTTTATTTTGTTATACTTTAAAATGTACGGTTTGTCTTCTGCAAATACTCTTGGATTTCTCCTTATTTTTATGGTGAATAAATTGTATACAGTCAAGATACGGCACCCCGCTTTCTATATACTATTAGTTTATAAACTATGGATCTTTGTTCAAATCTTGACCCCTTTGTTAATTCAGTAAATTTTATTGTAATATACATTTTTTTGCTCACGGAAATATTTATGAACATATTTGAACGGTAAGAATTCAATTCATATTTTATGCACGTGACGTATAACACAAAAACTCCAAATATTTTTGTGTTTATATGTAATATATATGATATAAAGCTCCGGTTCCTATTGCAATTCATGCATTGTAAACAGATAACAAGTAACAAATGTAGGTGTTTCTTAATTTGATGTTTTGAAGATTAACTTACTGGAATTTTTTCCTAACGTCAACAATTATTATTCCTGGTCATCAGGTTTGGTAGATACGTTTTCAATTTAAATTTGATAATGTAATATACCATCTCCGTCTTTCTAACAGGGGTTATAGCAAAAATTCATTCAAGTATAACAAACTAAAAGGCCTTCAAAATCAATTTCCATGATAAGACACCTACTAAAAAGTGTGTAAATAACAACTTCGTCGGTGTTTCACATTTATTTTTTGAATACTTAACAAAGGTGAAAAAATTCGTAATTTGCGCGTTTTTCTATTTAATACATAAACTTTTTTAAGAATTAATATTTCGTTTAACACTAACGAATTCGTCCATGTACTAATATCGTCTATACATTTGATTATAGGTATTTTATGTCAAAATCCCATTATAAAGTCCTTTTCGTTTGTTTTAAACGAACAAAAATTTACTGAATTTCCCGATAGAAAGACACAGATGGCCACAAATTCAACGGCCTCTTAAAATGCAATTATTGTTATTAATATATTGTATACACTGTTTATAATATACAGACACAAAGTCCTACTATAAATAAAATATTAAAGAGTAACAACGTATTAGTACAGAATGATAACCAATAAATATAGAAATATTGAAAATAAATAGCAAATATACAATCTATAAAATCTTTAGGTTAAAAATAAAAATTATAGCTGAAACCACTATATAAAACTAAATAAAATCGAGCACATTATAAAAGGTACTTGTGTGTACAGTGACGTGAAATGGCCTGAGCAAATATAGCAAACCAATCGTTTTATGCCTCCAGACATTTTTTTAAATTTCTATTCAAGTACCTACTTATAATTTCTATATACAAAATGAATCATTTGTTTAGTAGGTAAACAATTTTAATTTTATGATGGAGCAGCTACCATGTGTAACAGTGTGGCACATTTATCTACAAAATATTATGTGGAGGTACGTCAAACTATTTAGTTTTATGTTCACTTATACAATTTTTATTATTTTAATAATTCAATACTTATTTTTGAAATTTTATAAAAAAAAAACACACTATTAAGTCAAAACTAATTGTTTATTGGGATCAGGATTTACCGAGAAAATTGGAGTATTGATGGGTTAGAAAATTAAAAATTCCCCACAACTCTCTAAAATTGAGACAAATTTATGCCACTGTGTGTGTATTAATAAATTAGCAGGAGAATTTAACTGACAAGTTTTGCTGGAGGCATGTGGATAGAATGGTTTACGGTTTTAAGTATTAAGCGTATTAATTTGATGTGTTTAAGGGACAAAAGTTCATGCAAATAAGTTTCACCGAATATACAAAATATCAACAATATGAAAAGCAGATGAATAAAGCGAGATTAACAAAGTTTAAAACATTGTGGTAATAACCATGTAGTTACTGATTCAATTCGGCCTGTTTTTTGTAGCATTGTTAATCCAGATTAAGGGACAATACTCCGGGTTTCGCTCTTCGATCTGAATAATATCCGGCTGCGACCCACGCAGTAATTAATCAAAATACGTTTGGCATTCGACCCAACCTCCCCTCTCCCAGAAAAAAAAAATATCGATTGTTTAAAATTATAATCCTTAAAACGATAACATATTCAGCCATATCTCGGCGAATACATCGAAAACGTATACAGAATTTGAGGATTATGACGCGATAACAACAATGCATAGTATATTAGAGGCGGATTTATTCCGCAGACGTTCGACGCAAGTAACACGCTTTTTTTTGCCGAAAACCGGCAAACTTTTGCGCACAGCATCCTCCGCTCGGACATCAGCCGTATACTTTATAATATTATAATATTCTGCGTAGCCCCGGTGTTGATCCTAAGGTCAGAAATGTTGTTAGCCCGCGTAATGCTCGCAGCAGACAACGCGCGGTGAGAACTTTTAAAAATACAACACGGATTTACTATATCTGTAAGATGGTTTTTTTTTTTTCTTCAATACCGTTTTATTTTTGTATACGATATTTATGTACAGATCGTATCGCGCGCACGCGCGCGCGCTCGACCGCGCGGACCGTCGCAACGTGTCAGTCACACAAAATTAATCTCTTTAATATTATTATTATTACGCTGGCGCTCGCGAAAAAACTGCTATTATAATATCGCGGCGTTATAGGTATTCTACTCCACCGCCGCCCGTCTTGCGGGCGATCGTTCAGCCGGCCAAAAAACCGTCAGCCGCTTTGATATCATCATATTATTTGAATGCCATTAATCGGTCGTTAAAAACCGAAACAATTAACATATTTTTATTTATTTTTTTTTTTTCCGGTCGCGCCAACACGTTGCGTTACGGCGTGTACACGCGTGCATGTCATATACGGAGGAGCAATAGTAGGTATTATAGCGAAGACTAGAGAGCGAACATTTTCGCGGTTTTGGCAAGTAAATATTATATTTTGCGGGTCGGTCGACCGTCATAATATTGCACTGAACTCGACACGACGCCGTGATCGGCGATCTAATGACGACGTGACGCACTGTAATGATATTATGGCGAATGGCGATCATAGCGTCGTGGACATGTGACCAATGACATAATGTGACATAATTATTACATAATTTATATTATATATATATATATATATATATATATATGTACACACCATAAAGTGTTTGGGAACTTTATTTTAATAAGGAATTAGTTAATTTTGCTCGAATGGAACTAATTCTTTTCCGCGTTCTAAACAAAAGGACGTCCTCGAATAAAAGTAACAATCATTAATTTGCTTTGTGTACTTTTTTTTTTTATTATTATCATGAGTAATATTTAATTTATGTTCGATATTAGGTAAAATTTCAATCTTACGATCTTATAAACTTGGTTCTGTTGAACACAAATTTCCTATGTTGTGCATTATTAAAACCGGAGACAACAAATTAACACTATAACGTGCCAATTATCGTTTTCGAATTTCGATTCTTAATTTTCAAAAAAATTGAATTTTTACGAAATTGTGTGTACAAAAATAAAAAGCCGACAATTAAATTGAAAAATGTGATCTAACCAGATCTCGTTTACGCTTCATGCTAATCAAATATGTTTCTGAATTGTTATTCCTTCAATACATCGATCAGACTGATTGAGAGAAAATTAGTCTAAATTTTTGTATTACATTATATAAAAAAATAAAATATTAGTATCCTAACCCGGTTAGTAATATTGTAAAACGGAGATGGTGCGTGTATTTTTAATTTTGAGCGATGCAAGAAATTTATTTTATTTTACTATGTATTATTGTGATGCACCCTTTTTACAGTAGGTCAACAATTTTTCGGCTAGAAGCCTTTGGCTTCAATCATCACCTCTATGAACAATTCCTGGTACCAAATTTTGTCTAGTCGGTCATCATTTTTCATGTTCAATCGCTATGGTTACCCTACCTTAGAACAATGGCCGTGACATTTTTTTTTTGTTTTTCATAAGATTAAGTGCGTGAGAGGGTCTAAAACTTTGGCCACCACAAATAAAACTGCAAAAGCGGCACGCGTCGTTACCATATGCAATTTACTTTTACCGGAGGTGAGAATGTGACGTGCGATACCTACCCCGAATATTTATTTATGTATATTATGTATATTTATATATACATACACGCATACATACATACATACATACATACATACATACATACATACATATAAGTAATATACAGGGTTATTCACTCAACTGAAAACACTATATTCGGGAAGTATTAACTTTTTTCGAAATTTTTATTTTTTGAAAACTTAAGAATCAAATAGTTTTAAAATGTTACGTTAAATGTCTATTTTTCATTTTTAAATAGCAACTTATTTTTAAAATGCCTTTATTAGAACGAGTATTATTCAAAATAAATGTTGTGACTGACATTTTTGATTTCCGTCAACCCGTTGACGAGATATTACACTTTTAAGTTATTGGAGGGGGAGAGAGTAGTGATGTTAAGTTAAAATTCTGTACGCAATTCGTTACATTACATTGACAGTTAATGTATTACACTGGGCGTTTTAAGTGATAACAGTGTAAAATCTCCCAAAGTATAAAGGTTATAACTGATAATCTCTACTACATACAGACAATGTTCATGATACAGACGATGAAGCCGATTCACGATAGTAAAGATATATCTTAATCTATGTTATCGATTAGCTAAAAACACGGTGTAACTTGTAATGATAATACATTACCTACAAGATCACCCATTGAAAATATTTTTTTTCAGTAATACTAATACAGTGTCTATTTTGATATAATTGCTATAACAATTAAAATTATAATACAGGGATTATGTCACAAATGGTTTTTTTTTTTAATCTTTTATTTAATAATTTATCAAATATATAAGTAATTTTAATTAATACCTACACTTTTGAGTTGGATACTTGCCAAAGGAAATATACAATTAATTGGTAATTTTTAGCTAGGTAAATGTACAAAATATCTTAAAATATATATTATTATTATTATTATGTACCTATACAAATTTTAATTTTTTTGATTTTAAGTGAATCAATAAGTTTTGTTTTAATATACATGGAATACCGAATATGCATTACTGACTTGTTATACCTATCAATACTATTCATATTTTGATAACAACTACCAAGCTTGATTTACAATCTAATTACACTTTAAAACAGTACCAGCCATACTTTTTTTCATACTAAAATTTGGCATATTAGTGATCTAACATAATATAAATTAACTAAAAATATCTTTAGCTTAATGATTTGAACTTTGTTGGATACATTTGCTATCTTATGCTAATTTGCTATCTTCAAGGAAAATCATAAAATAAGGATGAAACGGTGTTGTAACATTTCAATATTATAATAGCTAGGTTGATTAATTGAAGTATTATTTTTAAGAACAATTTTCAATTTGGAACAAGTAAAAAAAAAAGTATTATATTTTAATATTTTACTAGACGACAAAATTAATCAGGTGTGCATAATTATTTTTAATTATTGTTTAACTGTATTACTCCTAAAGATTTTTACTGTCTATTTTTAGACAGTGAAATTAATTTCAAAGAAGCTATGACAAAAATCAAGTTCAACCAACTGCAAGAAGAAAACTGTTATCAAAACTACATACCTTTGTACATGTTTTATTTTTAAATGTTTTTTTCTAGTTAAGTTGAAGAACGTTACAACATCAATCATTTAAACTTAAAAATAGTTTGATATCAATTAATTTAACAAAAAATTAAATAACAAAAATGTGTAAACATATAACTGTGTAGTTATTAATGTTTAACTAATAATAATATTATTTATAAATTAACAGTACTCGTGTAAACTATATGCTATTTACTAAATATTTTTACTTAAAATTATATCTATCTATTGTGTAACATGCAATATAACAGTGCTTAATATCGACGATCCTTCTATAAATGATTGGTGTTTTAACCTTTTTGTTATTAAATAATAAGTACAGTATAAACTCAATTAACCGTCAGTCACGGGACCGGGACTATGACGGTTAATCGAATATACGGTCAACAGAAATTTCGCAACAAACGTATATATTTTACCGTATACATAAAAACGGGCCCTAATGAATTGAAATCTTATAAGATATATATTTTATATTCTATGCATAGCAAGGAATGTATTGGTTTTACTATGTTGTTTTTATTTTATTTATGATATTTCTTTATTGCAAGGGCTTATCCCAGACTTTAATATGTCAAGTTCTATAACTACATATTTACAATAAAATAAAAAGTAAAAACAAAATTATTAAAACGGTTAATACTCGGTAAATAAATAGGGTATTCATGTATTATGACTTATTTTAATTTGTCTGTATTTATTTTATGTCAAGTGTAGCTACAACATTCCATTCTACAATTTATTATTGTATTCGTTTTAATAATTTAGTATTGTATTGTACTACCTATTATTTATCCAATGGAGTGAACAAAATTGTCTTCCTCTAAACATTAACATCCTATTAACAAATGCTAAATAATCTCTTTTACACGTAGTAAAAGTCCAATAATATTTCAGTTTCAAATTAATAACTATTCTCTTGATAGAATAAATTAGATTAAAGACTTGGGTGTAGATTTTTAAAATGATTTATTGTTCAAATTAAACCATAGAATGATAATATTCAAATCATATAAAATGCTAGGTTTTATCAATACAAATATTAAAGAGTTTAAAAACACTATATGTGTCATTAGTAAGATCTAACCTCAAATTTGATTCATTTATTTGGTCTTATAAATTTTCAAAAAAAATTGCATATGTTTCCGATAATATATCACTGGAGATACAGTTATTCATTAATGTTGTTGAAAATTTCTTGAGCCTATACTCACTAAATGCAAGACATAAATTAACAGATGTTATGTTAGTATACAATATTTTAAACAACTCCATTGACTATTCTGACACTCCTGAGCTATTGGCTGAAATTGGTAAAAATTAGTAGAAACACTAGGAACTTAAGATTTATAACTGTGTAAAACATGATATAAACAAAAAACGATAACGTCACAATAATGGCTAATAATTAACTATGGTCACAATACTAAATCACACTAATTACAGATATTCACAATAAATGTATTGTCATAGATAGAATAGTAGAATACAATATTAAAGTAACCGTTACAACTAAGTTTACAGGTCTATGGATAAAGTATGGTTTTGGCGTGTCAGTAGCATCGAATTATAAATTATCTTATAGTTCAATGGTCATTCAAAGGTAATGTGTTATCATCACAATTTACTAATCTTAAAAGAGTAATTTAAATCTAGGTTGCACATAATCACGAGTCGGCCTAATCAGATGACGCCATCATTTGTATGTAGTAGAGATTATCAGTTATCACCTTTATACTTTGAGAGCTTTTATACTGTTATCACTTAAAACTCCTGGTGTAACGAACTGCGCACGGAATTTTAATTTTACATTACTCTTCTCCTCTCGCCCAAAACTTAAAAGTGAAATATCTCGTCAACGGGTTCATCCAAATCCAAAATTTATTTTAAAGAATACTCCATCTATTTAAGGCCTTTTCAAAAAAGGTTGCTATTTGAAAATCAAAAGTAGGTGGTCGTTTCACCCCCAAAAATAAGGGGTACAAAAAAAATTATAACTTAACAATTTAGAACTATTTGTTCTAAACTTTCCGAGATAATGAGTGCTTCCAGTTGGGTGAATCACCCTGTATACTATATGCTTCCCAATTACCTACGTGAGTTGACCGTGAACACAAATCTGTCAAAAAGCATACTACAAGCCAATATCGATCGAATTTTGTGGAGGTATATAATATGGTTGTGGCGAATAGGAAGGTGCAGGCCACCAAAATCTTCAATTGTGGATTTCATAAAGACTGAAAACGTAGTTATCAAACACGTTTGATGTCGAGCTTATAGAGAAAAATTGCGACGTGAATTCCAATAAAGTCACGGATTTATGAATGCGATATTTTCCAATTTTTATGTAATACCCTACTGTTGTAAAAAAACGTGAATTGTTCAAACGTGACTATTATTATACCTATGTATACCTTAGAACAACTTCAGCAGAAACGCATGGGTGTACAGTATTAAAACAAAAGACTATATAGGTGAGCCGCTAAACAAGGTGAGAAGTTAGGAAGTTACAATATATAGTATACATAAACTGTTAATTTAATTTATAATATCTGTACGCAATTATGATAACGACAAACGATTTTGAACAAAGTTCAATTAAAGCTGTTCTGCAAAACTTAAATTTAAAAATCGTATTAATTTTAAGTTTAAAAACTACAAAATAAAATACAATTATCCATGGTTTTCGTCTTAAAATTTTGAACATTTTTATAAGGCCAAATAATCTTATTCATATTAATCGAAAAAAAGTACGCAAAATGCCGAGATTTTGATGATTTTTATCAAAATTCGACTTTAAAAAGTTCATAAAAAAAAACTACTACATTGTACTCAATTTTTTGTTTAGCATTTTACTACTTTACTATCCTTTACTACTAAGTAAAAATTATAATGAACCTTCTATTAAATTTTCAAACATTTCTGTTTCGTGTAGTAATTTTATCAATAGAGTACCTACCAAAAAAAACTCACAACATAAAAATATCTATAAGATACAACTTTAACTTTTACATCAAAATAATAAGTCTCAGTGAATATATTTGTTATCTGATTTACAACAAAATAACAAAATTTAAAATAATAAAAGCATTATTTTTGTAAATTTCCCTGATTTTCTACACTTTTTTCAGTTTTGCTCAGTTATTAAAAAAAACTACAGAGAAAATCAAAAAATAACTTTCTTATTCACCAAATTAATTAAAAACGTAACAAAATTGGTTTCTTCTCATTTTTTGATATAAAAAATAAATCTAGTAGAAAATATAGTTTGCAAAATTAAACACAATGCAATTGATAAAGCCGCAATGCTTGATACATCGGAGCAGGATTTCTTTTTTTCAAAAAGTTCTTTACAGGAAAAATGAAAAAATAAACACACACACACGTCATAGTAAAACCTATAGATTCCTCGTTACGCTTCAAATCTACTTTATATCCCATATTTGTGTCACTAATTTATTACCAAAATGCAACAAAAAAGGTATTTTGCCATTTTTTTTTTTTTTTTTGACTAGATCATTTCTGGTAGAAAAGTTACTCGCAAACACCAAAAAAAAAATTGCCGCATTATATTAAAACCAATACATTCCAAGTAACGGGTGAAATTTAAATTATTAAAAATTGTAGGCATGCAACTTTTTTCTTTTAAGTGTGTAAATTTAACAATAATTATTTAAAATATTTTATAGGTATATAAACGGCATGAAACCCACTACTTTTTATACGTTTAGCATCAGAATTTAAAATGAAAAATTCAAGTGCGAGATTATTAAATTTCTTATTTTATATTACTCTGCGAAAAATAGTTGTTGAACAACATATTATTACATTTTAACATAGTGTATGCACTAATATTTCGATTAGTTACACTATCCCAGCTGGACGAATTATACTATTGCGCATGTAATGACTGCACAGTTTTGCAATGTTGGAATATTTGTCGAATTTAAGAAAATACAACAGAGAATATATTCTAATTAGCATTTCTTCAAATTCTAAATTCTAACATTATAACAAAATAAAAATTATTGAAACCATAGTTTCATTTCATAAAATTCAATGATGCTCAAATTTTAAATGCACATATAAAAACAAAAATTAAAGTATGTAGGCCACTGTTCTTGGAGGGAAATTGAAAAAAGTATACCTAAAGTAATTTAACAATGGTAAATTATTACAAATGGTATACAGTTCTTAATACTCGTAGAGTAGTATGATTCGTTTTTATTCCCATATTGTCACGGGAATCCAGAAAATAAAAACTGCCTAGGAAGTAAACAGTTGAACATTTGGATAAATGTTTCAAATAGAATACCATCGAGCAAAAATTCCGCATATTTCGAAGTACTAGTAAATAAATTGGAGAATTTAACGAACCAAAGAAATAGTGTTTGAAAAAATATGAAAAGCAATTTTTTGTAAAAAGTATTAGGAATTTCGAAAAATTATACATTTTATAAATTTATATAGCTATATTATTAAAATAAAGTATTATCCAACGAAAGATCTACAAATTGTACAGTACTAATATCATGAAGAAATCGGAGCATTTTTATTAACCGAGAAAAATTATACACCTTAGTAAAACTTATAAATTCTCTGTTAAACTCAGAACCTAAAATTACGATAATGTCCATCGATTTTTAATATTATATTTGTATAGTTCTGATTCATTTGTTTTATTTATGAAAATACCGTCACATGTATGGTTTATACTACCCCCATCAATAACATAAACATAGGTATATTTTATGGTAAAATCAATACCTTACCATACGAACTACCCTACAGCTCTCTCCCACATCAAATTTCAAAACATTTGTTGTAAATTATTATAAATACATATGTATATTATACATAAATAATACGTCGTTTAAATTATTATTAGTGTCTCTTAAAGTTTCTTGAGTGGGTATACAATTTAAACATTTATTTAGTTTTCAAAATGATATGTATGTCAGATATTTATCCTTAAACTGGTACAGCTTTACTAAACAAATATTATTATTAAATTTTGATGAACGGAATAATTTCAGTTATGTTATAATATTATTAAATCTGAAAACGTAAACGTACGCACTTTGGAAGGCCTTAGTATGGGGGATTGGTTTTTATGTAGTAGTTAGACTTTACTAGTACCTATTTTTTTTATAAATATCTGTTTAATAATTTATGTTTCGAATCTGAATTACCTTCTTAAAATAATATTTTAATATTTTAAATAATTGTATAAAAGTTTTAATAATTATTATGTTTATGATATTTTTATGTTCTATAAATAACACTTTATGTCCCAGCTAAGGTCTCTTCTTTTTGAAGTGTAAGTCCCTCAATAATGAGGGACATCAAATTAAATGCTGGCCGCTTTTTGCTTTTATGTGGAATTTACTAGTGAGAGAACAACAATTATAATTTTTAGAAAGATATCGATAAAATGATATAGAGAATCGATATAAATACTCGTAGAACCTCAGCAATAGCACTAAGCTATTTAGCATAATACCCAGCGTATGATAAGTATTAGCACATGCAAAAAATATTGGCAACGAGTCTTTTAGAATCAGAAGAGGCTGCTTCATAGACAGAAATACATAAACTTCACATTATAAATGGAATGGTAACTCCACACATACGCAGATCAACGACAAATCAAAATTGAAAGTTAAAAATGCAATCAGGTTGAAAGACATTCACATTACATATACACCATTACGGCAAAGCTCCTCAAATCGAGACGGAGTTTTATACACAGTACAAAGAAAGATTGCCTTAAAACAACACAAGAAAGATAGAAATAAAATATTCTATTACGAGTTAATGAACCGATATGTACACGAACAATAAAAAAACTAACGCCAGAACAAAACATGAAATACAAAACTACAAAACACGCAAACTACTTAATTGACTGAGATCAGGGGTAGCTAAAAATAATACAAATTTAAGAACATTTAAAAAAAATGAACTGTGCGAATCTGGAAGCGTTCCAGGAAAAGTCACCTACTGTAATGGCCAATAACGGGAACTCATTCCGAATGGATGGATCTGTTTTTCAACTCAAATGATATGGTCACGTAAATGATCATTGATCATTTATCAATTACTCAAAAGATTAAAAGAGAAAGTTAAGCTGACTGACATGAGACTAACTAATTAACTATCTATATAATTAAAAATTGTATTTTTATCTTTAATAGATCTATTGATTTGCTTATATTCTTCCCAATACCGGTAAGGATTAATTCCAAAGATTATCGCTTTTAATATGTACACTCTGTATGGTTGTAATAATAACAATATTGACCTATATCGTACTAACTGCGTTATCGTGATAGCGTGAAAATATTCAGATAGCTGTTTTAACATCGTTCTCTCCTGAAAATTCACCCTTTTTTTTAAACTTCATGAACACAGCAAACGATATTAAAAGTAATGGATAATAATAATACTACATAAGCTTTGCTCGTGGAAATTGCCAATGACCTTCTGCCGCAATTACTATAAATGCCAATACCATCATGTATAATATTATTATTATGAAACCGCTTGACAATATAATACTTTGCATCTTATAACAATAATATTTATAACTAACCTGTCCGTTCGGAATAACAAAAATAAATCTACCGAAAAAAAAAAACCAATCATAACACAAAAAACACCATCACCGATAAAAATCCTCAACTATATCAAAATTGTGTAATATACTTGGTATTATTCGCACGGGACAGATTTCGTTTCTGAACGCCCTCGGAAATAACAATAATAATATGAAATAAATCGTAAAAACTTTTAAGCCAAAGCTGACATTGAAAATATCTAATTTTATTGAAAAGCCGAATCCAAAAGCGCCCATTTTTTAATCAATAAATCAAGATTTTCCCTTTGTATAATATACAGTAAACTAACGATTATCCGAGGTCCTTATCGTCCACGGAGCCGAGTTTATTTTAACAAATACAAATTATGTGTTATGATTTTTTTTTTTTTTTTAAGAAAATAATAATATAAACGATGATAGTATGTGTAATCATTACATTTTTTAATTATTGCATAATGTAATAATTTAATGATAATAAAACACGTTAAACGCGGTTTTATGTTAATTTTCAGCCTATTTCGGATTATATCCGCGAAATTCACTTATCACTGGTGGCCGCGCAACTCAATTCCGCGGATAATCGAGAGTTTATTAGTACTACAGCTAAGCTCTAATATAATAACATAAACTTATATTTCAAAATGAAGTCACTAAATAAATATTTTTAGTCGTGGCATTTTTAAGCCGGTGATTAGCCATTTTAACCCTGTAGTCTTACGCACGCCACTGCAGAATTGTTTTTTCGTTTGTTCAGAATTCAGATAACTTGTGCGTGGCCTAATACGCAGATGATATTTTGACGACGGTGTTTATTAATGTGACAGAGTATCATATAAGAACCGTTTGTCAAATCACGAAACCGCACATGAAATACGAGTAACACTTGCACATCAAATATATTTCACGAAACGTGTAACGCGTCGCGGCGCTTTTAACCGCCGCGGCTTTGGCGTTTTCAATGGAATATTATTACGACCGGCGTATACACCACTGTGTCTCGAGTTTTCCCGCGTCGTGCAGAACTTGATTCAGTGACGTGTTGAACTATTGTGTTTGCCTAAAGAGTCTGGATTTTCATACATATATTTTAACATAGGTATACTATCACACAACTCATTAGTTTTATTTGAACAAACTCACCAAAAATTACAAAAATCTACAGTATACAATATTATAACATGTTTGATATCATGTACAATTTCCTTTGGCGTTAAATTCTTAATTTATAATATTTGATTATTTTACTAGTACCTGCCTATATTGTATATTACTATTAAATTTACCTAACTGTCTGCAATTTATTACCCACGTCCACATAAATTTAAAACGGAACGAAGGCTCCTCAAAACCATATTGTCAACACGCCACTAGCTCATTTGATTTGTACACAAAGTATAAATATACTCAACACTTGTATACTTACGGATTATCATCTTAGAATCGACGTAATGTCAAAAAAACCATATTCGGATCATACGCGTAATAATATTTCTGCAATACTCGGTTTTTGATAGACGTTTTTGACGAACCTGTACATATTATATATCACCAAATAATATTATAATACTACGAGTATACATCAAATCCATAGATTATAAAGTTAATATATTTATGGTTTTTTTTTTTTTCTGACAATGGATTCGATTTCTGGATACTATATTTACGCGTATTACATTGAGTAATGTCGTATAATATGGCGTTATCGAATATGGACCCGCTCGATTTCGAAATCAATACACATCGGAAATAAAAAAGAAAATTATAACAAAAATCTTTCAGTTCCCAAAAAACGTACCACCCCATAACCCACATATAATACATCTAAATAATTCATTTGAAGAAATATATTACCTATTTGTATTCGCTCGAATGATCGTAATATAATAACATTATTTTGTCTACATAAATTTTCATACGGTACTATCGTCTTTAAAATAACCCAATAGTAAATTGATATTTTAATAACAATTGGATTTTCATCGGTTTGTATAGTATAATATAATATTATACAGGGCATATCATATACCCATATACACATTGCAATTTCTCCTGAGATGATAAATATAATTAAATTCTGTTGGTGTTTTTTTTTTTTTCATATTACACACAGGGATAAGGACTAAAAATATTTATATTTGAATACAATTTTTATGTTTTGTTAAAAAAATAACTTTTTATTTTATTATTTTTGAAAATTTTTGAAATTGCCATTTCGTAAACTATTCTTCTGAAATGTTGACGTTTTAATTTTTAATTTTTATTATATTCGTGATTCTTAACAAGTTTTCAAGTTAAGAGAAAAAAATGTACAGTCAATCACCTATAATAATAATAATAATAATAGTAATAGTCAATTAGCAATTTGTTTACAGAAATATACAAATTTAATTCAAATATAAATATATGTAGTCCTTAACCCTATGGATAACATAAAAAAAAAACTGAATTTGTTTTATTTTTTTTATCTCCAGAAATATAACAATGGGTATATCTTCTTAGAACAGACTGTAGAATTACAAACGTTACCCGTAACTTCGTTCACAAAGATTTTTATAGTGCATTTTCTACAGGGTGTATAAAAGATAACTTAATAAAATGTAAAATAATATACTTCAATAGTCTGTAATAGTAACAAATATTTTTAAACTATTTATATCATATTAGCTAACTTATAATTATGAAACAATTTCCTATAGTTGAATTTCACATGTTCTACGTTTCCTTAAAGTTATCTGCATAGGACACATTTATAGAAAAATCCATTGTTTACTTATGTGATCTCATCGTACCTTTCAATCATAATAGGTGTAGAGTTATTTTCCCACTTTAAATTCCACCCCTTAGGTCTTAAGGGGTGGAATTTCCGAACTAACTTATAATTTTAGGTTAAAGGTTGGTAGTCATGATTGAGCTATATCTACATTTGCAAAAATGATCACTCTAAATTTGAACCACTAAAAGTCATACATTTTTAAAAAATTAGAGATTAGGTAGATTGTGTCGGCTCCAACACTATTTACGCATAAATGTACCTACGTTGTACATAAAAAAATATCAAGGTCTATGGCGTTTTAGCATTTATTCATTTTACACTGAAAACAAAAAATGTTCCCACGTGAATGAGATATTTTTACAGCAACGTTGAAGAAGAACAAACACTATCGCATAATATAAATATAGAGTTATACAGAAGTTTATATTCATGCATTTTATTGAGTTGAATACACAATACTAATAGCTGATTACTAAATACTAAAATTGTAAAAAATATTTCGAACTATGTTTAAGCCACTGTCTTAGATAAGAAGTTTAGAAGGTTGTATGCACATTTTACTGAGAGCTAAATAAAAGCTCCAATAAATAATTTCAATCAAAAACGAATAAAATATGTGAATAATGTAAATAATTTGAAGCGTTTTTACTAACTCAAAAGGTATATTTCGAGAAAAATCACATATTAGTAAAACTATCTAATATCCCTACACTACACTCAAGAAATTTTAAAATCGTCGAATAAATGTTAAAATAATTTTACAGGATTATAATTCGATGACTCAGTATACATTTTTAAATTTTTTAAATCTATTCAATGAAAAATGTACTTATACAGAACTTATAAATTTGTTCTCATTTAACTCACAATAATATTTTATTGTAAACTTTATATTTTTATACTAAACGAACACAATATATTTACAAACATATGTAAAAAGAGAAAACATATTTTTCTGGTGCTTTAAAAAATTTGTGAGTAAACATAAATGTTCCAAACTAATTCCAATGCCAGCATAATAAATGAGAGTTTGATTTTAGGTACCTACCTAGGTACAATGGTTTGTAATTCCCTTACCATTAATTATTCGAGGTTTTTAGTTTCTTGACCGGTCAAAATATCTCCAAAAACATATTTCCAGTAAAAAATACCATATAAAAAAAACAAATATATTTCGTGCTATTGGCAATTGTTGTAGGTGAAAAGTTTAGAGGGTAGGATATAGAGGGGAATTTAATGTAATTCTGTGAAAATGTTGGTTATATCTGCGTTTTTAAAAGCCATAATATTTACAATTTTCGTCAAAATTTGATATTAATATTCTTATAAAAAAATTTTATATTACGCTCAATTTTTCTTTTCTTTTTTTAATCAAAAATTACGACTTAAAAGGAATCTCTTGTTAAATTTTCAAGAATTATTGTTTGGTCTAACTATTTTGTCCACTAAGTATACCTATTGAATATAAATTACGTAAAAACTCACAAAATAAAAATGTCTATAAAAGGCAAATAGAAGTTTTCTGTCCAAATTTGTATGTCTTTACGAATATTTTAACTAAAACACAACAAAAAACAAAATTAAAAATAATACATTTTGTAAATTCACCCTTTTTTCTAGGTTTTTCCCAATTGTTATGAAAACCGCTAAGAAAATCAAAAAATAACCACCTCAAAGTAGATAAAATTTCTTTTTATAAAAGATACTACACTTGAAAATCGAAGCAGTTTCTGGTTGAACAAAAAATTTATATCATTGTAATATATACAATATACATATATTATATAGTAATATTTTTTATCTATAAGTGTTTATATTTTTGACGATATTTCTTAAAATAATTGAGTACAGATATGTTATTATAATAACACTAATAATTGATAATTAATTATATCGTGTCATTTTTGTATTTATGTATGTATAAATGTATTAATTTGTATTGCTAATTTAACACATTTTTTATTTATAAACTTTTTCGGTTGGTTTCCTGTAAACAGGAATTCTCTGTATTATTAACTTAATACCATCTTAAACTTGAAATAATATACCTACTTGTAATATAATAATAATTAGGTATCTATTTTTTTTTTTTTTTTTGAGTGGATAGCAAAAAGTGCATTTATGTTTGTTTATATTCAGTACAACGCCAAATAAATTTGTCCACAAGTTCTTTAAAAAATGAATGAAGGTACTCCATTAATATTATTCATAATTCGTAAAAATATTTATATTAGTACTGGAGATTTTTTTCTAAAGAGATATTACTCACAAGAGATATTATTTACTGGAGATATTTTGTATCCGAGACATTTTAACCGAAGATATGGTGCCCTAGAACCGCGAAATGCTCTACTTTTAAAAACGAATATATCTCTACAAAATGAATACCGGTTTGTGCTTATTAATTATTGCGCAACAACTATTATATTTTATATTTTACTTTACAAAACTCACAACTTTATGAATAGACACTAAGCACTCAGCTACACGAGTTTCCTCAGTTACACTTTCATTCCTGCTATGTACCATCTGAATCGTAACCATCCGTCAGCTTTGCTCGAACTCATCATGAAGTTCTACAATTCTACAAATTTTACAGCTATAAACTTTCAAATTAATTAAAAGTATGCACATCACGTGTGAATATATTTTAATAACCGTTCACAGAAAGTGCTCTTTGCACTTAATTTCTGGGAAATACTTTCATAGTACATCCAAAATTATATCATTGATAACAAGAATTTATCAGAAATGATAGAACCGCTTTCTTGCTTTAGGCTCTTTAACTAATAGACTTATTAATTACGTTATCTGTGTATTGTATTGAACGTTTCCTGTGATACCTTATTACGGATATGTTCGAGCAGCTCATTATATGTCTATGGGTACATACAGATAATATACAAATTTCGTTCCGATGTATACAGGCTAATACAATTTATAAACGTGTATACGCATTTCCATAAGAACTAATAAACAAAATTAGTTGTGTTTTAATTGTGTCTTGTTTTGTTATATTGATCATTGATGGGTAAAGATTTCATATAAACGTAGCGTTACGGTGTGTGGGAAGCGAAGTCCCCTTGGCTTATATTTTTACCAAAAGTATTTTGCACCTATTGAGCTAATTCCCTACGGCCGTCCCTGGGTTCAATAATAATATTGCACTATAACACGCGAATTCTAGGACAAATATAAACTCATACAGTAGACCTGATTACATCTTTTTTCTTTGTTCTTAAACCAGTTTTAGTGATACACAATACATTTTTCCAATCAAAATTATTAGAGTTCTCAGAATCGGGTTTTTGCAATAACGTTTTATTTTGACACAACAAAATGGTCGTATTCGGAGAATACCACAATTTTAAGTACTGTTCATATCATTATATCATTATAAATTTGTCAGAAAAAAATTTGATTTATTATACAAATTATTATTGTTGGTTCTAATCCCCTTGATTGTGATCGAAAAAATTTTACCTTGTGGGAATTATCCTAATTTCCTCAATACTAACTTATTAACTTAATATTTTTACGAACCGGAACTCTAAAATTCCAATTTTAATCAAAATCCGGTCCATTTCGAGCACTGATCCTATATAATTAATGTATTATAACTTACAAGACATATTATATTATTATGTTTTTTTTAAAATACGATTAACATTTTTTTTTTTCTACCTTTCTATTATAATATCATTTATAAGTGATTACACTATCTAGTGTAGGAATCTACACTATATGCCCATGTAGAGGACTACCTCTACATTTTGTAGAAGTAAACCATTCCCCAGGGTATTTGGTTGAGAGACGCATTATTATCATGAATATGAACACGGGAATTTTTTTTTTTTTTAAATGTTTAATACGAATAATAATAAATGTTATCACTTATTCACGATGTATATTTCAATTAAATAATAATAATTATTAACTAGTTTGTGTCATTTCCCTGTATAGTCCGTTTTTTTTTTTTTTGTAGCAATGAGGAATATGTCCAAATGTCCTACAATAATTTTACCCTCTTACACATTTATAAATTGAGAAGGGGGATAACAATATTCAAGAATAAATTTACTTCGTTAATAGTATACAATCATATTCTTAGCCCCTCTCCCTCAATAAATATATTCTACGTTTTCTTACATACCCGACAAAAACCTCCAGAGTTAAAATACACTAAGGGGGTAAATATTTCCTATATTATTCAGACGACCTGCAGGAGGCTGTGTTTGTAAAAAATCAATTAACTAGAAAAATAAAACCACTTTGATCATCTCGATAGGTAACAATAAGATATTTAAAATGTTCAGTTTTCGCTCTATATATATACATATACGTATACAGAATAATAACAGTGTAATAATACTAAAATAATAACTAAATACTAAAATATACTCATTTTCTGAGATAATAAAGATTATCAAAATTTTTTTTTTATTATTTTACATTACTCGCAAGGATATGAATTGTATGTATTTATATTTGGATTAAATATTTATGTTTTAATATAAAACTAAAAAATTAATTTTATTTCATTATTTTTAAAAATATGAAGATAGCCATTTAATAGAGTATATTCATAAATTCTAAAAATTTAACAGAAGATTCATTATAAGTTGAACTTCAAAAAGAAAAATTTTATTTTAATGTACTATTTCATTATTGTATTTCGACGAAAATCATAAATATTACGACCTTCTAAAACATGTATAACCGAACTCCGCTCAGAATCGTTTTTCGTCAGCAATGATTAATAGTTGCATATAAATATACATTAAATTCACCTATATATCTTACCTTTCTAACTTCTCACCTATAACAGTGACCCACTTATCGTGAGAAGTATGTCCGTTTTTAAAAACTTTACAAAATTTTTAAAAATTACGAATTTAATGAAAATAAAAAGTTGTTACATCAAAATTTTCAAAATAATATATTCTATAAAATGACTATCTTCTAATTTCTCAAAAATAATAAAACAAGTTTTTTTCAAAAAAAGTTTTTAACAAAACATAAAAAATTAATTGAAATATACGTTTATATTTCTGTGACAACAGAATTTGAGTATCTTTATTATTTCCGGAGATATTCGTGAGACATTCTGTAAATACATTGTCTATTGTAATGGTACTGAAATTTTCCCAAATGTCCTAAAACTTTATATAAAAAAAAAAAGAATAACATTAAACCAAAAAAGAAAATGTGTATATTATTACCTACCAACATTTGAACTTTAAAATGCCGAAACCAAAAAAACAAAAGTTAAATAAAAATAAGATAATCTGAGCCTGTATAATGTGAAATAAACGTGTATTGCTAAGTTAAAGCATTTTAACAGAACTTGCAGCGAAAAAAGTTCAATCGTTTCTATAAGATCCCATCTTTTGTATATAATACTATAGATATAAGGTCTGATGATTAATACATCTAAAAAAAAATGTCCACTGTTGAATTCAATTAATAATATATTCTACACTACTATTATTATTGTGTTGAGTATACAGAAGGATCAATCATTTGAGAGTATCATAAGACACTCGTTATCTCGGAAATTATTAACTTTTTTTGGAATTTGTTTTATATAAAATTTAAGAAACAAGTAGCTCATTAATTTTACATTAATTTATTTCTTATCACCCTTATTTTTGGGGATGAAACCACTTCTTACTTTTGATTTTCAAATGGCGATCTATATTAAAAATTCCATGAATAAATGATGTATTAGTTTAAATCAATTTTGGTGTTGACATTTCTGATTTCGGTCAACCCGTTGACAAGATATTTCACTTTTAAGTTATGGTCATTGTTGCATTATTAAAATGCCACGCACCGGAGTGCCACACAAATGATGCTCCTCTACCTATTTTTAATGTAAGTTGCCATTTGAATATCAAATGTAGGTATATTTTCTTCAACCCCCAAACATGAACGGGGCAAAAATAATATATGAGTAAATGAAAAATTGTAGAGCTGCTCGATTCTTAAATGTCCTGTATAATTCGGAAAACAATTAATACTTTCCTAGATAATGATTGTCTTATTATAGATTGATCAGTTTGTAAAGTATAATATACTATGCGCGAGTGGCATCCGCTGTCATAAATTGAACATTTGATATTTTAAAAAGTAATTCAAAATAATTAAAAAATATCTAGAATTTGATAATGGTACATTTTTGTGAATCTATGTTGTAGTTTTTAAGATTAATCATGGTAACATACGTTTAAAATTCTATGCAGTGTAGAGTTCAAATAGAAATATAATAGATTTGAAATATTTGAACAGAATTTATTTATTAAATATTATAATTTTATTGACATATGTAACTTTTAGGTCTGTATATCTATAAATGCGAAATTGTAAATTTCTAGATTCAGAGGTTAGGTTTTGGGCATTGGCGAGTGGGTGTTTGAATGAGTATATCGGTGTCTTCTTTTACACAATGTACTGTACGGTAAAAATAAGTTACTTATATTATTTTTATAGTTTTAATTAAGAAACAAGCAAAAAAATGAAAAAACGGAAAGTAAAAAGTAAAAGCCGTGGATAGGTGGAAAGTGGTAAAATTATATAGGTCGTTTTCCTCGGGTCTGGAAAATATTCAGCACTTGGTCGCCTTCGCGTGGTGGCCATCGCATACTGGGGTAAAGTATGTTTTATAAGGGAAAACAATGTAGATAGGTATGTACTTAAAAATATACACAACGTAATATACAAGTTATAAAATGTAATATTTAAATTAGTTTTGCATGAACATTAAAAGTGCGGAACGTAGGTACTATAAATAAAATAAAAATAACAAAACATTAGGTAAAACATTTATATTATGTAAAATATAAAATTTTACCATCTTGGTGGTAGGTAATATGTGGTCACCAAATAATAATAAGGTCGCACAATGGGTGGGCCACTCTTGTAGGTGAAAAGTTAAGAGGGTAGGATATAAAGGAAAATTGAATGTATATCTGTACGCAACTACTAATTATTGCTAACGAAAAACGATTCTGAGTGGAGTTCGTATATACATGTATAAAAATTTTCGTCAAGATTCGATAATAAAATTCATATAAAAAATTCTATATTACACTCAATTTTTTTTTCTACTAAAAAGTTAAACTTACAATGAACCTCCTGTTAAATTTTCATGTGTTTCTGTTTAGACTAACAATTTTATCTACAGAGTTTATACCAAATAAAAATTACGTAAAAAACTCGTTAGATATAAATGTCTATAAATAACTCCAAATTGCTAAAAATGTTTTAAAAGTTTGATCAAGTATAGAAATGGTAAATATAAAGTTTTTCTAAATTTTAAGTCACTAAGAATATTTTTAAATAAAATACAACAAAAAAAAAAAATTTAAATTTATATATTTCGTAAATTTACCCGTTTTTCCTATGTGTTTTCTTGGTTTTTCCTAATTATTATGAAAACCACTAAAAGAATTAAAAAATAATCTTATACTCATAGTACCATTCGGATAAAATTTTCTTTTAAAAAAGATACTACACTCGAATTTGGAGCAAGATTTCTAATAGAAAAGTTGTTCAAAGATAAAAATAAAAACGATTATCATTACAAAACTAATACATTCCTCGCTCCATTGAAAATTTAAAATAGACAATTTGGAAACGCGGTGCTAACGAAAAAGTTTAATACTCAATGGGTAGATGAGTAATAAACTTGAAACTTCTGAACTGAATAAAGATAAACCGAAAAAATTAACATTGTATTGAAGCGAATTAAGGGACAAAATAATTAGACATCTACTGCATTATAATATTTTTACTGTGTGTGGCTTAGAAGGATTATTAGAAGCTATGCTGAAAGAACCAGAATATGGATGGAATAAACGAAACAAATTACGTAAGACAATCATAAGGATATTGGATATATAACTAGGATTTAAAGAAATTAAGTTACAAAAGGGAGACATGAAGATCTGTGACAAATGATTTGAACGATTAAAGCGAGAAAGAAAAGTTGAATTTTAGTAAATAGGTAACTATAATTCTACTGTCAAATAACTATAATATGTAATAAATCATTATTACTTCAATTTTTTCGTGGATACAACATTACCATTTTTTTGAAATAAAATGCTTTAGATAAATATATTATTTTATACCGTACAATTCGTACGAATAATTTATAGATATTGAACATTATGTATACTAACGGCCAGATTTAGTAACAAAAAAAAAAGAATAGATACAACGTTTTATCAACCATATATTCAATATGATTCTAGCAGATTTGGTAATACTCGCATATAAACTAATAAATTTAAAAAAAAATTGTATTATCTAGTCAATAACCAAAGTATCGAATATTATCGCAATAGGTATTTTCCCTGAAAATATAGAATTTGATATATTTTCTATCTGGACATTTTTATTTGTTCCCTCTGTACCAAAAGTTCATACTCAGACATTTTTTAAATAGTTTTTTTTATTGGCTAATTGAAGTGATAAAACTTTTGTTGAATTGCAATTTGAACTTCAGTACTTCACGATGTTGTTTTAGCCTTGTACACCTCTACAAACCTTCAAAATTAAGCCAGGGAGATTCAATTTTATACATAAATAGTGGAAGTATCAAAAATGTACCTTTTAATGGTTTCAACTTTTAGCTCTCTCCCAAACAATTTGTATGCTCAGATTTCAAGTTTTCCTAGAAAATAACCGATTTTAAATGTTCCTGCAAGCTCATAAAAGTAACTAACATTGTTTTTAACTTATATAATATATAAATACAATTGTTGTCGAGAATGTACCTTTAGAAGGTTTAAACTTCCAATTCTCGTCTGTTATCTAAAATCCCGAGAACTAGTTTAATTATTTTGATCAAACTTTTATTCAATTTTTTTTATTATTATAAAAACAAATTCAACAAGACACCTATAAACCAAACTCCGCTCAGAATTATTTTTCGTTAGCAATGGTTAATCGTTGCGTAAAGATATATATTAAATTGCCCCTTTACCTTCACAAACTTTTACCTACAAATGTGGCCCAACCATCGTGCGAAGTATGTCCGTCCTTTTTTGTAATTATATTATTTCACTGTATGGACCAAAATAGAGTGTGTAATCGTTTGTGGGAAACACTATAGCTCTGCAGGTATTTAATATATTTGAATTCTGTTTATATATTCATCTTTTTGACTGAAGTTATTCTTTTTTAAACCTCATGATATCTTCCAGTGTTATTTTTAGTGCCTACTTTGAAGAAGGCATAATCCTATTTCTCTACCGAAATTTACATTTTTTTATATATATAATTTGTCTCTTACAACTAAAATCATACCTTCATTTAAACAACCAAAATTCGACTATGTTTTTTTATCATAGGAAAGTGGTTTGAACATTAAAATTTATAAAAAATAAAAATAAATGTAAAAATAATATCCTTAAAAGGGGGAGGGGGTTGCCATTAAAAAAAAAAAGTTATTTTGCCCATGCACAAAATTATATGGCATAAAAATATTTTATTTAGTTTAATAAGTGTAAAACAAAATTTATTAAGCATACAAAGAAACAGAATTCAAATATATTTAATATTTGCAGAGATTCTATAACTCTGCAAATATTAAACTGCTCCCAACAAACGATTATCCACTGTATAATATCTGACATCAAAGCAAAACAACCGTTATGTTATAAATATTTGTTCTTAAGCACCAAAAATCGTACAACGGCACATCAGTTTATTACGATTTACACTGTGTTCAATATTTATTAACATAAATGCATTTGAAAACGCCTCACGTACAGAGCACTACCAAATTTATCATATTATTCCACTTATACGCGGAAATAATATCTTAAAAAAATAAAACAAATATTACATTTTAATCCTCAAGTAAATTATAAGCAAAATACAATTAAAATTATAAACTAAAGCAGAAATAAATTGAATCAATTTTATTTTTATGAAATATGAACAATGCAAACGTTTTAGAAATTAAAATCACGTAAAGCTTAAAGAAGATTAAACGTAGTATTTGTAACAACATTGCAGACTAGGAATATCGCAATGCTCACAAAATAATAAACACAATTCTCGGGTTTCGAGAAACCACTACGAAATTATTTTAAACGAAAATGTTAATCTTAAGAGCTTGTTTGAGTTAATTCTGTATAATATTATTATAATCTCAGTATACACTGGAAGTATAGATTCAATTAAAGAATAGGTACTACGTCTAGAACTGAAGTTTTGGCACGAGCAAAAATGCGATTAAAAGTAGCTCTTCCGTAAGACTTAACTCTATTATCTTTGCAACGAAAACAATAGCCTCGAAACACGTCGTCCGTTTTCCAAAAAAAAAAAAAATATATACTACTTGAAACGGGTTGCGTGCCCGATTTAATTTGAGGTGACGATACATGGATTATCAGAAAGATAGTATATAAGGAAGAAAGGTTACAAATTACTGTGGGGGTTACACGTATAAACGTAAAACTTTCTGTTGAGATAGTATGTAAGTGTATAGGAAGAAATAAAATGTGTAGGTTATTACTGACATATACCATAAGTCATCAGTTAAGTACGAAGGTAAGTTTCTTAAAATAGTATTATAAGATTAAATTTGCAATTATAGCTTAACTCTAAATTGAATTGTAATTCAAGTATATTATATAATAATATATCGTCACTTAACTGTAACTGCACAAATTTCAAAATTATTATTATAGTGTACACACCATACAATTAGAATATTATCAATATTAATAAAACAAGTGTTTCCAAAAATTGTTTCTTCTATAACTTGTATTATTAGACACTATTAATCACGAAATGATAACACCAATTACATTAACATAACCCATCTTAGCCAATAATACATGTCAATAGTTACATTGTGAAGGTAAATTATATTTAAAATACATGATTAGTGCAAAATGTAACTAAATCACCAGTAATTAAATAATAACTAATAAATAACCACTTAAATGATGGTGTTATCGGTGTGTAAAACATCAAAAACTTCAAGGTTGCAATAAAAACGGCGAAATGCTGAGTTGTTTAATTTTAATATTTATTAAGATAATAGCTAATAAAAATAGAGCTTATATTATATCGACGGATATGTAGCCACTGTAGATAAGAAGGTAGTGTACATAGGCCGGGTCGCACAAATATTCTGGAACAACTTACAGAACCATCAGTGCACTTACAGATCCATTAACCACACTAGATGTTGCTCCTTTGTTCTATATTATTTAAAGGTCTGTAAACTATTTACAGACCTGCAAGTGACTTTAAATTACAGCACTAACTTCGTATCACAACTCTTAGCAGAAAGATTTATAGATCAATATTATCAATGTTATTGCCGACATTTCTGATAGTGTTTTTTTTTAAAAATTTATATATTACTAAATTTTAAATTTAACTTAACTTAAAATATGAATTTTAAATCTTCATCGTCATCAAGTGATGATGGGTTTATTAACGAAGTTATTACTAAATTACCAAGGCTAAAATATACCTGGAATTGCTATTATTCATACTTTTATGGTTTATATAGTTTGTTTATGCGGTATTATAAGTTGCAGTAAGTAATTTGTTTCGGTAAAATTAAAATTTTTACTACATGGAGCCATTTTACTGATGTTAGTTTTCTCAGTTATCATTGTTCACGACTCATGTAGATAACCGTTGAGTAGGGTTATCAAATATAAATAGTTGAGTTTATCTGGTAACTGTTGTTATCATTATATATTAATTTATATTTTCATTACAAACTCTTTTGTTCAAAACTATACATGTTACAGAACTACTATAATTATAATTTATAATAGTAAGGTGTCTATAAAACATTTTTACAGAACGTTTATGCAACCCGGCCATAAAGTTACTTAATCTATATTTGTACACAACCACACACAAATCATGTACTCAGCAAATCATTGCTAACAAAAAACAATTCTGAGTGAAATTTGATTGAACATGTTTTGAAATGCTATGACTTTTATCAAAATTTAAACTTAAAAGGTAACAGAAAAGCTATTAGGTAACGCTCAATTTTCTTTTAAATAAGTACAATTTATGATAAATCTCATGTTAAATATTTGGGCATTTTAGTAAGGCCAACAATTTTTACCAACTCAAAAATCACCAGAATTTTCTAAAAAATATACTATTCTCAGAAAGGGCTAATATGAGCATTCTGTAAAAATTTCTGGTCTTCACAATTATTTTTAACTAATTATTTGTTATTATATATGACAAAAAAAAACAATTGAAAATAAATAAATTCTCGTAAATTACTCCGGATTTCCAATAATTAAGTAAACTATGGAAAAAAAATTAAGAAAATGAATTCCTTAATATACTACATAACTATATAAAATTTATTTTCAGGGAAAATGTTACACTTTAATATCGAAGCAAGATTTCTAATAAGAAAGTTGTTTAATTAGAAAAAAAACACATACTCACCAAATAAAACCAAAACGTACTACACACTGAATCTAAAAAAAAAATACTTATACATTATACATATATTTAACATTCAAAACACACGCGTTCACGTAATGCAATAATTTGAACATAAAACAAAAAACTTAAATAAATTTAATGGAAATAAAACCAAATAGCATCTGTTTTTAATATATGCTTTAATTTTGAAAATTCGAAATCCTTTGTTTGGAATGCAAAATCGATTTATTTTACGTGAGCAATTTTAGTAAAAGTCGTTGTCCTTTTGAATATAAACCTATTATTACTTTATTCTATCACGGAATTTCATTAAACTTTTGGCCTCTAGCGTCCATCGGAGGTTTAAATTAGTTTAATATATGAAGCTTAAAAGTTATTCAATCCGAAGATAGCGGTTTTATTTTTATCACTCATAGGTACCTATATATCTACCGGCGAAATAAAAAGAACCATTTTCCTTCCACGCCTATATATGTGTAGGTAAAAATAATAATAATTGTTCATGTCGTAGTTGTGAGCATATTTTTCGATAAACACAAAATCAATTGTATTTGTCGGCATTATAAATACGATTGTATATTATAATAAATGTCGGGTTTCAAAATAAAGTTTGCCGTATGATATGCTCTCAAACAAAATAAACCGTACATTTTAAAGTAATGAATTCTCATACACTTAGTTTTGTTGAAACTTTGAAACTTGTTAAACACCCACAATACAAATATTCTATACATCCAGATATAACGAGCGTCATTGAAAGTTTAAATATTTCGAGTATATAAAAACGAATAATATTAATATTACGAAAAAGCATAAAAAAATATTATCGCGAAACCGTGATTTTAATTTTAAATGTAATTATTTGATACGGAATAATAATTTTAAAACAAAAAAATGGCAAGTGTATTCGAAATCTATTTGAATCCAATTTGATTAGTTCAATAGAATATTATGAAAAATGTTGAAATCACGCGACGTCAGATTACCAATACCGCTTTCAATAAATGTCGCTTATTATGATACATATTTCATGGGAAATACAATAAAAAGAAAATAATTTAGAGTATTTGAAACACGTCATATTGGCTTTCTTTGAAAGCAATTTAAATATAGTTCAATATTATATATGTATGTATATACATACGGATAAGGTATTTTTTTTCTTCACTAACGACGTATAATGAACATAATTTAAATTTAATCAGTAGGTATATTTAACGACAAAACTTTTTGACAAAAATAAAAACCGTTCCTGTTAATCAATCTATTAATAAGGTCTTGTATAATTAATATTTCTTTAAATCTGATATAAAATAGAAACTTCGCGGTATTCGGTTTTTCAGTTTCCTAACAGTGTTGATAAACACTTTACAGTTACCTAACAATCGCTTCTGTTCCATAAAAAAATATTTAAAATAAAATTAATTTATAGTTTATATACGTGTATTAAAACTGTTTATGAATAAAGCAATACTGATTCATTTAATTTGTTCCATTGTTATTTTATACATTAAATTCTAGATGAATACGTATTATTATTAAAAAATATTCAAGTGAGAGATAGTGGAATTATTAGAAATAACAGAATAAGAAATGTGTTTATAAGAGCATTGGGGTAGCAGCATTGGGGTTTTTCGATAGACGACGGCTTGATTACATGAGAAAGATTGTACTGAGGTGCTTTGGGCATATGAAAAGAAGAGATGAGTTAGACACTGTTAGAGTATGACCGCATGAATACGGTTGGATGGCGGGAAAGAAAGAGCCCGGAAAAAATATGGTATTGGAAATTGATTTTAGTAAATAATTAAGACCAAGGTGGTCACCCCAAATACATTATAATAAAGGCAAGGGAGAAGAGACAATTTAAAAATTTTGTTACTAGATGAGCAATGCGATGAATAAGTTATTCTTCTGGATGCATATTAAATCATCATGTAACAATTATATTATATTTTTTACTGCGACATTATAATTGGTAAATTGATTTAGATAGGAATTTTTGTGAAACATTTGCTTCAATAAAATAAGACAAGTTTTATTTTAAAAGTTTTCATACTTTTAAACCCACATTAATAAAATAAAAATATAATTTGCTTAAATGGTTTGAAAAAAAATTCTTATTCAATATTGTATAGAATATTTTATTTATTTTAATTAAATCTATATTAAAAGTACATTCTACATGATATATTTATTTTTACATTCTTTACTTTATTTTTTACACTAGTCATAAAGTAGATAATGATGCGTATAAGTTGTAAATGTCATTACTTCGAAAAAACTTCTATTCGTCAAAATAATAAAAAGATAACTTTTTAAAACTGATTGACACGCAGTCAGATTCAAAGTAAAATAAAAAAAAGATCCTTTTGTACAATAGTCATTAAATAAGAATGCAAATTTATAACAAGTTTTGTATTGTGATAATAATTTCGGTTATTTTACTTTTTTTTCAGGGTCCTTGGTGCGATACAGTTATTTAAATAATGCATAAGTCGTACTGCGTTTTCGAGTATGTTCTTTGAAAAACCTTTAATAAACTATACCTCCGACAGCCACAACAATAATACCAGGTAAAAATTCAATATTAATATAAAAATCATGAACAATGTGAATCTCGTGTTGGTAATTGTTACACGTATGCGTACTACGAACAGTTTTTGAGCGTTATAAATTATATAACTATATAAGTTATAATGCTCAAATGATATTATTATAATGTATTTTCTTCGATATTATATTTATTTTTTTTTCCAATTCCGTGCGTTAAATTAAAAAGTCATCCCGTGATCGATATATTATACGGATTTTGTCGTGTGGTATACATCAAATATGTTACGTGATTTCGAATTTCCGTACCTTACCTATAACACGGAATACATTTAACTCGACGACTTTCGCGAACGGTTTTCGTTGTAGCGGCACTAATACGGGCACGTTTCAACCGCGGATATACCTATACCTATTATACTATCGTAAACTATAATATTTTGTGTGCCTACCTACAAACGCCTGTATTATGTTTTTTTTTTTTTTTAGTGGTAACCATAGCGATTACCAAGAGCTGTGGGGACCGAGTCGAGACCCACTTCCGGTGGTCGTGCCTGTGACGCTGATTTACACATTGATATTCGTTTCGGGCGTGGTGGGAAACGTGAGTACGTGCATAGTGATCGCCAGGAACAAGTATATGCACACAGCCACCAACTACTATCTGTTTAGTCTCGCCGTGTCAGATTTGCTTCTACTGGTATCCGGATTGCCGCAGGAAATCTACCAAACATGGTCCAGGTAGGTAACGGTAGACGGAAGATTAGCCCCAAGGATCAGGGAGCATGGTTATACCAGACAGATTAGGATTAATACACTGATATTATGTGACTGAGATACAAGAGCGAACAACTCTGACCTCGAGGACAGCCAATTAAAACATTATGTGTTTTTTCTTATTTAGTCCTCGCGAAGAGCTCCACCACTTTCACCCGTTATACTAAATACTAACAGGGAAAGCATTTCCCCCCCCCTTGTCATCAGCGAGTTTCTATTGGGCCGGATATGGGTTAGTTTTGGGCCACAAGCCTGCAAACATAATTCATGATTTATGTTACATACGGCCACTCTGAGCTACAGTTTTTTAAGATTCATTTGTGATAATAATTATGATAACTGTGATAATTCTATACAACATTTTTTTACCGTATTTTTCATTAACATTTATTGCACTTTACCTGGAAGTGCCGGGTTTTCATAAAAGTCCATGTAAATTTTTGGAGAGTGTCTGTTCTTATTTATTTTATTCTATATTTTATTATATCAATGTCCATGGTAACACAGTTATATTTTTTGTAAATTCATGTACACTCAATTAAATCTTCATGTAGTAACCCATAGGTAATATATTTAAGTAACCATTTATATATACATTTATTATTTAGTCATTGTTGTCCCCCGAAAAAATTAGTTATTGATAGATATAGTAGTAAATATAAAATAATGTAATAATGAGGATATGTGTATTGAGATAAAACTATAATTGTGACGGATGAATTAGCGAGCGGTTTTTTTTTCAATTTTATTATGGGCTAGTTAAATTATTTGCCCTCTCCTCTGAAAAACTGGCATTACACCACTGATAATATATAATTTAATCAATGAAACAACTCAATTTTCCAAATTTGAACTTATTGATCCAGAAAGAATCGTAATAGGTTTCTAAATGTACACATATATTTATTATTAATATATAACAATAATATAACACCTAAAATACAAAAAATGCGATAAAATTAATTGATTTTGACAGTTTTATGTGAAAAAAATGAAATATCGTAACATTTGTTTTTATAATAATATGGCAATTTGAACATTATCATAAAATGTGCAAGAAAAGGATTGAAATTGAATAGAAATTATTTGATACAATAATTATTAATTATATCTGCGTCTACAACAAATATGTACAAAATTAAATATCTAATATTAGAATACCGTATTCTGAGTTAATAAATCCCTTTAAATAGGAAAATGCTTTGAGAATAACAAATAATAATAATAACAAAGAACAGTTAAAAAAGGAAATCCCACGAAACTAATAGTATATTATTATTATTGTACGAGTATGATGATAAAAGAAATGCTCGTTCTTGACCGAGAAAAACTTATAATATTATAAAAGTATAAGCATTGGGGACACGCATTGTACTATTATACCATATTATGTACATATATATAATTACATATCATCTAATAATAATAAGCACGTAGGAGTTAAAAGACTCCGAAATTTTAAAAAGTAGATAGTAAAAGAATTAAATTATCACCAATCTAACCTATATAATATAATATAATAACAAAATAATATGATGTAAATACGTGTATACAACATACCCACTAATAAAAAACTAAAAAAAAAAAGCTGATACTAGAGATGGATGCGGCCACTGTTGTTAGTGGGTAAGGGAGTTATTTATTATACCTGTAACCAACGATAAACTATGAGTAAAAAAAAAACAATTCGGAGCGAAGTTCGTTTATACATGTTTAGAAAGGCCATAATAATTACGATTTTCGTCAAAATTTGATTTTATACTCCTAAAAAAAACACATTACACTCAATTTTATTTTTTGAAACAAAATACATTTGTTCTTTCCATGTTATCTACCCGGCGTGGGTTTGCAAAAAAAATGTCTTTTAACTCGTGACCTCTGGGTTGACAACAGGTGCATATCGTCACTAGACTATGACAGATATTCTGGCATTTTTGAATTATTTAATGTAACACATATAGTATCCGCATAATATCTACAGAACTTCAAAAATCTATGATTTCAAAACTTAGTTAGTACACTCAATTCTAACTTCACCATCGTTCTTAAATTTGCAATATATACGTATGTTAAAAACAAAATAAATTGAAGAATTTACATGAACCAGTAACTAGATTTGTTCAGCACAATTTTTTACTCAAAAAGTTTCAAACGATTTTCGTCAAAATTTGATATAAAAATTCCTTTATAGAAAAAAATACTATATTAAGCTCAATTTTTTTTCTCTGACCACAAATAACGACCTTTAATGAACTTCCTGTCAAATTTTTAAGCATCTCTGTTAAATATAATAATTCATCTACAGAATACCTACCAAATAAAAATTACGTAAAAAACTTGCAAAATTAAAATGTCTATAAATAGTTCAAAAATGGCTCAAATTTTTCGAAAATTTTACGACTTATATCTTACTTATCTATCAAAATTTCAAGTCTCTGCGAATATTTTTAACTGAATAACATTACAAAAAAAAATTTTAAATAATAAAAGAATTATTTTCATAAAATTTCCCGTCTTTTTAAGTATTCTTCGATTTTGTACAATTATTAAAAAAACCTACAAAAAAATCAAAAAGCTACTTTTTTACTTCAGAACAAGTTCTAAGGTGGAATATTTGCTCACTGAAAAAAAAACACATTATACATATAGTAAAATTAACAGATCTGTCGCTACGATCCGAATTTAATATATATTATTTATGTATTTATTTACAATAAACGCCAAGCAGAAATTACTGAAAAAAAAATTAGAATATAAGTATTAACTATTAAGTATAAATAAATTCATATCCACTATGAAAACTGAAATAAAATTTCAGTATTTGAGGTCATATAGAAATTTACTATAGTGAATAGTAATGATATTATAATCCACTAATGAATTAACAAGACAATTAAAAAAAAAAAATTAGAAAGGTAATTACAGTTATTCTTGAGTTTTTGGTAGAAGTTTTTTTAAATCTATATTTAAGATGTTATGAAAATATTGATAAACTCAGGATCTTATGATTTAATTTATTATCTTTGATTTATATTACCAAATAATAATAATACTACAAATAAAAAAAAAATGAATGTGCCATTATATTGGATGGGAAGTTGGGAAGGTTGGATCATTAAAGTTATTTAATTTATGTTTGTATGCTAAACATTATACAATTGTAACGAAAAATGATATTGAGCAAATTCGGTTATACATAATGCCAACTTATTTTTGATTACCTAATTACAACTTATAATAAACTTCTTGTTAAATTTTCCAGCATATCTGTTTTCATTGAACAATTTATATCCAAATAATACACTTGTAATACCTTCCAAACAAAAAATAAATAAATTTTGAAAATATCTAATGTCTAAAAAACGTATAACGTTCAACATTTCAGCACTACGATTATTTATTAACGTAGTTAAAATTTAAAAAAAAAATTAAAATTATGAAACTTTTATTTCCGTAATTTTATAGGTTTATATAAACTGCATAGAAAATCAAAAAACCGACACCCTTAATAGACAAACAATATCCGAAATTCAACAAAAAAGGTATCTTAGTATTTTTTTTGTTGAAGTAAGATTTCTTGTAAAAAAAAGTTTTTAAAGACAGAATAATTTTAAAAAAGCACCCGTAATCATTGTAAAACCAATATATTCTTCGTTACGTTTAAAATTTAAAATACAATGTAATATATACTTGATTAAATTAGTATATTATGTATTTAAATTAACAGACGGCACGAAAGTGATTACAAATCAAACGTAAAGGTAGTTAATAAAATAAAAACATCAATACAAATTTGCAATGTAATTTCCTCTCAACAGTATACGTCAAAAAGTTTAAATAAAAAATCCCGTTTTACGTTTGCTTTTTTTTAGTTTTAAATTTAAAAAAACGTAGATAGTTTTGATGTCAATCAAATTTGATTATTACTGATTTATCGTGACAAAAATTAATTGAATTGAGTTCCTATTATGCCAATATGTTTTCCTCAAATGATATTAAAATATGATTTTTACATTTCTTTAAAAATTAAACTATAAACATAATAATTATAAATTAGCATAGGTATCTAATATTTCATAGTTTCGGTATTAAATATTCAGCAAAGCAAATCTGTTTTACTTTTAGTACACTTTTTTGGTGAGTAAAATGCTACATTTTTTTCTCAGAATATCTTAAAATATGTGGATTTTTCATTCGGTGTATTTTATTTTAACAATTTGTTCAAATGATAATAACATTTTTGGCTACAAAAGAGAAAATACGACTTACACTATAAAATTCTATTCCAAAGTATATTAAATAGAATTAGTATAAGTTCATAAATTAATTAATTATTATAATTGACTAATCATAAAATCAAAATAGCATTAAATTTGAAAGTGTACAAAACGAAATCTAATCTAACCCTGATGCGGCTTTGATCTTTTAAGAAAGAAGAGGTATATATACATAATATATTTTTTTTATCTCCATTTAATTACTTAAATATTTCGTGTAATACTGAATTAAAATACTTATGTACCTATTGAAAATATATATATATATATAGGTAAATAGATAATTTTAAATTTCTTTGGTAAATAATATGGCCAATAATATAATATTAAATTGAACTAAATAAATACTAAATAGGTATTAGGTATTATTCAAGTGAGAAATATAAAATTTAATATTTTATAAAATATATAATATACTTCTGAAAAAACGGGACATACTTCGCACCATGGGTAGGCCACTGTTGTAAATGGGAAATTAAGATATATCAGGTAATTTAATCTATTTACAGTAAGCAACGTTAACGAATGCAAACGAAAAGCAATTCTAGGTAGAGTAGAATAAGTTGTGTTGTTTTCCCTTATAATCATAATAATCCAGAAATCAACAAAAATAAAAACTATGTCTCGTCATATTTGTTCTCAGTTTTCTAAATTTGTTTAAAAAAAAAATGTTGGAAAATGTACAATTGAACAAAAAATTCGCAACTCTTATAGTACAAGTTTGAGCATTTTTACTACCTTCCTAAAAAAGGGGTTGAGAATTTCAAAAAATGTTTAAAACTTTTTATCAGATCCATCACATTTTAAGATAATCTGTAAAAAAATTTCAGGGAGTTTAACTCACCCAAAAAGTTTAAGGGGAAATAACACATCTTAGTAAAACGAAGAGCTTCTCAGAATCTAAAATATAATATGGTTCTAAATATTATCACGCGAAACCGTAAATCTTATTTATTTTAAACTATTTATGTTAAATTTGAGGACTTTTAAGATATTAGGTATACAGGATGTCCTATGGTGTTATCCGAATACTAATTACTCTGTCAATATTAATTTTTTTTTTCTATCAGGTTTTGTGTAAAGGAACCAATTTAGAAAAAAATTAATTTTTTATTTTCATTCATTAATCACTGAAAAAAAAATAACTGTATTTGTTCGCTTTTTAAAATTTTCAAAATAGTTAATTTGTAAAATATAATAATCTAAACCTTTCAATGTACCAAACTTACATATTCAATTAATAGTTTCTTAGTAAATGCGTTTCAATTTCTTGAAAATAAGCGTGAAAACAATTAATATTTAATAGAAGACAAAGAATTACCAACTCTGATTGTGATTCCTTATCACGTATAGTGTTATTCTATTGAAAAGTAATTGCTTTCACACTAATTTTATAGATATTAAAATCGCCTATACCTAATCAATTTCTTAATCGAATATGAATATACAATGCATTCAAATTTTTAGAAGAAATAATATATTTTACAAAATGGCTATTTTAAAAATTTTAAAAAGTGAAAAAATGAAGTTATTTTTATCAGTGGTTAAGGGATGAAAATAAACATTTAATTTTTCTTTGCATTTGTGTGCCCCTGACACAAAACCCGATTGAAAATAAATATTGTCAGAGATATAAGCATTCAGATAACACTGTAGGATACGCAATGTTATGAGGAGAGAGGACCAAAAACAGTAAGAATTTTTACGAAAATAACATAAGGGGAAAGAAAAAAAGAAGAAAGCTGAAATAGAGGTGGTTAAAATTCAACTGAGAATAATATGAGGATGGTGGGTATATAGATCTGTATGTGGGATCAAGTGAAAGTTTAGTAGCAGGGTGAACCTCCCAGGAAAATTAGGATAAAGGCAAAGGAGAACAAAAAGAGGTATATAACACGCAATTATTATTACCATAGTGACCTTAAATAATTTGTTTTAAAGAGTTTTATTAAAATAGTTGTACATTCGAAATTAGTTATATACAAGTGAGTAATTTATATGTTTCAAAGAATCATATATCGTGACAAATGTATCAAGAATGTCAGTAGACTACAATGAACGTACTCGGAAGTTCACATTACGTCATATTTTCACAATGAACGCATACATGTGATTTCATCGGATTTTTTTTCTATATAATCATGTTGTTTTTTTTTTTTTTTTGATATCTTCTTCAATACATTCAATAACACTACGATTTTAAAATGATATTTAAATAAACGGTGTGAATTAAAAAGAAAGTTTTTTTTATATATTTTTTTATCTATCTGCAATATAATAGGAAACAAAAGTGTTTGACCGACAACCTTTTTTAAACGCAAATCGAATTTCTAATTTGTCATACACAGGAAATATACGATAATCTATAAAGAATGAAATAGATGGCATTGACAATCCAGCCGGAGAAATACCCTAACGGCTAAAATATTCATCAATAATTTCTTAATGCGTATAAAACTTTATGAAAATTAGTATTGTTAAGGTTTTAAACAATATATTTTTTTAAGAATTTTGGTCAATTTTTCTGTACGAATATCCCACTATAAAACGCACAGTTCATTTAAAATCCCTGCTTGATTTTAAATCTCTCTGAATTCGAATATTTACCTTATCGTATGATAAATAAGGAAAATAATAGTTCGAAATTCCCCAATAGAAATTAAATTGTTCGTCATTGAAAATATCAAGTTTTGTTATTTTAATATTTTATTGATTTAATATGTTGAATAGTTGAAAACTCTATGTACCTAGGCTTTTTAATTTATGGACGACGTTGAAAATTTTTTAGTATCGATTTTATCTCATTTTAACGCATTGAAAGCAAATACGGAATGCATTTACTAGAAACGTTTGCCACTCCTAAAATAGAAACAGCACGTAAACAAAACCAAATGTATTCGACTTGATGCCCTCTTTAAAAATAATTTGTCTAGTTTTTATATAATTGTATAGTTGTGTTCCTACAGAATAATAAATATTAAACCTTTAATTACAAATATTATCCCAAAATGCATAATAAGATAAAAAAAAAATAGTTTAACTGTGAAATAAAATAATATTTAATATATAGTGGGGAAAGCAATTGAGTATCAAAGACTAACTTGTTATTTTAAGTCAGCATTTTGGTTGATCTCTGACTTTCGTGTCTGTGAATATAATTTTAAAATATAAAAACATTTTTTATACACTTTTGTGTATATTTTGGGTCGTATGGCCCACAGAAAAATGATTAAATTTTATATTATTCTATTTTTCGACTGATTTTTACTTTTAACAGTTTTTATTTTTTTTAAATTAAGTATACAGTTTTATTGATCCGAAAATACAGGTATTTCATTTCTAATCTGAATTTTTTTCGGTCACTAACTCCTTTCCTTGAAAAATTTTCTAAAAACATTTAAAATTAAGAACATTTTATAATATACTACGATTTAATACGTGCAACATACCTAATACACATTGGTATTTTTATAGGTATCCCTACGTGTTTGGAGAAATGTTCTGCATAATCAGAGGATTCGCCGCGGAGACATCGACAAACGCTACAGTGTTAACAATTACAGCGTTCACCATAGAAAGATACTTTGCAATTTGCCACCCGTTTCTTTCGCATACGGAATCCAATTTGCCCAGAGCGTTTAAATACATATTAATCATATGGATGGTGGCGTTAACACTAGCCTTTCCTCAGGTAAATTTCTTCACAAAATTACATATTTAAGTTAATTATATCATTGAATGCACAGCAAATAGTTCAAGTGAGTGATAGTAGGATTTCTAGGTACACCTAAAATGCATTTGTTTTTCCCTGTTTAGGTAAAAGGGAAAAAATAAGTGCAAATAATTTTTTTCGAAACACAAGTTTTAACTCACGACCCTAAACTAAAAAACTATGATTTCGAAACTAAGTCAATACACTCAATTCTGACTTCACCATTGTTCAAATTGAAGAATTTGCATGATCCAGTAACTAGATTAGTTCCGCATGATTTTTCACTCAAACGATTTTCGTCATAATTTTATATTAAAATTCCTATATAAAAAAAAATACTACATTAAACTCCATTTTTAATTTTTTTTACCACAAAGTAAGACTCTTAATGAACCTCCTGTTAAATTTCCAAGCATTTCTGTTAAGACTAACAATTTTATCACAGAGTACCTACCGAATAAAAATTACGTGCAAAACTCACAAATTTAAAATGTCTATAAATAGCTCACAAATGGCTTAAATTTTTTTTAAATTTGACCACATCTATAAAAGGCAAATATTTCAAATTTCAAGTCTCTATGAATAATTTTAACTGAATTACAACAAAAAAAAAAATAGAAAAACATCAAAAACATTATTTTTGTAAATTTCCCGTTTTTCTTACGTTTTATCCTGGTTTTTCCCAGATAATATGAAAACCGATTAGAAAATCAAAAAATTACCACCCAAAAATACTATTTGGACAACATTTCCTTTTAGAAATGACGTCACGCGTATAAATATGGTAGAATTTTTATATACAGTATAAAAAAAAAAAAAAAAATAATAACCATTTTTGTAAAACCAATACATTTTTCGCTACACTCAGAATTTAAAATTACATGAAACAAGTAACTTAAATATTAAATTTTGGAACTAAGGACTTTCTATACATGCAATCAAGTCTCGGGACAAAGCAACAGTAGAAAAAGAAGAGCAGGAAAAATTCATAATGGAAATTAGTTATTATTATGTTCAATCAAAAATTAATAAATAATAAACAAATGTATAAATGTTATGAGTCTTTAATACAATCTATATGATATTAACTATACGCTAATTTTAACTCAAAATTATTTGAATTACACCAACTATTGAATATATATCAGAAAATATTTATGTTTTTGAATCGTAATACATAGTAGGTAGAGAATTCATTGAACATTAGAGGAGGGAGCTATGGGCTAGTTCAGTTACTTGTATTACTATACTTGTGAAGTACCTAGTACAGTGTGTACCTATTTATACCTACAGTGGTAAATATTACGATCTTAAATAACTGACCTTCACTCTGAATCGTTTTTTGTTAACAGTAGTTTATCGTTGGTTACAGGTATAAATTGAATAACTTTATGTATTCCATCTTCCCAACTACCCACCTACTACAATGGCGGCATCCGTTCCCAGTATCAGATCTTATTATTATCATTATTATTATTATTATTTTTTTTTTTTTGCATCGTGGAAACAGATTACTTGCCTTTGAAACATTTAAACTGGCCATTTATTTTTTTTCCTACGGAACATAATTGAATCACTTATTTTAGAAACCCTAAGAAGAGGTAATATTATTATGATAATCAATTTAAAAACAACGCATTAACTTATAGTATAATTAGTTTATTTAGTGAGTTACTGCAACAATAGATAACAGATTATGGTCATAAAAATAGGTACTAGAAACTAGTTCTTGATATGATTGTAAACTGTGCCTCCTAACAATTAAATGTAAAATAAACGAATTTGTTTAGAAAGTTTAAGGAGTTTCTAAAATAAGCAATTAAATTTAACACATCTTCCGAATAAAAATCCTATGGGTACAGTATGGTTTCTGTTTTAATTTTGTATTTTTGTCATGAAATAATGGTTTCGACTTTTGTTCGAACCAAGATCCTAAACATTAGTGTTATTAGTGATCCGTGATGGGTGACGTAAAAACTAAACAGTAAATGGTCTATAATACAGAGGAAAACCATTTATTTAGTAGGAAGTACAAAATAAACCAAGAAAATACATGACAAGTACACGTATTATTATTTATTCTTAATATTTTTAACCATGTCAGAAATTTAGTAGCCATAATAATGGGTCGCCAAAAAAAATACTATCCGTTATGCATCGTCCTAAGTTACATCTCCATACGTTAAGTTTACATAAATCTAGTCGATGTGCTTACTAAATGGAGAACTCAGTGTGCCAAAAAAAATTCTCAAATATTTAGCAGAACGAACACCAAGAAGTTATATTCGTTTCATTCTAACACTTTAGAGAAATATAGGTAATTATAAACATAGAAAATAATAAATACTTTTATAAAAATAATTTAGTAGGATAACTTAAATCTAAAAATATATATGTACACATATATTATATTACTACTTGAATTTTAAAAATAAATTAACACTTGATAATTGATTTTTTTAAACAAAAAATCATTATATAACTATTTAGGAGAAAACTATACGAGTAATCATTAACTAGGTAGGAACTATTAATAATTTGTTTTCCTTTTATTACTAAACAAAAATTATTGGGAAAATGTTTGGTTTTTCCTTTCAAAAAATCAAACTAATATGATGAATTGAAAGTATGGGATTCAATTTGTTAATTTATATTTTAGTTTTATTTGGTCGAAGAGAATACATTTCTAAATTAACCAAATAAAGCCAAAATAAAGAAAATGTTTACTATTATACTTGTTCTTTATGGTAAACTATATTCTCGGTTTATTTTACGTGCCTCTTAGAAACTTAACGAATCCAGCTTTTCTAAATGTCAACTATAAATTACACTTACAGTCTCGACTTTGTTTCTAATTTTATCAACGCAATTGTTTTGATTGTTTCATTAGGACAAGGTATAAACATTTTAAAACTTTAACAATTTATGCAAAAAAGCAGACATCTTAAGACTTATCATTTTATGAAGATCGATTAAAAGAAAAAAAAAACGTCTATCGAGCTGTGACCCCTAAATCAAATATTATTATAAACTACTATACATACCACAAATTAATTATGAAACACATTTACTCGATAGTATAATACAGTTGTAGTTCATAACTATGATAAAACCAATGATATTATGTACAATCGTAAAAATCACGACAAAATATTTCCTGCAAAATTTAACGGCATTAGAGAATATAAGATTGTATACGAGCGACTTCCCCGTTGGAAGTATAATATATTATTATTATACCCTGTAAACATCAGAGATCATAAAATTGCCGAATTTCTTCTCGTCTTTATGTATATTATATTATGTGTTCTGTTCATATTGGATTTTGACCGTTTAAAGTCGCGTTGAAAAACGACGGGCAATAATAAAAAAATACTTTATGGTCTGACGCCAGGAGTGAGCATAATATTCTAATAATAATTTTCGCCTTACTAAGTACTAGTATCATCCACTGAAAATCGCAATTATTATCTGCCGACCAACGAGCAACGTGGCTATACTATACATAGCAAGTAGGTACTAACCTCTATTGCAGAGAATATCGTATAATTTAATATTGCAATATTTTTGATTGCGGAAATTCTAAGTCAGTTAAAACACCATAACATAATTATTGATTAGAGGAATTAAATTAATTTATTATGAATAATTGCGGCGAGAATTTGCCATTTGTAACTACCTAGGTATGTATTTAAAAGTAGTTTTACAGTCATCATTATTACTCGTAACAAAATCAATTGAACAATAGTTAAAGAAAAACAAATTGTATTTAAATATCTAGAGGGTAATCGATTTTCCTTAAGACACTCATAATCTCAGAAAGTATTAACTTCTTTTGAATTTTTATTTTTGGAAAATTTCAGTTTCATATTCACCCAAATGTCTGGTGTCTGAAACCACTGACAAATTTTAATTTTCAAATGACAACCTATATTCAAAATTCCATAAACTGACGAAGTTTTAGTTTAAATAAATTTTGGCAAGACATATCACTTTTAATTTTGGTATTTTTTTACAGATAGAGGAAGGCAGATAGGAAGGGAGCAGGGGAGTATCATTTATGTGGCAGCATCTGGATAATGTGATTCCCTAAACAAAAAAAATAAACTTAAAAGTTGTATATTCCATCTCACAAACGATGCACGACGGGACGGACGATGGAAATTAAAAATATCATCTTACACATTCGTATTTAATGTTAGATCAAATTATTTAATTTAAAAGTTCGTATTTATTACATGAATAAGTAATGATCTTTTTCAATTGTGCGTCTATATTATACTGCGATACAGCATCGCAGTGACCTTTTTCAAATGAATAACATCTGCAGTTTCGTGAAAATTATAGACGTAAAAATAAAATGCAGACAACAAAAATGTTTGCCCGTTAAACAATATGTAAATGTAAAATATATTCTTATTGCCTTGGCCATTGTTTGATTTTATTATTTCACTATCCAGCAAGAATAAAAACAGAAAACAGTTAAGTTTCCCAGGTCAACACTCCCGTAATTATTTTTACTGTTATACTAAGTGCAGTATATACATTTATTATTGTATATTTTAAAAACACAATATTTCGGTATTGGATTATAATTTAATCTGCTGTCGTTACAATTTAAAATTTTTCTTTTTTAAATCATGTAATTTAATTACAATTTTAAAAACTGAATTATTCTAAGTTAATAAATTATAAGTCTTTATCAGAGCAGATTGACTATTTGTGTCATTAACTCTTTAAATTTCTTAAAAATTCTAAATTCTACGATCAAATTTGAAATAGATATATATATTTTTTTTTTTAATTTACCTTACCTTTACTCATACCTTTACTCAATAGACAATATTTGAAGGACCAAACATAAATATAAGAAAGCGAATAAGGAAGTGGGAAGTACATTTCTTCTACACCCCGTTTTTTTTTATTCATAGTTATAATTCCCACGAGATAAATCGTTAATGTCTCAGTGTTACCTATATTAAATAAAATATAAAAACAAAACAAAAAATAATAGAAATATTTATATTCATGCAACTTTAAAGAACGAGACCAAAATTAAAAACAAATCTTCCGTATAATTAAAAATCTTCCAGACTTTAACAATTTGTCTTGCTTCCCCAATACACTGTGTCCAATCAATGATCTATTGATTAAAGTACAAAAATAAAAGGAAATCACTGATGATACTAAATAATACAAATTATGTTTTAGAAATAAGTATTAGTCTTAAATCGAACTCAATTATATTTTAGATGAAACCATAATCCATTTGAATCGAAAATATTATCTCGTATCACGATGTCTGATATACCCAATATATGTTTCATTAAAATAAACGGTTTCTTTCTCGGGAACATTTTAAAATTATGATAATTTTTAATTTTAAAGTGTGTCTCACAAATCACTTCCTATTTAATATACACGGCTTTTTACTTTTCCCCGATGGCCCGATCACGAAAATTATAATATAGTTTTCATAACACCCAATTAACGGATAAAAATAAAACAACCGCCTAGTACTGATTATAGATTTTTATAAATTGATCGACGAGATTTATTATGATAAATCTAGAATCGATATACCTACTGTTTACATGTAGTGAATAATCATAGATAAAAGTTTATGTTTGACCGACGAGATTTAAATGGAAACTTAACCAAAGTATGTTAAAAGATGGGCAAAGGATAAGATAGTAAGGGATTTGTGGAGTAAACCACGTGTATATACAACAAGGATTATAAAGTTCTAACAAATAAAACTGACTGCGGGACGGAAACTGCGAGATGCACGGCGTTCTAGACATATTGTAGAAAGAGGAGGGGTTTAAATAGGAAAAAATTGTCCATTGTTTCCAAACATCTCTTTGCTCTTTTTATCGTAGCCGATATATAGTAGCGTTTAACTTTATCGTTTTTTAAGGCCATTCAGATGGGATTAGTGTACGGACTTACTAAAGACAACATCACCATACCCGAATTGTCGGCTTGTGGTCTGGCCAATAAGCTCCCGTATGCGTTCGAACTATCGTCCGTGCTCTTTTTCCTGGCCCCATGGACGCTCATCATTATCCTGTACATACTCATTGGGCTCAAGTTGTACAAGTCCAAATGCGACTCGTCCAGGACCACGTGTTCGGCCCACTGCCGACATACAGCGTGCCTGAGCTCCACCAACACCAGAGCCACCGGACGCGTAGTCAAAATGCTGGGTAAGTCCGTAAACTACGTATTCAGAATATCTTTTATTGTAACTAGTGCTGGGTTAATTGGGGACAAAGGAGGCAGTTGCTCCGTGGTCAAATTATTAAGGGTGTCATTCTCAGGGGGCACCGAAATTGCTTTTTACAATTTTACACATTTTTGTCAGTAATATTATTTTTTTGAAAAAATGAAATACCCATAACTTAGTACTGAAACATTGATAATTATAGTTATTTCGTTTAGCCATAGATTAAAATAATATAAGTATATTTTCTATGGTTTAGCGTAGAATGTTTATCGTATAATATGCCGCTCTATAAATATAAAAATTTCCGAATATTTGTTATCGTTTAATCGATAACAAATGTTATTTTTCTTTCCATTAGACCAGGGGTGTCCAACCCGCGGCCCGCGGTAGATTTCGAAGCGGCCCCCACTTCAATTTAAAAACCATGAATTAATTATACATAATATATTAATATTACGAGAACAAATTTATTTTAAAAATATAAGCCATCAAATAACGTCCGTGTTTTTCCCGTTGCGGCATCTTATCTTATATTACATACGAACGTGTGCATCGGACCTAAAGATTAACATTATTAGTGTTGGCTTTATTGGCTCCGATACCAATATTCTGTGTCATTTATTAAAAAAAAATAAATAAATAAAGTACCTATATAAAATTATTACTAAGCACATATAATCTAGTACAGACATACAGTTGTGCGCGCGTGATGGTCAGATGTTCACGTTTTGTTCAGAACAGTGGTGTTAGTACTCAATATTATTATTTACCTATTTAATAACAATTTTATAAATTTGATTTGTATAATAAACTAATAATCAAATAGCGAAATGTCGTCCAATAAGAAAAGAAAAGTAACGGATGAAGGAAGAATATTCAACGAAAAGTGGACAGNCAAAAACATGCAACCGAAATGGATTCCTACCAAGGTTTTTTTCGGAAACAAAAAATTTTAGAGTTAAAAACATGTCTTTCTTCTCAGCAACTCAATATTAAAAAAGCTACTTCTGAGTCCCTAACCGTTACAAAAGCTAGTTATGTAGTGTCATCTTTGATTGCAAAAAAGTCAAAACCATTAATTGATGGCGAGTTTATTAAGGAGTGTTTGGAAAGTGTTGCAGATATAATGTGTCCTGATAAAAAAACAGACTTTTCAAAAATTAGTCTGTCTCATCAGACTATAAGCAGGCGAATCGATGACGTTGGAAAGTCCATCGAAAATAAACTGGAGGAAAAAGTCCGTTCTTTCAAATATTATTCTTTGGCTATTGATGAAAGTACCGATGTAATGGACACGGCACAAGTTGCTATTTTTAAAAGAGGTATTGATAATGAATTCAATATATCTGAAGAAATGGCTTCTTTAGTACCACTGAAAGACACTACAAAAGCTCGTAATTTGTTCGAGGCAGTAGAAACTACACTGAATAAATTTTCTTTAAACTTGGTCAATATATCAGGTATAGCTACGGATGGTGCCCCTGCTATGGTAGGTAAAAAAAAAGGACTTACAAAATTAATAGAAGACTATGCGGTTTTAGTTGGGAACAAAGGTTTGATGCGATACCACTGCATTGTTCATCAGGAAAATGTATGCGCAAAAGCTTTGAAAATGGATAACATCATGCAAATTGTTATCAAATGTGTTACATTTATTCGAGCTAGGGGACTTAATCATCGTCAATTTCAAGACTATCTTAAAACTATCTTAAATTAGAATGTATTATTATTTAAAAAAGTATGTGGCCCACAATAACTTCTACCTACATGATGTGGCCCAGTATTCACAAAAGGTTGGACGCCCCTGTATTAGACGATAACAAATAATGTACATATTATTTGTCGAGCATAATATATCATTTTATCGTATTTCTGTCCATGAAAAAAAAATGTTTTGAGTACAATGGTATCGGTTTTTGTATGAACAGGGGCACCAGTTAGCATTTTGGCCTGGGGTGTCATTTAACGTTGCGCCGGCCCTGTGTACACACCATGGAAAATAAACATATTAAGTTAGTTAATTAGTTAATATGTTTATAGTACACATTGATACATAATGATGTAATATAATACATAATACAAAATATTATAATTTATAATAAATTATTAAATTATATATAAATAGTTTCTAATACTTATTTATACCTACACTACCAAGCATGTGTTTTCATTACACTATTATCGTTTTAGTCGACAGAAAAAATGTTAAAAATATACATATATATTAAATTTGTACAGAGTTTTTCACGCAATAATGCCTATTAAATTGGTATTGTGAATAGAAAGCCAATAAAATTAAACGGTACTCAATTTCTTAGATGAGCCGAGAAAAAACAAATGATTTACCAGATATCAAAAATGCAGGGTTTTTTAAAAAAGATAAAAACTAATGTAAAATAATAATAAATTAATATTTTATAATGGCTGGATGTTACCACTGGGTAACCTCCCTAATCTTAAGATTCGCCATTAATTATATTTTTCTTTGTCTTTAATCAAACCTACTTATTGTATAAAACTGTATAGATAGTAGATTACTTTAAAATAAAATTAAAAAAATATTTCATAATAAAACATTAAATACCTATATTATATTATTTAATAAACAATAAAGAAAAAATATGTAATAGTAAAATCATAGTATGTAGTATGTCCAAACATAAAGTAACGCTTCATATTTACAGGTATACGATAGTTGAAATTACCTAGGTATTGTTTTTCTTATGAGTAATCGAGATTCGAGGTGTTCGCAAAGGACCGGCATTTATTTCGATTTTGAGACGTCCCGGTTCGGTCGGCCTTGTTTGAGAACCGACCCGAGCGCCCAGTTGACTACCCGCCTAGTGGGAAGGTCGCCAACCTAGGACCGAGGTCCGAAGACCGGAGTCCTAAGATTTTTGTGAGGAGGGAAGGAAAAAAAAGAGAATTTAAATAAGTAAACATGTGGTTTTATAGGCTTATAAACAAATATTTACAGACAATTTATATTTTAAATATATGTACATTGACTGGGGCGTCAACCAGTCGTAAGTATTGTCCGGACGCAGATAGTGGCATAACGAGGAACGTGCAGGCCGGGACTCAATATTTATGGGTAAGGATGAATGTGTGTTGACCGATATGGGTATTGACAGAGACGGACCCCCACGTGGAACTTTCATGGGCACCTTAGGTATTGGGGAGACCCCGGCAGGAATGTGCGGTTGCCAGGTCACAGATTACCACCGGGAAGGGTAGCGGAAACGCTTTTCGTTCCATATTGACTGGTCCGTAGTTTCGGTGGTCCTACGGGTGAACCTGCGGGGTGCGTCCGAATATGGATCGCGAAATGGGGAAAATCGATCTTTATATATGTTCCTTTTTAAGATGCTCATACATGTGGTTGCAAAACCTAGCACTTAAAGGGACGAGAAAAAATAACAAAAAAGCAAAATACAGGGGGGGTGTTGGTCTATCGCACTTAGGATGTGGAACGCGGGGATTAGCATAATGAGACGGACACACAAATCTGGATGGTTGATTAAGTATATCGGAAGGATTTAACATACGAAAAATAAAACATTTTATATAAATATATTCATACAGAGAAATCTTAATTAAATTACCTTAAAAACTAATTAACTAACTAATCGGCCAATTATTAAATCGCATACATATTACCATCGTTCCACCGAAGATGTCCTCCGAGCGGACCAGATCGGGACTCACTTCATTGATTCGTTTGAGGCACCATCATGAATCCTGCCAAGGTACACGACCTTTTCTTGGCGGCAAAATAGGTGAATCCGCGCAATATACGGGAGTGTTTTATTAAGATAACTGTATCTAAAGATCGTCTGGTGACAGAAATCTCGAGACGAGGTCTAGGCACGAAGAAGGAAAAGAACGAACAGAAAGAAAAAAAAACTGGGTAGCGGAGCGCGGAGACGTTCGTGGCACGTCGCGGCGGGCCGACGTTTTTGGCGATAAGGGGAAACGTGATATGATTGGTCGTTAACCCGTAGTCAGAAATATAATATTGCGAATTGCAACAGATTGCGATTGCATAAACCGTTGAGCGGGGGGGGAGGGAATTATTGTTCATGATGACATAACATATCCGTCGACGCGGGCGTAATCTATTAACCCGTCGACCATATCGATTGTAGGTATGTTTGTCCTTTGATAACGGGAAATGGTCGTTTTTGAACGTTACAACTTATTGAAGTTCTAATGTATGTAACGAAGAATTTTAAAATTGAAACTAGTCGTCAATAACCGTACGCATAATACTTCAAAATATGATTGTATTCATTGCTTATTTTTAATTTATTATTAACCTTATGTATACATGGTTGATCAATATTATTTGACAAATGTGATAATTGTTATTCTACCAAATATTTTACATTTTTTGAATATCGTAATACTACGCCATAACTTTAAAGTTTAAATATTTTTCTTAATTTTGATATTTGTTCAATAATAATTAAGCAATTATAAACGGTGTTATTTTAATATTATTTATTTTTTTATAATGGGTATAAAAGTTGTATGGGTGGTCGTCTATTAAAATTTACCCCTAGACGGCATATTCGTTAATCTGGCATTGATTGTAACGTGAGGCGAGTTACACAGGAAAATTTGTTTCGTTAGTTAAAAACGCATATATTTAGCAATGTAACACATACTGATGTTCCCAAAACGTTGTCTCAAATTTATTTTGAAAACAAGTTTCTTGATACAAAATATGTTTAGTTTCACGTATAGTTACAATTAACTCCAGTACAGTTTACAACGAATAAAAAAGCATGTATATTAATGTATATTTATGCGAAATTATAGAATAATGTAATGCATTATTTTGTATGTAATACAAAATACTATGTAAATTTGCTAACCAAATTTTAATTTTCTGAATTTCTTAATTTTCTTCATTTTTTTTTATTTTTATTCATCTTACATATCATTTGATTTAACCACCACATAATGATAACATCGTCATCAGAAAACATATTTATGACTAAAAATGAGCTGTATGTACTATTAAATATAGGTAGGAAAAAAATACTTATGAAACAAATTTGTTCTGTTTTATTTGACTATGAAATGTATGTCATGTGATTGATTGTATTAGATCATTCGCCCTAATTGTTAATAAATCGAACGCCATTATCAATGATATTTTTCCAGGAATCAACAGTTCAAACGAATATTACCAGAGTTGACGCTAGCAATTATTCATGAGAGGGGTGTACACAAACAAATTTTTTGAATCTTTAACTAATAACCTTTTTTTTGCTTATTTGCTTTTTAGCATAACATTTGTTTTGGGTGCTCCCGTAGCGCTCTATATGTGATGATTCCTTATCAATGATAATTTACAATATTTCCACAGGTATTACTTCAGAGCTAATGTAATTTAAATGATTTTATTCATTTTCCTGTAAATGTAAAATGAATTAAACTTCTGACGATTCAACAATTTTATTTATAATTGCTGACTATAAATTAATTTTTCACTGGTGGAGGGATGGGGACACAACCCCACATCCTCCCTAATGCCGGCCCTGAATATAACAATGCGTTTTATTTTAGCCGACTATAATAGGTGTTTAGTATTTTTTACATTTTTGCACATCTAACAATAATTTCAAGTTTGTTACATTGATGATTAATTGACGATTTTTAAATACCGTAACATATTAACAGTGCTCAATTGTAATTGTGTCAACATAAAATATGTACAACTATATCGAAATGGTAGCTCATAAAAATGTAAGAAAAAAATTAAGATATTATCCGTTCTACATAGCGAATGGTTGTAGATCATGCACGCATTTTATCCATATTTCTACAAGTATCTAACCTACCGAACAAATAATAAACAGAAATGTGATTTTTAATCCACAATAAAGAGGAAACATTAGTTGCTATAATACCTACTATAGTTAATTACCTACCTATTACTATTAGCTGGCTGATATGGCAAATAAACAAAGTTTATAACACAAAAAAACTACCCAAATCTGTCCACGCAGATAAAAAGTTGACTCCCAAAACCATTTGCTCTTAACAAAAAGGGACAATCAACGTCGATGACAATATTTGAATAGGATTAGTAAACCATCAGACATAATCTGACAACATATCAGTATATTATTTTTTTATCAAAAGCCAGTGACTAATAAATTATTTATTCATAGTAAGTAGGTACAGGTATTTCTGCCGGGTTATATTTTACGAAGGTTTTTAATAAATAACCAAGTACAATCGGATGAGAACTAGCAGTTTTAAAATTAAGCCGACTATCACAGTACGTGCTTCTCAGTATTCGTTTATCTGATCTTTAACTCGCTAACGTACGTGTTAAGAATCGTTGAATTCATATGTTTAACGTGTGAAAAATAAAAATAATAACAGTTTTTTTAAATTAATCGATTTTTCAAATATAATTAATTCAACTTCAGGCAAATATATCAGTTTTGTGTTTATATAGGATTTCCGTGATTTGTTTAATATATAAATCCAATATCAAGTTGTTAAGATATTTAGTGGCATTGAAATATGGCCAGACGAACATAAACTTGTAATACTACGATCATTTAAAATTTGTCAACTTATTTATTATTTTACATCTGTTGCGGGTATATATTAGTCGATATACGTTTTCCAGATCCTCTTATTTTTAATCCACACATACGCTCATAAAATCCAATGGCTTGGTTGAGAGGGGAAAAAAGGACGCTTGTCCCAAAATCTCTTAAAAAAAAAACAATAATTGGATATTTTATAAAAATATTATGAATTCAATAATAGTTGTTATATCACAGTTATATAAACAGGCAACTCCATGCCTATGCAACTCCACGTATTCCCCCCCACCCCCCAATTTTAAAATTTGACATTTTTCTTCGCCCAATCGTTGGTATCCCGTTATTATTGAATGGTAAAACAGAAATTGAATTGTTAATAGACAATTGTTTTTTTTTTTAATTAATAAATTTAGTGGGGAGGAGGGCTCAAGAAATGGCCCATTTCTCGACCACTGGTTGTTTAATACAACAATACTTAAAGTACTACTAAGTAATACTAATAATGATTTCAGTTTTACAATCCAATACTAACGAGATACTAACGATTGGGTCAAGAAAAATTTTAAAATTGGGAAAGGAATTAGGGAAATGTACGTTGTAACTCCGCTCATTTATTGATGAATAATGATGCCGTTATTGCCGAGACACGTATTCATTTTTAGAACTACTTTGCATGACAAAATAAATAAGTATGAATGATGATCACAGTTTTTTTGATACGCACTCCCCGCTCAAATATTTCTTCACTTCACCTATTATCGTAGTTAAGTGGCGTGCTCAGCATTTCAATATAGGAATTGAGGTGAGATATAGGGGGATCTGAATATAACTGATTACTGATTGTAGGTCCATAATTATTAGACATATTTTCCGGTAAAAGTTCATACAACATTTGACACCTACTTTTTCGAATAACACTTCTGTTATTAGTTACTACAAATAATAGGTTAATGAGTCAAAAAACGCTCGTGTCGTAATTTTCTACTTTTATTGGCTAATATTAACACTGCTAATAATAGTGGAAAACTACAACATAAGCCGGCTGTAGAAGAAATGTGCATATTGAACGAAAACGTAACACACAGTAATCATATCAATCTGTTTTATGATGATAAATTTAAAAAAATTATCTCCTGAACTAAAATTTCTGGTTACGCCTCTGAATTCAAATCCAAAATTATTGATGGTCTGTTAATAACTGGTCTCTTTCGTCCCTCGACGTATAACAATATAATAATACAAGTAATAATACAAGTGAAAAGAATTTTAATCTCATTGGGGGAAAAAAACTAAATATTTGATGATTAAAATCAATGCCAAAAAGTATAAAAACTTTATATTTTATAAATTGTATTTTTAACTTTAAATTTCGCTGGGTTTTATCACTGGATAACCTCCGTTGTCATATTACTTACAGTTAAAATTATATTGTTATCATATTTGCTTATTGTGTTTTTTTAACACAGATTGTAAATATTCTTTAAATAAAAAAAAATTTCTTTTTATAAAAAAAATTCGCCCCGGGGCAAATTCCCCTATTGTCCCCCCTTTTACAAGGCCTTAATAGCAAGAAACTATTTTAATTTAAATTTAAATAATGATAATGTTGACTTCCAATCTTTTTTAAGCGCAGTTTTGAGTTTGAAATTATTAAAATTAATAGATTAACTTATACGTAATATAAAAACATTAATGAATATCTGATAATAATCGATAATAGTCTATCGGATAAATATCTAAGTACATTTATTAATATATATTAATCCAATTTGAGTTAAGTTTCCCCTTCCCCTCTATTCGCATATAGGTTAATGCAGTAATCAAACATTTCAAAATCGTTATCAGTTTTTTTTTTTTTTAACTTCATTAAACTACAAATCATAACATAACAAAACAATACAACAATACTTATTTTATAGACTCGTTCAATAAACCAATTTGCAATATTTTTCACGATTTTACCCTCGTTTCATATAGAATACCATATACATATTTCAAATTTTGATTTTAAAATAGATTTTTAACTCACGTTCGAAAAGAGAATATTCTTCCAAAATATTGATATTATGCGTGACACTAATATCGCTTTATGGGTTATAAAATTTAGACCGGAGGTGTCACGAGTAGGGTATAGGGTAATAAATTTTATATCCGTATTTTAAGATATCCCTTCATTGGCCCAAATTTTAAACTGTTGTAACTCATAAACGGTACATCCGTTATAGTATTATACCATAGTTGTATGACCGTCATATGACGTGGATTTTATATTTAGTTACCACAGTGAATTAATAATGCATTAACAGACAAATAGGTGAACGTACGGATCACGGCTTTTATATAATATAAAATAATATTACGTGCATCAATGTTTAAGGTAAGTATACGGAATGGAAGGTAAAATCGAAATTTATTCAATAACTTTAGGTATATAAGAGTACCTACCTGCAATAATTTGTGCGTAAACGTTTCCGTTTCGACGAGGGGTGGTTGTGTTGAAATGCATAGTTTCCGAGTATACCGGGTGATCGAGATATTCCACCTTTAAGTTTGAGTTGGAGGAAATTAGTGGTGCATTGTTAACACGTCACGCGTCGTACCCCCACACAAATAATACTTCACTATTCTCCTCCTACCCATACTTAAAAGTGAAATATCTTGTCAACGAATTTCAACACTAAAACTTATTTTAACTAATACTCCATCTATTTATGGAATTTTGAATATAGGTTGCCATTTGAAAATCAAAAGTAGGTAGTCGTTTCAAGGGTGACAAAAAATAATGTAGGTGTTAAATTGTATAGCAGCTTGTTTCTTAAAATTTCTAAAAAAAAAAAATTGAAAAAAGTAAATACTTTCGGAGATATCGAGTGTATCCACTTAAATGAATCACCCTGTTTATGTAATATGTATACCTGTATAATACTATTTAAATATAATATACCAAATAAAATGTATATTTTTGTAATAATATATATGTTTTATCTAAATGTGGTGGTTAAGCTGTTTAGACGAATATCGAACATATAAAGTACATTAAGAAAACATTTGCGACATGGTGGTAAACAATCGTTTTTACTTTTTGCACTATCTCTATCTCTCTCGCTCTTGTTCCGTATGCCTCTATATTATACTATTAATTCGATAATGGAAAACCAACCTAATAAAATTGTTCATACCGAAAAACAATAAATCACAGTCCGGTGGCGGCACGACTATATATATATATATATATATATCAATATATACGTATATAGTTAATACTTAACAACAACTCTGGTCAGACAGCAGGAAATTTTGTTTTCACCACGATATGAATAAACATAATATGTACTACCTAATATTCGACACTAAATGATTGATGCGTGGCGACAACGGCGGAAATGTAGGTACTAATTTCAAAGATCTTTGCAATCAGTGGCGCCTAAGCCTATTTTAAAACATATTGCAAGTACATATTTTATGCACATTGAACAAAATGTATGAGGCACATAAACATATAGCACAGTACCGCTGTATTTTGTTATGCGCTAAACTATGTTTCATAAATATTATATAGCCATATATGTGCAGCATAATATATTGTTTTACCAACCCAAGGAACCGGAGTAAGTTAATAAATAAAACATATTGTGTTCCGTATGTCGCTGTTTCGCACATACTTGTGAAAATTACCATCAACCGCAGTCAAACACTGCAGCAGGTCAGGCGGTAATCGCAATATTTTCAGTTCGCACACTCCATAACCGCTGTGATTATAATAATGCCCTTGGCTGTATATACGATTGTTCGGATACCATATTGTAATCTTTACGCTCAAGAATGTAATTTAAGTCACGAAATTTATAGTCACTATAACCCATGCCTATTATTCTCAAAACACTTCCCAATAATATGGCAGAAATTAATATTTTATCCTGATTATTTATGTACAGGATAAATTTTCCTAACGGTTGATGAGAAGGATGACATGGTTTACATGTAATGTTACCTATTGCATAATTGGATATTATATTTATCTTTTCGTCAACGTTTCATGTATAATTTTGTAAATGATTATATTTTATTTACGTATAAAAGGGTCAAGTACATTGTATCAAATCATAGATTTTTGACAAAGCGAAGAGCAAATAAGTCTGTCACGAATAGGTATTCACTTAACGAAAATATGTCTTTTCTCGGAAGCCTCTTATCGATTATTAAAATTGCGGAATTTCTACCCTGAAATACATTATTTATGCTATTGTTTGAAGTTCTCAACTGTTCACCCTTTAATGGATCCTTCTTTTTTTGTTTTTTCTCGGAAAATCTATTTCTGGTTAGTAAAAATGCTTGTTCAAGTCGTAACTGGGTATGCGAAATTTTCGCCTGAACCTTGATGTGCTTTTCTTTGTCTGTAAACAACTTTTATACCAGGAATCTTGTTCTGATCATCAAATATAGCATTATTTCGCTATTTTATTCGATTGTTTCTTCGATATTTTCACAGTTTTCCCAAAAAACGAAAAAATTCATTTATTTAGTTAAAAATATTCATACAGGCTTGAACTTTCGACAGAATAATTGTATTTACTTTTTCTAGACGAAAAAATTCTCAAAACATTTGAGCCATTTTTTTAAACTATTTATAGACATTTAAATTTTGCGAGTTTTTTACGTAAATTTTATGTGGAAGATACTCTGTGGATAAAATTGTTAAGACTAAACAAAATAATTGACAGGAGATTTATTATAAGTCATACTTAGAGTTCAAAAAATAATCGAGTGTAATAAAGTATTTTTTATTTCTTATAAGAGTTTTAAAATCTAATTTTGACGAAAATCGTAAATAAGACTTTTCAAAAAAACGGACATACTACAAACATGGGTAGGCCGCTTTTGTAGATAAGAAGTTGGGAAAATAGAGGAGAAATTTAACGTTTATTTGTATGGAACGATTAACTATTGTTAACAAAAAACGATTCTGAGCAGAGTTCGGTTAATAGTCTTGCTTTTTTAACAATATATTTGTCATATTATTGTAAAATAATTACATATGCTATATATATTTTATTTAATAATTTTTTTTTTTTAATATTTTACCTATTTTCCCGGTTTTTCACTTGTATTATGAAAACAGCTAGGACAATCAAAATATTACCCTCCTAAAGTACTATCCTAGTCAGATTTTTTTCAGAAAGTGTTTTCATTGTAAATCAGAGAAAAATTGCTGGTAGAAAAGTTGTTTACAGAAAAAAAACATTGTAAATTCAATATATTCTTCAGCTTTATACATCCCTACAAACCCTTTAAATGAAACCAAGGAAATACAAATTTGTAAATGTACGGTGTAATTATCGAGTATGTGTTTTTTGGTAGTTTCATCATTCAACCCACTCTATAAACATTTTTGTGCTCAGATTTTATGCTTCGCGGAAAATACCGAATTTAAAATACCTTTAGGGATTCTGGTTCATGAGAGTAAGGTTTTTGGTTAAAATGTATATATATATAAATAGAACTGTTGCCAAGGATAAAATATTTTAACGGTAGCGAGTCGGCTGGGAGAAAATTCGACTCGTGACGGAGTTTTGCTGCTCATTTTTTTTTTTATATACTGTTGTAAATTAAATAGAACATTCAACACGAAAAACATAGGTATTTAGTGTACTCGTAATATTATTATTTAATATATAACATTCATATTATTTAGTAGACCACGTATCCGAGCAGCATCTACACCTTCACAGTCAGTTATTCGAAATATTTCCGTTTCACGTAATATTATACGCAGTTTTTCGCCTCAAAGAGTGTACATCGGTTGGTCTGAATGTGGATCAGGGCCAAAATTGAGCACAAAGTATTGAAAACGCATTAACACTACAGCTATAGCATCAGCATCTGTAGGTGGTCTAAATATTATTATTTACACTTTTCGCCACTCGTACATTATATATACCGATAATACGGGCTACGCTGCTGATGCGTTTTTCTTTTTATAAGAAAACGTGTTGGCCGTTATTACATAAAAAAAAGAAAACTGTAAATTAAAAACGACTTTTTACTTAAGCTGTCAATGTAAAAACAAGTTTCGATTCTAAAGTTTTTTTTTTTGTTGTCATAATATTAGTTCGCATTATCGACTTTCAAACCAATCAATCTTGCGAAAATCTGTATCGCCGTACAAGTAAAATGCGCGTTCGGAATGTATTATCATACCAAATAACTTGAAATTACATTGAATAACAAAATATAATTTTATATCATAATTCGATTTTAATTTCACATGGTAGTAAGTAAAAGTAAACAACTAAAAAATTCGATTTCAAAACTGTTTGAATTATAAAAAATAACGATTATATACATTAATATTTTACCTACCATTATGCCGATTAATACCAATTATAAATAATGTTTTTTATAAGCGTACATTTAACAAGATACTGATACAAGAAAATATCGAATAATATTTGTATCTTATTATGCGCATTGCCGACTTTATTTGTATAGGATTTATATGGTTAACTTTATTTGTATAACTATACTAATTATATTATAATTATACATAGTATATACCATTGTATACAAGTCGAAATGAAATCCATAATCGTTTCATGGGTTTTAAACCTTAGGACGAATTATTTTTTACGTAAATCAAAATCATACTATGGCATTATATATTTTTATTAATTAATATTAATTTTCATGTTGACACTGTTGTTTAAAATTATAATATTATAACAAATTTACCTTTTTGTGGTGGTAATTATTGCAAGTGTATACGATTATTTTAAATCACTGTACGTAAAATCGATTGTCTCTATTCATAGCAAAGTTAAACGTAATATAAAATTAAAATTATGGCATTAAGGGTAAAATTATAGCTTTAATTTAAATATAGGTGACAAAATGTATTAAGGAGAATATTTTCAAGGACACTTTTTTTTAGAATATATCCAAACAAATGAGTTACAGCAAGGTTAGTTTTTGATTTTTTAAATAACTATTACATTTTTATTTGGGGGTATTTTTTTTAAAATAAAATCAACTTAGTGCCATCGGCAATATTTTCTTTCCGTTTTTAAACTCTAATCTCAAATTAAAAATCACAATTTTAATTCTATACAAATTACGTAATCGTTATGTTGCTATGTTGCTTGCAGCTGGACTAAGATAGGTATCACGTCCTCTTAACCAAGGGGGGGGGGGCAGTGGCCAACAGATCAATTGTACCATAATGTGTCTTAGTCGGTCTTGATTTCTTTCTTTTCCTTTCCGTAAGTCTTTACAATGTAATTCAAATCAATTATGATTTAATGCGCAGTAACTTAAAATAATTGAATGCATTTTAATATGTATTTTTTAATTATCACTAAAAAAAAGTTAAGTTCATTATATTACACATACTTGTAATGTCACTGTACTACTATATCTATTGGAATAGGTATTTTGGAAATATTTTGCAGACTCGTATAGACTCTTTACAAATCGTATTCTCAATAATATTGCTACTACAAAACGGTCCGACAAAAACGTAATGATCTCTCGTTTCAGGAAAAATGAATTAGCATCTAAAATAGTTCTTAAAAAACAAACAGGAGTGGTTTTTGTTATGTCCATACTTAAACTTAAATAATATCATATAACGTACGGTTAGTTGATTTTACTTTAAAACAAAATTGTTTAATATTAACATTTCAAATAAAGTTATTCCATAACATAACTAATATTATAGAGTTTCAAAAAAAAAAAGTAGAAAAGTTCCCCCATGCCGTTCATAAACGAATTATTCATGTTCACCGTACATATTATATAAGTAGGTAATTAAAAAAAGAAAATTATATGTTCTAGTTCAGTAAATTTTTCATTTCAATCACTGTCTAAAAAGTATAAACCAAACGAAAACATTAATAAAAGGGATGTCAAGCCATTTCCCTACGTGCATCTTGTGATGTGGAAAAAATAACGGGTCTCAGGAAACGGCTCTTAGTTACACCCCTTGTATCTTTGCGATCACCTCTCCATGTGAAAAATAGTTCATGTGTCGCTGCATAGTAATTTATCGATTGTAATAGAAACTGTTATGATAAAAACGGACAGTGACTGAATCGTATGAACGTGTTCATTAATGATTGCCATATATTTGTTATAATGTTATAAATTATAATATAATATTTTATTTATAGATATCTGGCGATGGTTCAAAAGACAAAAATAATCACAACAAATATATCGCGTGTGTACGCGTTTTACAATAAAATTATTAATTCCCGTTTACAGTTAGTGTGGCTGTCATCCGACAGAAGTACAATAAAAAAAAGTGTCCACTATAATGCGACGTGTTTATTCAATTTTCGAGAGATTGAGTACCTAGTTGATAAATTAATCCGCGTGTACATAATTACTAATTAAATATAAACATGAAACAAATTAATAATTGTTATTTTGGTACAATTTGTTCTTTATTTGTAAATACCTAATATTATCTATATATTATTTGCAATTTAAACCGTACATATTTTTTATATTTTAACTGTCCGTTTGAGAAAAAACCTGCTTTCCCATATTTACCACATTTTATTTTTCTATGAATATTAGTGATCAAACCCATTTTTTGAGTCAAAAAATAGCTTAGTTACAGCGATTTAACTAACAGCATTTTAATCACTATATATATATATATAGGTAGCTATAAATCAGCTCTTTTTGGACTTGTAAAGTTGATTTAACCACTAAACTTCTTAGGAAAGATAACCCATGGTCAAAATGAGGGGTTCCCGGTAAAAATAAAAACAGACGCTGCATTTCACATGCACGAATTCGAGCATATTTTGTAAACAATAAAAGAGACAATAAAAGTGTATTATGCTAACAAAATACCAATGGTCTAAAAACACACACAACTCAAATTTTATAAATCAGCACCGAAATATTGAATATTTTCTGAAATTACCGTTTCCACGCTGTATACAAATTAGACGACGCGTGCATGTAGGAAATCGTACGCATACGAACAAATAATTTACGATTCACGTTTCGAGAAAAAAACAATTTTTATTTTTTAATTGTCCGGTTGAAAAATTCTATACCGAAATAATTTATTAGGTATAAAACAATTATTTAAACTCCGTCGTGCACACATCACGACGTGTGCATTATAACGATTATTCCGAGCCCGCCTTTTTTCCAGACCCATTATATTGTATCACACATTTGTCGTCATAACATTTTTGTATTTTATTTTTTTTTTTATTGTGCTTTACAGTAGTTGTGGTCGTGGCTTTTTTCGTCTGCTGGGCACCATTTCAAGCACAAAGGCTGGTAGCCATTTACGGTGACGCGGATCACGGAGATCACTCGAGTACTTCAATAGTCGACGCGAATGTTTATCAAGTGCTGAACTACGTATCAGGAATTCTTTACTATTTGTCGGCCACCATAAATCCACTGCTGTACAATCTCATGTCTTACAAATTCAGAACCGCTTTCAAAGTGAGTGCACCCAAATCAATATTTCCGACCGTACAGACATTATTCAACATTCTCCACGAACAACAGAATTATTCATAAATCATAATAATAATACATCATTGTAAGGAGAAGGGCAGTATGATAAAATCCGAAATTCCCTGGATTTTCATTAATTTTACTCAAAACAAAATATCTGTAGAACGTTGTTTCAAATGAAAATCTGGGGTTTTAAATAGTGCAGTTAGTTATATTTAAAATCTATACGAAAATGTATTTAGAGATTACGACGGCATTTGTATAGAAATTATTTATACACTTATTACATTACCATTGCGATTAATAAATACCAATTAATTTTCAGGAAACTTGGAGGTCTTGCAAAGGAGCTAGTGGTATAAGTCCTGACCACAGTATGCCTACCTTAGAATATAAGTGGCAGAGACATCACAGCAATAGCAGAAGTTTCAGCAGTAGTCACTTTGACGAGGTACAAAGAGTTATTAGGTATCTACATACATTAAAAATAATTTTTTTGTTTTATAGAATATTCGTAACGTCAGAAAAACTAATCCTAATTTAAATTTTTTAAATAATACTAAATTTTTATTTTATTTTTAAGAGATTTCATTAAATTATAATATTTTACACTTGTAAAGCATTGCACAACAATTAACTATTATCCGTATAATATGGTGCGTAATATTTAAAGAATTTTTTTTTTTTGTTTCGGTATACAAATTAGTATATTTTAAACTCTTAAAAAATTATCAACATTTTCCATAGCATCACTTGTAAATCATTTTAATTTGCAGTAGGTACTCTGTAATTATTATGCAAAAACGTTCATTCTGATAAGAACGTTTAATACACAATACAAAAAAATCATTATAACGTTTTAATTTATTCAATTGTCTCTATAATTATCAGTACTCTTCATATTTTACTCTAATCTAAAGTTTAATTATACATTTCTTATAAACACCAAATCCTTGTTTTACATTTGCTCTATTTATTTGATTTTTTTTTACGAATAACCAAAGATCGCCTCACTCCATAACATTTTTGGGATACTCGATAAAAATCACACCCAATAACTAATGTATAGTCTTATATCAAGTTATATGCTTATAATATAAGTATAAAATATCTATAATACTGGATACCCTAAAGAATATCCTGGTTTTGGAAAACTATGTACTATGTTTTAAACAATAAACTGCTATTCCATATACAATGTTAAAATCTTAACCTAATATAATAAAACATAAATAAAGTTAAAATTTTAATTTATAAATAATTACTGTACAAACTAATTGTTTTAATATTGGTTAGTATAAATTTATGATTAATAATCACATTTAAATAAATAATGATAACTATAATGTTACGAATAATATATGTATATGCATATATCCTTTTCAACCAAATCAACCGTAACTATATACTAGTGGTAACTATACGAACGGACGGACTGGCACAACGTGGATACAAATCAAAAAGACACGCAAACCCACCTTAAACAAATGTTACCAGCACATTATCTAGTTTATTTTTTACTTTTTTGTATCCTTTGAAAAATGAAAAGTAATCAACACTCTCGTTTAGTCATATATCTGGTGTAACCATATTCGTTGCTTTAAATCATCGGTAACCTTGAGAAATAGTGTTTTGTACACTTCACCCTTCTCAAAACCCCAGTGAAAAACATCATAACGCATTAAATCTGGTTATCTCAGTGGATCAGAAGTGAAATGAGATATCTTGAAAATCTGATCGGTCAATTCATCGCTCAATCAGGTTTTCGTTTAATTACCGGTCGATGAATAGATACTAGTGAGATGGATCGAGGAGCCTCATCATGTTGGAATATGAAATCTTCTGTAAGACTTTAAAATTGAAAAAACGGCCGGTTTATGTAAGCATATTCACAAAATAATTGCCGATGACATTGGTTTCTGTGGTTAAGAAATGGGCTAAAAACTGTCAAGTTTAAAACGGTACAAAATTTATTAACCGGGAACATTTATGCACTTTCTAAGAAAACTAAACAAAACTATATAATCGATTCGGTTGGCAGTGAATTTTCGTATATTTGTTTGTTTTAAAAATATAGCTCTCCGAAATCTGGATATTCTTTTGTGGACACCAAATAATATTATATTAAACGATATTTCCTTTATTGCCGATCTATTAATATTTTAATACTTTCTCTCACGTACCTCACGACAGTTCCCGAAAAAAAAAACACTTTTATTTTTTTAAACAATTTTTTTTCTATTAGATAAATTCAACGAAGCAACTGGTGGTCACTAAACCCTGGCAACCTACGGTCGTAACAATAGACGAGAACATCGGATCGGACACGTCGTCAGCGGTGGATAAATCGCTACGGTTTTCGAGCAAAATCATCTTCAGCAAACAAGAGACCGTCAAAGAACTGAACGGTGACATGATTAAGATGGAAAATGGCATTACCGTCGGCGTTTTAACCAATAACAACAGGACGACCACGTTGCTGATGACGCCAAATTAAATTTAGTGTTCCTATAATATAAATGTTTTAAAAATATTACCCTTCTGTGAATACTATGACCAGAAAATATAATATAATGTTAAGTAGAACTCATAACTAAGATAGTTAGTTGTGGCAAAAGACCGTAGGAATAAGTTAATTTCTAAAATTTCCAGTGTCTCGAAACACTTATGAATAAGGTATTTCCCCTATGTATATGCAATTTTACGGAGATAATCATTTTGACCGCCTCGCAACAAACGGCTAGCAAAACATGGACGATCAAAATTTAAAAAATCAAAACTTGGAAAGGAAAAATTTTGAAAGGCATAATTTAGTATTTGTTATATACACTATGAAGTTACACATCATTAGCTGTTGAATCGACTGTTATAAATTCTGAGTTTTGCCATTCCAAGTTTTGATTTTTCAAATGTTGACTTTCTAAAGGTTTGGTTTACCACATTTTGATAAGTTTTCTTCCGCAACTAAATTATATGGAACATATTGTCTTTCTTGTCAATTTAACTACTGAGTGTACAGTTGACTTTCTTCATATATCGCGTCTTTTCGGAATGAAAAAAATGTTGCAAAAAAAAGTGTAAAAATAATCGGTAACAAATATATTACTTATCTGTTTTTAAGGCGGTTTAAATATACATATATATATATATATGAGTATTTATATTAAATAAAAATTGTATTTTATTTGTTCCGTACTTTACGGTTAAAAAAAATCCCCATGAAATTGTCACACTTCCAGATATTCTGTGGTAAATTTATTTCCTTGAGTACGCATTATGTCCTCGATTTTATGTGTCTACGTGCATGACATTGTAAATAAAAAAAAAATGTAGATTATTTTCATTGCTTATTATATTTTATATTTGAAAAACAAAATTGTGAGATATTTTATTATGGTCACTTGTTAACCGCGGCGACCGCTTCTATTTCGACTTTGGCGCCCTAGAAAAAAAACATACGAAAATATTAATCAGCGGGTCGACCGAATCATCACATAATTTTACAGTCAAAGTGACACAAATAGTATTCGGTGCACTATATCTATTGACCTCGAATAATAATAAAAAAAAAAAAAACACTGAAAAAAGCCACAAGTGGTATATAAAATAAACTAAAAAAAACACTTAATGTAATTTATCACATCAAAAGTATTTTGAAATAGGTTTTTTTTTTTTAATACTTACCAAAGGCAGATTGGCCACTTGGAACATTGCTCTAGCCGGATACGGTGGCACGAAAACTGTTAAAAAAAAAAAAAGGGACAAATTATTGTTTTTAATCAGTACTTAGTGCAATCTATTTTGAAATTCAAATGAGTCCACGTAATTACATTGTTTGTAAATCTCGTTCACCGTCGGCCCGTCTTTTATGTCAGCCAAAAGAACTGTGGTCTTAACGACTGTGGAAATAGTAAAAGTATATATTACGAACTTATATATAGGAGTTAGCTAAACTATAGTTACCGCTAAAATAAAGGGTTTTTTTTTTTTTTTACTTTCATTGTGTAATCCGTAAGGAATAAGACTATATTATAAATTTGTACATATATATATCAGAGGTAAATAAATTCCATCTCATAGTTTAAAATAATTTATTTTGTTCAATGAAATAAGAGTAGTAGACAAAATTTGCAACTTTTCTTGCTGTTTATACATATTTTTTTCGGTATAACAATTATTTACTAAATTATATTATATTAATAAAATAATAAAATAAAACAAAGTTATTAAAATGGTTAATACTCGTAAATAAATATATAAATAATAAAATATATATATATATATATATATATAAATATATATTTATTATATATATTATATTATTGTATAATATTAAAGGTATGTCAAATAATTTATAAATAAAATACATTAAAATTGGTTCTGTACGTTTTTATTTAGTCAAATTTCTTCTGTTAAACAAAGATCAAATTTAAATTTGTACAATCAATTTGTGAAAAAAGCAAGTTATAAATAAAACAAAATTCACGTAGACAAAACACGGGATTAAAATAAAATTATTCTAGATTCTGAGTGTAACGAGGAATATATTACAATAAAGTTTATTTCTTTTTTTCCTGTGAATAACTTTTCTATCAGCAATTTTGCTCCTATTTATATTGATAGCACTTTTTCTGAAAGGAAATCTGATGTACTTTAGGGCAGTGACTGCAATGGTATTTTAGAAAGCCAATTTTTGATTTTCCCTGTTGTTTTCCCAATAAATGGGAAACAACGTGGGAAAAACCGGGAAAACACGTAGGAATAACGGAAAAATAAATTCAATATTAAAAAAATATTATTAAATAAAATATATAAAGCGTATGTAATTATTTTACCACAATGTGACATATATATTGTTGACAAATCAACACAATTAACCGAACTTCACTCAGAATCGTTTTTCGTTAGCAATGATTAATCGATGAGTAGATATACATTTAAATTTTCCCTCTACCTTCCCAACTTCTAACTTACAACAGTGGCCCACCTGTATATCCATATCTTTTTTTTTTTTAATAAAATAAATTACAAAACTAGGTACTTCCAATAAATGTATATAAAATTAGTCAAATTATTATTAATTTTTTTCTCATAAACCAAGATATATATTTTACATTCATATATATAACATGATTAATATGATAACATATCTGTTTTGGGTAAAATAAATGTGATAAATATTTAAAAAGAAAATGACTACTATAACACATTGTGATAATTTTTTTAAACACAGTATATTTTGATCAGTGATCATATTATATTTTATCAGTTCAATGACCAACAAAATAACTGCTGACTCAAACTAGCTAGTTTACATAAAAATATATTATTTGTTTACACACGATTCTCAAACGCTGGGACGCTTGCAAATTATCTTATACGATAAATATATTGTTATACAAATCACGACTATCGCTGGTATACAAAAGTTTAACAGAAAAGGGTAAACATATGTAATATAAATTATTCAATATCAAAACACGATAACATGTATGTACTGTATTGAATATACTAACCCGAGCTAAAGGACGATTGGGATGCTTCGAGAATACGTTGAATGTTTTCTAAAGCCTTTGTCGTTTCGGGACCAACACCGCCTTCGACTAGCTTACCCGTACTAGGGTCCAAGCCCAAGGCACCCGATAAATAAACCGTATCACCGTTCTTGACTGCTTGGCTACATGAAAAAAACAAACAAATTTTAATCCATCTAACTAAAATGTAAAATATAATACAATGTTTTCATATTGCAGATGTGTATAGTTAACATTTTTAATTTGTTGACGCAATCCATCATGAAAAATTAGGTACTAAAATTTATTGAAACATGTCGATTGACATTCAAGTTATGCAGTGAACTGTTTTTTAATTTAAACTGTTCAATATTATTTTTATTATGTTTTAAAAATCCTTAAATAATTCACATCAAGATTAGGCCATTGTTGGAAAGTTGGGAAAGTAGAATATTATAAAAATAGAGTAATTAATTTTATATATACTGAGTGCAACGATAAATCATTTCAAATTAAATACAATTCTAAGCGCAATGCAGTTTAACATGTTTTGATTGATTTCAATTATTGAATATTACATAAATTTATAACTACAAAATAAATTACAATTTCCCGTGTTCTTACGAATTTCAAGATAAATTTCAATTTCAATCGCTGGTAAAAATATTGCAAAATGTCTAAACATATAAAACTCAAAAAAAAAGAATAGCTGCTGATAGCCGCTGATAAATATACCAACTGTTTTTTTTTTTAAAAAAAAAAACAGCAAATTATTTATAAAATATTATTATAGGTTTGAAATCTGTATAGCAGATATCTTTTTTCCATGTTTTCTCAATTATTGAGAAAAGTATAACAAATATCAAAAATGAACACTACTAGAATGCCTCAATTAAATCCAAAATTCTACAAGAAAATACCTATACATTTATCGATTGAAGCAATTTTTCTAGTCGAAAAGTTATTCAGGCAGGGAAAAAAATCCACCGTAGTAAAACCTATAATATACATAATTCGTCGCTTCACAAGGAATCTAAGAACCAAAATATATTTACAGTGTGGATATTTTTAAACGAATATAATTTGTTTAATAATAACTATTATACCTAATTACAAAATATTGTATTGGTTACTCTAAATATATTTGAATAATATAACGCTCTGTGAACTAATAAATAATATATAAGTACCATAAAATACGTTATCACTGCTGTAGTTTCTATATAAGATTATAAAAACAACATTATCCAAATGTAATTATTATAAATAAACGGTAAGCATTTAAAAGGTTATTTTTTAATAAATAAAGATAACCATAATATTATAATAATACCTACATTTTAATTTAAACGCGCTATCTATATAATATTATATTATTTTATACATTTAAATATCAAAAACAAAAATATTTTATATACTTATGTAGGTGAGTTCCTAATAAAGATGTTACCTCAACAGAAAAAAAAAATGATATGTTCAATTTACATAATTTGTAATTCGTATGCATTGTCCATGTACAAATATAATTTATGAATGAAACATGAGCGAATTGGCCATCGAGGCAATTAAAATTATATGTACCTACCTACACATCAATACTTCCAAAAATTAAAAAAAAAATTAAATACATTGAGTGTTTGATATAGGTATATAACAATACAGAGTGATTAATCTATCGTAAGACCCTCTTTATCTCGGAAAGTATTAACTTTTTCCGAAATTTGATTTTTAGAATATTTAAGAAACAAGCTGTTTTACAATTTCATATTTATGTTATTTTTTAGTCACCCTTATTTTTGACGGTAAAACTACCACCTACTTTTGATTTTCATATGGCAACCTATATTTAAAATTCCATAAATAGATGGACTATTATTTAAAATAAATTTTAGTGTTGACATTTTTGATAGATAGTGATTTTACTCCTAAAAATTAGAGTGACAAAAAATAACATAGATATAAAATTATAGAGCAGCTTGTTTCTTAATTGCTCTATAAAATAAATTCCGGAAAAAGTTAATACTTTCCGATATAATGCATGTTTTATGATAGATTAATCACCCCGTATAACTAAATTTGGAAAATATTTTATAAAAATGTAATATTATACGCACAAAATATGTATACTTAAGTACTACCAGTGGATCAGTAGGATCAGTATATATTATAAAGTAATAATTTATTCTTATTACTGATATTATTAATTGTTTTAATATAATATTAATTTATAATTTTTTAATTTTGTTTAAAAGTGTTTTGTCAAAGGCTCTAAATCAGTGTTTCCGATCTTTATTATTACACGCCTCTTTTGTATATTTTCAAACTTCTCATCCCTTCTCTTTTTGCTAAACAAAAAATAATTATCAACTTTTTTTCTTTTGTTATACTGCATATGTAGAATAATCAGTATAACGGTTATAATTGATGGTTTATTTTTTTTTTACAAATTCTTTGATACTTATTAGGTTTTATTTTTAAAAAATCGCACGCACAACAGGTTGAGAAACACTGCTCTAAGAACTATAATTCTTTGTGTAACATTTAAACTAAAACAAAAAATGTTCTTAAAATACAAAAATTAATACAGTTCGATTGATATAATCATACAAGTACAAGAATATTAAAATATACGACGCGGTGCAATCCATATATGACCTATAGTTATTATTATTCATCAATAAAACAATAAAAAGAAAAATATAGAAATCCTAAGAATTAGTCAAAAGGTTAACGTTCAAAAGTAGGGGCCAATTTAAAACTAGCTTGAATAGAGTATAATAACCGATAATGTCTTGTACATTCAATACGTTTTCTGTCCTATTGATTGATAAATACTAATAATGATTTAATCAAACATTTACATATAATTATAGACAAGTTGTTTGGAGTAGCATTTTTGAAATTAATACTGTTATAGACGATTATTTCGAATTTGTATTCATTATAATTTCAAAGTAATTTCATAATTTCCGTAAGTATATAATAATATTCTATAGGTACTATTGAAAATAAAATGAATAAACTAACTGTAGATACAGTACTGTATTTCAATTTCATTTTGAAAATATTTAAAAATAATATTATATTTTCGTTGGATACGTGCTAATTGTATTGCTATTATTAATTTCAAATTTGCAGAACTATTATGGTTGGTTATACGTGAGTTTTTTTTTATTGAGGGAGGGGGAGGTGCTTAAATGAAAAAATCTTTAACAATTTTATTATGATAGCATCAGAATATTACTGTGGGCAATTTGGCCCTTTTTTTTTACTAATCCGAAAACGGTTATGTTTCTATGAATAATTACTATACCTATTTTATAACTTATAAAGATATATGAAGAATATAGTATATTATACACCTATAAAACTTAAAATATTATATTATTTTTAATGGATTGTTGTTAACATATTGGTTAAAATGTCATGAAAAATTTGAATTTGTTTATATATCATAAAAAATAATTCAAAATTTCGTGATAAATTAAAGTATATTATGTATATCTGTACAACTTTATACATTAATCATTATTGCTCAATAGCATATTTAGGAAGAGATTAGAAAGATCTAGGTACATCTAGGTACATCTCCCTCTTTAAACTATATTTAAAAAAATGTATTCTTATAACATTATTTTTAAATTCTAGTCATAAAAATCAAAACAATTTTGATAATTTATCAATGATAACTATACCTATTTTAATCAATACATCAAGAAAACTTGAACGATAGGTACCCACACTTTCTGGTTTAAAATAATATTACCAAAACTACTATAATATGAAAGATTATAGGATAAAGCATGGTTAGATTAGGGTAACCATACGTCCTGTTTTATGCAGGATTGTACTTTATTCAGCTTCGTGTCCTATTGTCCTGACAAACTTCTTTCAGGACGCTTTTTGTCCTATTTTTTATATCGATATCAATTATTCTCCATATCAATTCTTATTTTAGTTAATTAGATATAAATATTTTATAGTTTTAACATACATATTAAAATGTTATCTTATTTTTTAATAAAATAAATTTGTTGACAAAAATATTCGTTATAGATTATGACAGTGATTGCGATTGTATTCAATCGATGAAAAATAATAACCACAACAATCGATACCGAAGATAATACATCTAAGATGTACGTGTATATTTAAAATAGTTAATAATATAGGCATAATTATGGAAAATTAACAAAACAAAACTATAATAATTAATAAATATTAATTTGAATGTATTACTGAAATTATTTTGTTCTGGTTTTTATTTTTTTAAATATGGTCCCCCTAGGTTAGATTAATAAACTAAACTAAACTAACTAACTAATAAGAATAGATAAATTAATAACAATTAATAATAAATAGTTAATTTGCCCGGCCCCAAAAAGTTGGAATTAAGGTGAAGAGAAATAGAAAATATATAGTTATTTGATTTTAGTTATAATTTTAGTGTAAATTTAATTAAATTCAATTATAAATTACTTCGAAAAATATATGTAAATTAAAAAATGATTTTTCATTTAGTCTTTGGCCATTGCACGTTATTCAATATGGTACTATGTTTTAATTCAATATTAACAAAGAGCTACTTATTTTTTTCAAAAATTATTTTATTTCTTTGTACCTAGTTTTTATGTTCATTTCGGAGTCAAAATGTACTGTACAAAATAAACCTATTTTCCATCTGTACTCCGAATAGAATCATATATATTATTTAACATTTCAATTTCAAAACTAACTAAACCAGTGTTCAATGCACACATTTTAGTGACCGTTCCAGATAATAATAATTTAAAAGCTATATATATATTATATACTATATACTCTAAATGGAAAAAAGGTTCCAAGAGCAATATGTCAATAAAAACACATCGACCCATTGGGGAATTCGTATAACCGCGTATTTCATTGTATAAGTATAGTAGGAAAATGAAAATAATGTTATTTGCAGACGCGAAATGACTGAGAGCTATTCGGTTTTCGCTATAAGTATGATTAAAAACACCGTAGGTAAATACGTTATAGTATTTAGATAGTACCAGTTGTGTACACATAACTTTTGTATTGGGTGGAAGGGGATTGGTGGTATATGATTTAATTAAATTTGTTACATCTACGATTGGGTCTAGGGTAGACCAAAAACAAGCAATTTTATTTTCGCGAGGCTATTTTTAAACCTATTTTATTTGTACACTGCACAGGTGTAAAAATATACCACCGAATCTCATTTCACGAACAAAAAAAAAAACAATTTTAATACGCGATCAGTGGTTTTAGATCGAATTTTAGGCGAATAACGCAATTTATATGTATTATAATTTTGTTTACATTTTAAATTATCGACGATCAAAACATTACATGAAGATAAATAATTAATTTGATATTTATTATCAAAATATATTAAGGAACAGATAAGGTCTTACAGTTGATAAGGATAAAATTTATATTGACAAAATGATTAGCCTCGAAACATAAAATATTACATTAACAATTTTTTTCAAGGGTAAAATTTCAAATTGATGATTTATCAACATTTTGCAACTAATAACAGTAACAACTTTGTCAATATTGATTTTCTCCTTATCGACTACTATAGGATCTTATACAAATTGAGTTATTCGCCTAAAATCACTGTTCGTAAACTGGGATTTTTTTTTTTTTTTCGTGAAATAAAATAACATTCCATAGTTTTGTTACACCTATATAAATAAAATATAGATAAGCCAGTGAAATATTTTTTTTTTTTTTTTGGTCCACCCCAATCTATACATACATAATTAAGCAGATATGATCCTCGCATATAAGACCCTAGATAGGACTCTATGAATTCATACATAGGTACTCGAAAACTAATAATCTGCCGTAACTATAGAGCTATATGAGATAACGTTATACAATATCAACACTATATTCTGGGCGTTGCGGAACAGTATACGTACGTAGTGAGCAGTTATTGAACGTTTTTAGTAAATCGAACAACATTACTCACCTGTAGGCGCCGACCGGTGCTGGTGCCAAATCCGTGGAGACGTGCGACACTCGGCTACTCATACTGCTGGCGGATTGAAAACGTTTACAGGCGACTTTCGATAAAAGCGACGACGACGTGAAAACGATCGTTGCGCGAGCTGCGAATCTACTAACGAACATAATATTATAAGCTACATACGGATGACTACCAATTAACCGTATCAATCGACGTCGGACCGTTGCACAGCTATCAGCAGTGCTAATTAAAAACAACGGCGACCGATTGTAATTTGTAACAAGTAATCGTGCCAATGCGGTTGGAGAAATAACTATTTTCTCGGGCTCATCGTCATTAACGATTAGACAGATAACACGCTGGCCGACCAGATAAACGAACGGACGAATGATGAATTCTCGTATAATAATCGTATTATAAGTAAATTAGCTAACCAGTAGAAAAAAATAAAAAAACAATAGTCTAACGTCGAGGTCATAATAATAAATTAAATAGAGGTAGGTAACGTAAACTATGTAGTTTCGAACCACGACGGCCGCGGTTTTACACCTAATATTAATCTGGCCGATAATAATAATTCGTGTTTTGGGTACGCGTAATATTTCACTATATCTACAGAGTGTTTGTCTCGGCTGTGACTTTTTTTTACGGTGTAATAATTTTGTTATTTCAAACAAGTAATCACGTAAAAGAATGTACAATAATATTATTGTACCGCAGTATCCAAAAATGACTTTTGGCGATTTCTGGCGCTTGTTTTAGCCAATCAATTATTTGGTTTTTTATTATTGTAATAGATTCGTCAGGAAAAAAAATGTCTTTTTTGGTCACTTATTGTATTAAGACTTCATACTATTACGACGTATTTTAAGTGAGAACGAACAAATGAACAATAAGGGACCTTAGGAGAGCTCTAATGTTTAAAATCAACAGTAATTCATTCAATAAACCTGAGCATCTCATGAGCCTTACAAGTTACTTTTTCAATTTGTGAATGAAAACATAAACGACAATCAAACGTGACCCTCAAATAAATCGTTTCATCGCCAGAGGTACGCATATTTTTGCCATTGACAGAATACAAAAAATTAACAGATTTATGACATATTTAAATGTTATTAAAAATAAATGAATTTTAGCACTATAAATTTATCAGTTTTCATTTTTCATAATTTTTCGGTTCTCAGTTATTATAAAAACTACCAAGAAAATCAAAAACTTTGATAGAATTTTTGTACACAGTATACTAGTATTTATAAAAATAAACATTATTGTACAACCAATACATTTTTTGCTCCAATTAAATTTTAAAACAAACTAATACGTATATTGGATATTCCAGTTGAAAGTAGTTATCACGTATTATAATGTAATACAATTTCATCATTACAAAAAACACATACCAAACCTAATTGAAGCTACATTGTAGATAAGTTTTTTTTTCTGGTAGGTGCCTCTATACAAAGGAATTCTAATACCTTATTTAGTATAGCTACCAAAATCATTTATCAATTTGATGTAGATAACACTAATTTGAACAAAGTGTATATACGTAATTAAATTATAATTGATTTCCAGTGAGTATTTTCACGGGTGTATTCACTTTTACCTTTTTTTGCTCTATTGATCAATCCTTTTTTGAATCGGGCGTTGGTCTTCCGAGTTGTTTAATTTCAATTTTCTGTTCGTATGCAAATGAACAAAAACGGTTTCTCATTAAATTTGAAACGGAATTTTTATCCATAATAATATAGTCATACACTCATATAAAAACAAAAAATAATATAATTGAATGTATAATTATTTAATTGTATAACACTTCGAATTTTAAATTGTTACGTATAGTGCCGTCCGCGTGCATGTCGGGCGGTTATTCGTGTCTTCGTGTCGCTCCGACGGCCGAATTATTACCGAATCCCCCACCTTTGTTTTGGTATTGTAATCGTATTTTTCATTTTGTATATAAGTTTATGACGGGCGATCGTGAGCGTCGCCCAGCACCGAGCGCTATGGCCAAATCCTAATGACAAATAAGATATTATTGTAGGTACCCACTGATTCCATAGACGATAATCACACATATGGGTATTACCCATTTAAACTGTATTGTTATGGACTACAAACTATATTTTTAAACTCCGGTTATCTAATGGCGTTTTCATAATAATGGAAAACAGTTTTTACTTTCATTAATAATATTGTACGAGATAATTGTTAACGTTTAAATCAATACCCAACTTTCTAATAAGTAATTTGTTATAATTTAATCGGGGGGGGGGGCGACCGTCCTGTCGCCCATACACACGAGCCGCCACTGATGATTTATATATCTACATATATATATATTTATTTTTTTTTCTAATAGCGTATTATGTGGGTAAATAATTATTAATTACAATGTAATTGTACACAATTATAAAGCACTAATTAAGTTTAACCAGCTTAATTCATACCAAATAGAAGTAAATTAGTTATGATTATTTGTAACCAAATTTACAATTACGATTAAAGATATCTTTAATCGTGTTTACAGCTTTATTGATAAACCTTCTTGTAACCTCAAATTATATAAATGTTCGTTCTCCAGTGATAAATTCTCATGGCCTATCCATTCTTATATTATCAATGGGAAAACCACAATAATGCGTATTATGTTGGTTATTAAAAATAACGGACATACATTTTACAATATTTATTTGTTAGACCTTGGCATATTTTATATATTTGTATATAGTTTGTATATTGTATTTTAACGGTTTTGATTGATTATGATATGTTTTCAGTAACCTATAACCAAAATCACCGAAATTGCTTGTTTATAAATTACATTTGGATATTCGCCAAAACATGTCTATCTTTATATTAGAATAAATCCAAAATGTACAATTGAATATGAATTTGTTGATTTCTTATTAGTTTTAAATATGGTTGACCTACCCATACAATTTTTTTGTATTCATTTTCCACAGTTTTCATGGAAAGTGAAACAAAATAAATTCCGTGATAACAATTGTTTATACAATTACCCTTAGTTCACATATTATGGATAGAGCAAGCTACTGCATGATAAATGCGTACTACGGGTTGATGACATAATTATTAACGAGTGCTACGGCGAATGATGTCTACCATTGGTATTGCGCATGCGTATCAGTACTCGTCGCATATTTATCGTATAATCATTATAATACAACCGGGTAGTGATAGTAGGTACGTCACACGTGATTACGTGAATTCGACCAATTGCGCGTGATATACATTTTGCGCATGCGCATTTGTTACAACTCCCATGTTTGCTTCTAATATTTAGTCAATAGCTCTATCCATAGTATATGATCTAAGCATTTACCAGTCACCAGTGTATATTCGTTTTTTGTTTAGTGTTTGTGTTACTAGTCTTTCCCGTTAATCATAAAAAGTATTTTTTTTATTTTATATTTGTTATATCTTGTAACGTGAATTTGTTATTTAATTGTCTTTCTTGTTATAACAAGAATATGTTATAACATACATAATATTTAATTAACTTATTTACATGAAATAACCGAGGTAAAAACCAATTATTTATTTATTTATTTTAAATGTCCTTAATCCACCTACCTAAGGGGTAGCGTGAATAAACAATTACGGAAATTTAGTCTCCGAAAAAAAAACCCGAAAAATAAACCTCTTGAAAAAATAACCACATATGAGTTTCTGCATAGGGTAATGAGTACTAATGCAATGAGTAAAAATTAATCTAAATATTAGTATTATACTGTTATGCTATCGCGTATAGTAAAATCCCCCACAGATAATGTTAAATTTCCATGATTATTATATACATTTAATATTAATATGGGGTTATTTTTTCCGTGATTATTTTTTTGAGGTTATTTATTAAGCAAATCCACCAAAATTGTTTTTATTAATTCATAACTTAATTCTAAAAACTTTCATTGTGATTATTATCAGTTATGTAGGGTAGTTAGTGTGGTTAAAATATGTATCATACGTATAATGTTTTACTTACATGTAACTATATATTTATATAAATACTATTCAAGTTAAGAATATCTATATTTTCTGAAAAAAAAGCGTTCACTGACAACAGTGTTTTAGATGAATATGACATTTTTTACCAGAACAGATTATAATATTTAATTACATAACATACTTTTCTCCAAGACAATCTTATTTTTTTTTTTTTAACAAACTGTTCTTATAATTCTCTGTATCGTGTTTTGGTATTTAAATATTATGTATATATATTTATATATTTGTTAACTAAAATTTATATTTATGGAAATATGTATTATTTTGTGTTTTGAAAATAAACTTTTGTTTATCTCAGCGATTTATCTGCATCTTCACTAGCAAGTAAATGTAATTTTAAAAAAAAAAACATACACTACAAAAACTAATAATATAATAAAATGTAAATTGTGGTACTGAAACTCGACGTGTGGATATCAATAAGAATATGGTAGTCGTTATTCCAGTAGTAGTTTAGGTGGTAGTTACGTTAATAACCGTAGTCTCATGTAAAAAGAAAGTACTTTTTCTAAATGTGTGTTGATGAATTTTTAAGAAATTTATGCATTTCTTATAGCTTTTGTTAATTGATTCATATACCTACCTACATCAATTGAATGGCGTTATGCAGAATGCAACCATCCCACAAATGTTCTATTTAGAGATAATTCAAGTTTTACTAATATAGTTTCTATAAATCTGTTTACACCTTATATGACCTGAAACCAATATATCTTATTCATTTGATGTCTGTATTTTAACTACTTATTAATAAAACTCTGATAAAATTAATATCTACCATTATTTTTAAGACATGTTGGTTGGTTGTTTTATGATTAATGTAAAAATATGGTATGGTTGATTTTAAAGCAAACTATAACACTATTAAAAATATTATCTATAATAAAATACACTTATTTAAGTAAATAATATGTAACACTAATTTTGGTAGTTAACAACTTTATTTGAAACATTAATAGATGGCACTACACTTCAATGTTGATATGGTTGTATTTTGCAGAATACGTAAACTGAAATTATCTATCTTGTTCTATTAAAATCTCGCTTTTCTTTGATTTGTGGGATGGTTGCTTTCTGCATAACACCATTCAATTTAAAAACATTAAAATATACACTAGTGTTTCTAACTTTTTTTTTTGGAATTCACAGGTATCGTGATCTTTCTTTATTCTTGGTAACCATGGATGACAAAAGTAGGACCGATTTAAAGGCAAAAAGACAGCTGAAATTGAAAAAGTTAGTGAAGCTACCCATACTTAAAAAACTGTTAATCGATAATTCTGCACAGCAAGGCCCTTCAGTTGGACCAGTATTTGATCAATTATTTTCACCAGCAGACAACTTAAGAGAATCGTCTGCTACTTCACAAAAAAGTCTTATTCAACAAACTCAGGGTCAAATTGTACCAGTTGGTCGTGAATATTTGATTGAAGGAAATCGACAACAAATGATCCCTGTTACAGAATATCCAAATACTGTGGTTGAACTTAAAGACAGTGGAGTTGATTTAAATCAGCAATCAGTTTCAAGTAAAAAAGATTCTGAATCAAAAGACTTGGATATGATAAATTTATCTAAGTTTTTAAATGAAGAACCATCACAAAATGTTGAACCACCTTTCATTAATGTTCAATCGAAATACATAAAAAATGGCGAACAAAAAAAAATTAAAAATCCTTTCAGTGAGAATAATCCAAATCAAAAATATACAATGAAATATAAAAATGATACTACTGATACATTGTTAACTTTAGCAACTGCTACTCTTGATCAAGTACCGCCTACTAATGGGTCTGCAGATAGTTCTATAGCAAAACCCACACAGCCAACAGTACATGCTGAACAAGAAATACCTGCTTGGTGTGATGTTGGTATATTTAAGGGTACTGCATGCATGGTGAAACAGTTTTACTCAACTTCAATTACTGATGAACATGAATTTACTAACTTAGATCATTTACCAGACTATACAAATAAATTAAAAATTGATATCCAACCAGGTACGGCTTATAAATTCCGTATAGCTGCCATAAATAGTTGTGGTCGTGGAGAATGGAGTGAAATATCGGCATTCAAGACTTGTTTGCCAGGTTATCCAAGCATTCCATCTGCTATTAAAATAACAAAAGCGCCGGATGGTGCCATTATAACATGGAATGATCAATCTACATATTCTGATAAAATTTTAGATTATACTGTTTGTATGGCAATCGAAAACCCTGAAGAAGGGACATCACAAAACCCAAAACCAACTACAACAAATTTTAATTTTGTTCGTGTATATTGTGGACCTCAAAATGTAGCTCTGGTTAGTCATGAATCACTAGGTGCAGCTTTTATTGACAGAACTAATAAACCTTCTATTATATTTCGAGTTATTGCGAAAAATGAAAAAGGATATGGACCAGCTTTGCAAGTTAGGTGGTTACAAGATGACAGTGAGCTTGGATTAAATGAGAACCTGACAATGAAAAAAAGAAAATAGTGTTCATCTTTTATTTGGGGTTCCAAGAAGACCTGAAGTTTAATAAGTTTTATGTGTTTTATAAATCCAATATCAAAGGACCTATAATTAATTTAAAATTTATTAATATTTAGGAAATTCTGATGTATAGTCATAAGTTTTTTAAAGTCTTATCATATTAGGTTAAATTGATATTAAAAAAATAATGTTTAACTAAATACTTTTACTTAATCTAGTAATTTTTTTATTAGTTTATAATAAAATGTATAAATTAATTAAAACAATTGTTTTACTATGCATTCAAAACTATTGAAACAATAATGGTGTATTGAAGAAGGAGGAATTATTACTTTTTCTCATGTAATTTTAAATTTTGATTAAATATACTTTAGATGAGACAGAGCTATAAACATTTTACACACCTTTAAATACAATAATTATTATCTATATATTTATAAATCAGAGTGCCTAATATTAATATCACCGTAAGTTTTAAATTGTGTAATCCAGACATCCAATATGTAAGGAGAAAGGTATTACTAAGCAGTATATAGTTTTATAATTGTTAATAAATTACTTACTTGTTATTTAGTTCAACTCAAATTGATTAAATTTATTAACTTACCATATATAACTATAAGAAAAGTTTATGGTAAGTGAATTAAATAATGTAAGTGTTATATTAATAATCCACTGTGTATTGTTTTATTAAATGTATACTAATATGTTTGTAACTACTATATATTTTCTTAGAATATTCATTAAAACTCATGGTGTAAACAATTACGTATAATTTTTTATGTTGGTACCAACATAAAAATTACTGTCATAAAATTGTATACTTTAATAGGTACTTTATTCATACTCACAATAAAATTAGTTATTGATTCAATTGAATCCTGAGCACAGATTAAAATATCTTAAACTTATAAATAATTATTAATGTACTTACCAGTAGTTGGTAATTAAATACAGTTCTTTATTAATTATTGCCATTTTCCTAGACGTTTTCAGAACTTTTAGAATAATTTTGCTATTGTTATTTTATTAATCACCTACCTATTTCCACACCATTAATTTCAAATAATATTAATTATAAAGCAATTATGATTAATAATATGTTGTTTCTATACCAGATATTCAAGAAATCACTGTAGACATCTATAATTTTACATATTATGTAAAATGAGAAATTCAGTAAAAGAAAAAAAAATTGAGTTTGAATAAATTTAGCAATCCCACCTAAATGTTTCCCATAAAAATATTAAAAGAAGTCTTATCTATTTTTAAGACTTCTGAATTAAAAAATATGAACTTTAAAATGAAAATCAATCATAATTTAACTATGTATTATCTGTATTTATATAATAATATATTATACTTTGTTCAAATTAGTGTTATTCACATTAAATTAATAAATGATTTTGGTACCTATACTAGATACTATATTAGAATTCCATTGTATAGAGGTACCTGCCAGAAACAAAACTTACTTTTCTAAATATAGCATCAATTAAGTTAAGTATGTGTTTTGTGTAACGGTGAAATAGTATTGCATTATAATCATGGAAGTTCAGAAAATAGGTTATAAGGATGTGTGAAACCCCCTCCGCCCCAAATTTAATTCTATACAAATTACGTAATTGCTATGTTGCTACGTTGCTTGCAGCTGGACTAAGATAGGTATCACGTCCTCTTAACCAAGGGGGGCAGTGGCCAACAGATCAATTGTACCATAATGTGTCTTAGTCAGTCTTGATTTCTTTCTTTTCCTTTCCNAATTCAAATCAATTCTGATTTAATGCGCAGTAACTTAAAATAATTGAATGCATTTTAATATGTATTTTTTAATTATCACTAAAAAAAAGTTAAGTTCATTATATTACACATACTTGTAATGTTACTGTACTACTATATCTATTGGAATAGGTATTTTGGAAATATTTTGTTTATTTTTAGTTTCAAAAAAAAAAAGTAGAAAAAATCCCCCATGTCGTTCACAAACGAATTATTCATGTTCACCGTACATATTATATAAGTAGGTAATTAAAATATTAAAAAATAATAAAAAATTATATGTTCTAGTTCAATAAATTTTTCATTTCAATCACTGGCTAAAAAGTATAAACCAAACGAAAACATTAATAGCTTAGGGCAGCTTAGCCCAACCTGGTTGTAATTACTCCCCAAGATTTAAAACACGATTTTTTGAGGGGTAAAAACAAAACTAATTTTTTTTTATTTTATGTACTTTATATCTATTATTATTAATCCTGCATCAGTTATGTATACTACGATTGTAATAGAAATTGTAATAATACAGTTGTTGTTAATAGTTTTCGATTAATAAAGAGTTTTATGTGTTTTATTGAGTTTGTGAGAGTTAGTATAGTTTTTGTTTGAGTTCAATCATTATTATTTTATTTTAATTAGGAAATATACCACCTTTAATTTATTTTCCTACATAATTTTATTACCTTCAAAAAATATTTATAATATTATATTTCAGACCTTTTAGTTTTTATGTTATTTATTATTATCTTGGATTTCTAAGAATTATTTTTGCTATAACAAGTTTACATTTGATATCCTATTAATATAAAATTATATCAATATTTAATTTAATGGTTTTAACTATTAGTTGGTCGTAAACACTTGGTTTATTAGTGTACTTGTATGTACCGTCCACTAATCAACCAATATTGTCGATTTTTGTATTATTTTGGCGTGAAGCAAAAGCAGGTGAGTGAAATAATTTTATTCTTTTAGATGTTGGTTTTTGACAATTTTTCTTTGAATCAGAAACCATGTCACAAGGGAAAAAACCATCATACAAAGAAGCTTTTCTATAATGGGGATTTACTCAGTTTGTCGATAAAAGTGTTGAAAAGCCCCTATGTGTTCTATGTAACAAAGTGTTAATAGCAGAAAGTATGAAACCAGGCAAATTAAAAAAACATTTTGAAATTTGTAGGAAAAAATTTTGCATTTTTCAAATGTAAGGAAGCTGTGTTAAAAAATGTGCGTATGAATTCATCCGGCTAAGACCTTTTTCAGTGAATGAAAATGTATTTCCAGGTATTAAAATTAATGCCAAAGCACAATTTTTAGAGCTTCGTGAAGACAACACACATAAAATAGATTTTAAAAACATACAACTAGCAACATTTTGTCAAAAAATTGGTAGCGAGTATCTATTATTATCGGAAAAAGCCTTGAAAATACTAATCCCTTTTTTCACAACGTACAAGTGTGAAAATGGGTTTTTTTTGAGGACCACATAGAGGATGGATGGAAATAGAAATTAAATTTTCAAAGATGTATATTAATACTTGTAAATTTAAATATCTTTAAAAAAAATTTATTCAAAAACTTGAAAAAAAAAAAACAAATCTACATTGGTTCATGCAAATGGAACACTTCCATAAAATTTGAATATATACAAGTAGATGATATAGACATATCATTGTTTTTCTGACATCGTTTACTATGATAATCTTTTTTTAAAATATCATTATGCATACATTTATGAGGTACTAAGACACTGAGCACAGAACTCAGATAGTAGAAAAATGGTAAAAGGTCTAAACTAAAAAAGTCCAATTTTATTTGTATAAATATACATTTTGTATGTATTTAAAAATAACTTAAATATGAAAACGAAGACAGAGTACAAGTAAACATAACATAATATTTTACATATCTATCTAGTATATAAACATAACTATATCTATAAATATATTAAATTTGGTGTAGGTTGAATAGTATTTAAGGAAAGGAGACATAAAAAACAAACAAAATAACTTATAATTAAAATGTATAGAACAGGGAACATAGTAATATTTAAATTATAAATCTAATTCAACACACTATAATTTAAGATCAATATTTTTAACATCGTTTACTATGATAATCTTTTTTAAAATATCATTATGTATACATTTATGAGGTACTAAGGCACTGAGCACAGAACTCAGATAGTAGAAAAAAGGTAAAAGGTCTAAACTAAAAAAGTCCAGTTTTATTTTTATAAATATACATTGTGTATGTATTTAAAAATAACTTAAATATGAAAACGAAGACAGAGTACAAGTAAACATAACATAATATTTTACATATCTAGCTAGTATATGAACATAACTATAACTATAAATATATTAAATTTGGTGTAGGTTGAATGGTATTTAAGGAAAGGAGACATAAAAAACAAACAGAATAACTTATAATTAAAATGTATAGAACAGGGAACATAGTAATTTTTAAATTATAAATCTAATTCAACACACTAAAATTTAAGGTCAATATTTTTAAAAAAACCTTGGTACAATTGTGCACAAATAAGGTAACCAAAAAATTTGATTAAAAAAATATACATAATATCTGAAAGTATTCCAGCTGATTTGGTAATTTCATTAAATTCATCGATTTTTGTTGAATACCACTACATTGATGATTTACTTTGATAAGAAACTGTTTAAAAAAGTAGTGGATGTAAAAATAAAAACTGTGTAAAACGTATAAAATATTATACTAAGTGTAAATACTCGTCAATAATATAAGAATAATATAAGAATAATTCTTTAATAGCATATATACAAATATCATATTATATAGTATACATTACATTGCATAACAGTGCAATACTAGGCCTTACGTACTCTACCAGTAAAATAATAACACTAATTTCAATTTTAAATGTGATTTTATACACACATTCTTTTCTCAATACGTTTTCCTTACATGTATCAAAAAATAAAAAGGGAAAACCCCAGAAATTCACAAATTTTAAAGGTGTTTTACGTTTAAAAGCATTTAAATTCGAACTTAAAATATAATATAATATGTTAAAATATGACATGTAATACAATTTTAAAAATAATAAAATAGGAATACTCTTACTCCAAAAATTACGGTTACGGTTTAAAGGTTACGGTTCGAAACGATCCGAACTAGAAAACCGGTTAAACTGGTTTACGGCAAATCGCAGATTTTTCGAAAGATTTAAAAAAATTCAACGTACAACACCGCGGCCGAAAAACTGCTACAAATTGCGGTACGGCTTGGTACCCATAAGATACACGGTAGAAATCGTGGAATTGGCGAATAATATTATTACAACTGGCCCGCGCGGGCCAGTCGTACGAAATTATCGAAGGCGAGTTGGGAATTTTGTTAATTTCCTATTGGAAACTGTCCACGAGCGATCTCGAATCGTACGACGAACACGCGAAACGGTCATCGTGAAAAGCGGTGTTCGCGTAGGGCAGTCTAATGTCTTGGAGGAAGAACGGAGCGCCAAAATCACCAAGTCGAAAGATGCGACTTTGAAAGAGACCGCCATGTACCTGATGGATTGCGTGTACGTTTGTACTCGAATCATAAACCAAAAATACAAAAATATACGAAATATAAAGTGTAAACAGTAAAGAATGTATAACTGTATAGTTAAGTTTTATAATTGCATAATTATTTATTAGGCTGTAACATAACATGACGTACACAATAAATAAAACAGTATATATTCAAATATAATTTAAATCAACAAAGCAAATGAGATGATGTAACACAATGTAAAATTTATTGAAGATGACCGGGTATATTAATATTAATATTAAGATAAACGACTTTTAAGTGTTTTTAAAAATATTTTATTTATGTAAATTTTAACCTATAATTTAGCCTTAATTATTTCTTTAATAATTACTCGTGTATAAAAATATTTTTAAAATAGCATAACAAGATACACATTCACAAACGAAAAAAAATTATTTTTCATGTTAATAATTATTTCAAAACATTGACTGGTGATAAAGGTAAACCAGAAATTAGTAATTTTTTTCGTCAATCGTGAAATGACTGCTGAAGCGTGTGGCGTAAGTCTTGATTATGTTAAACGAGTTTGCGCTGAAGGGAAAAAATTATCTGTGGGTGAAAATCAACTAGCTGCCAAACCTTCTTTCTTTAAGTCTCCAAGGAAAAGTTATAAACATGCCAAACCTATGACCAACTTAAACGATTTTAACAATGACGTTGTCAGAAGAACAGTTCATAGTTTTTATGATAATGGTCAGTATCCAACTAGTGAAAAAATATTGGGAGCGTTGCATGAAAAAATTAATTATTCGGATTCACAATGGTCCGTGCGACATATTTTGCGTAATTTAAATTTCAAATACAAAAAATGTAATGACGGGCGTAAATTTTTAATGGAAAGAAATGATATTATTTGTTTTCGGGTTAAATTTTTGAGAAAAATGAACGAGTTTAGACGTAATAACGACACAAGGCCAATATTTTACTTAAACGAAACATGGGTAAACCAAAATCATACGTGAGGACACATATGGCAAAACTCCGACAACACCGAAGGATTAAAAGTACCTATTGGAAAAGGCTTATTGTGTGTCATGCTGGGTCACCTTCATTGGGTTTCGTCAAAAATTCAAAACTGGTTTTTCGTTGCAAGTCGGGATCGCAGGCAGACTATCATTCTCAAATGAACGCGACTATTTTTCATAAATGATTTATAAATATATTGGGCAATTTAGAAGAACCTTGTATAATTGTGATGGACAATGCCACATACCATTCTACCTTAACAGAAGAATATCCTAAGGCAAATACTTGAAAGGCGGATGTACAAAAATGGTTACAAGACAAGTCTGTGAACTTTTCTCCAGTAAAGACTTTAACCGAACTACGGGAAAAAGTCAAATTGACGATGCCAAAAGAAAAAATATATAACTAGGACGAAATTGCACTTCAAATGGGCCATGATGTGGTAACACTTCCTCCTTACCACTGCCAATATAACCCAATCGAATTAATTTGGGCGCAAGCTAAGGGTAAAATCGGGGGAAAAAATAACCCCTTCAAAATGGTGTAAATAGGAGTCCAATAGGTTATAAGTCAAAAATATATGTATCGTTATTTTTACGAAAAATATGTATGCGACGATGCTAAAGATAACGATTATTATGACGAACATTGTCGATAACGACAGATAACATTAAATGTACACATTACACATTCAACCGTATATTTTTAGGTCCCACTAAGGTAAGTACACACGTAGAGGAAATCCTCAAGATTTGAACTGCGCTGTCCAGTCCTTGAGGATTTCCTTCACGTGGATAGGATTGGCCTTGAGGCCTATGTTAGCCTGTGCAGTCCGAAAATCCTTTTCGAAATTCAATAAAGAAAAACTGTGCAAGCCATACTGTACAGTTCAAATTCGCACGTGTGGAGGCACTGTGGGGTCTACCTTGAGGATTCATGCGATATCACTTATTATTTTAATTTTGTTTTGTTTGTTTCTGCGTGTGCACCTTTAAATAAACTACCGTTTAAAATGAGCCGGGAATTTATTGAAGAATTTATTAAACTTAATGAATGTGAGCCTTATCCTTGGCACATCAAATCAAAATATAACCATGACAGGAACAAAAAAAGATTCTGCGTATGCCAAATTAGTCAACAAACAGAGAGAAGTTGAACCAAATGCTACAAAGAACGTAATAAACAAAATGAACAATATGAAAAGCGCTTAAAGAAAGGAGAATAAAAAAATAAAAGTCTGGTGCATCAACAGACTCCGTGTACAAATCAAAATTGTGGTACTTCCCATTGTTGAGGTAAGCTTAATATATTTTTCATATAATAGTTCAAATTGATTTTTACTAAATTAATTAATTAATAGTTGTGTTAATATTTTTTATGATGATTATGACCACAGTATTTTAGAAAACGTGAGTAATAATTATAATTAAATAGGAATTCTAAAGCAATCAAATATATATATTGTAATGTAATGATATGCTATTTAAGCTACCATACATTATGTAAAATAAAATATTATATAAGAAATAAATCAAACAATTAATAACGGAAATGATAGTTAAACATTTACATCCGATGCCATTCTTTTTTCTTATCAAATAACATATATTTTAGTGCGATATTTACTCATCGTAAGGAGATAATACTTAAGCTATCATATAAAATTAAAATAAATTATATAATCAATATTGTAAAATAATTATAATAATTTGTAGCCATTAATTATTAGATTAAGTTGTTAGTATTAACCAAATTAAGATAACACATTTACACACGCACACACACATAGATCTCCAGTTATAAGGAGGCCGGCCACTTCTAATCATTCACAGTGTATGTATTGTTCCCGTTGCTTTTGGACAGATGATCACAAGCGAGTGTAAAAGACTACGCAGAGATTCTTACAAAAGCACAGGAACCTAGAACAGTGTTTTATATTTAAAAATTTAATAAAAAAGAAACAGTTGTTATATTAAAAATCTTTTTATTTACTACGGTCACCTTTATCAAATTCAACAGATCAATTTGCCGCCTGAAGAAGAAAGGTAATCAAATTTATAATTAACTTACACGTGTGAATCAATTTTATATAATTAGGCTNAAATCGTCAAGGGACGCATTCCTCAGAGGCCTTACAACTGGACAAAAGGAGCCGTCTGGTAAGGGAGAACGGATCATTGTTGTGCACATCAGGTCATCTGAAGGTTTTGTTGCTGGCGGTCTATTTTGCTTCGAATCCAAAAAAAATTCATAAGATTATCATTACGAAATTAACGGTGATAATTTTTATGAATGGTTCAACACAAATTTACCGTTGTTGAACGACAATACCGTAATCGTCATGGATAATGCGTCATATCATTCGGTGAAGAAGGACCCTTGCCTCAATATGTCTTGGAAAAAAAAAGATATTTTTGAATTACAACAGTAACCGGCCGTATACATGATACGTATTTTTATATACTTTGTATGTACTGAAATATTTCACCAAACAAGACCAAAGTCAGACCAAGAGTAACCGATAAAGTAGACGAGTTCGACTAAAATGCTATCGGGCAAAAAGTCCATTAGTTTTAGCACAACCATCAAATTCCAACATCGAATAAAATGTTATCCGCAGTCAATGAAGATAATAGTTTGCCGAATTTTTCCAAAATGAGTTTGTACAGAGTTCTAAAACATCTGAATTTCGAGTATATCCGTAAGTCTCATAATAGCGATTTAATTGAACGGAATGATATAGTATATTAGCGCCGATATTTAGAAACTATTGAACATTACAGTCAGTTAGGACCTAACTGTATATTTGTCTACCTGTTAGGTAGACAAATATATTACCTAGATAAAACATGGTTGAATGCAGGCGAAACCACTTCAAAATTATGGATGAATAATACAGTAAAATCGTCAAGGGACGCATTCCTCAGAGGCCTTACAACTGGACAAAAGGAGCCGTCTGGTAAGGGAGAACGGATCATTGTTGTGCACATCAGGTCATCTGAAGGTTTTGTTGCTGGCGGTCTATTTTGCTTCGAATCCAAAAAAAATTCATAATATTATCATTACGAAATTAACGGTGATAATTTTTATGAATGGTTCAACACAAATTTACCGTTGTTGAACGACAATACCGTAATCGTCATGGATAATGCGTCATATCATTCGGTGAAGAAGGACCCTTGCCTCAATATGTCTTGGAAAAAAACAGATATTTTTGAATTACAACAGTAACCGGCCGTATACATGATACGTATTTTTATATACTTTGTATGTACTGAAATATTTCACCAAACAAGACCAAAGTCAGACCAAGAGTATCCGATAAAGTAGACGAGTTCGACTAAAATGCTATCGGGCAAAAAGTCCATTAGTTTTAGCACAACCATCAAATTCCAACATCGAAGAAAATGTTATCCGCAGTCAATGAAGATAATAGTTTGCCGAATTTTTCCAAAATGAGTTTGTACAGAGTTCTAAAACATCTTAATTTCGAGTATATCCGTAAGTCTCATAATAGCGATTTAATTGAACGGAATGATATAGTATATTAGCGCCGATATTTAGAAACTATTGAACATTACAGTCAGTTAGGACCTAACTGTATATTTGTCTACCTGATAGGTAGACAAATATATTACTTAGATAAAACATGGTTGAATGCAGGCGAAACCACTTCAAAATTATG